ACACTGAATGCAGCACACATTCCTCAGATTTGTGAGATGATTGCACGGTCTGGCGTTACTTGATCTAAACTTTTGTCAGTCAATGCTTTCTGCAAGTGTTCACGTGTATTGCTGTAAGCAAAAAAAAAAAAAAAAAAACATTAAGAAAGTCAATTTTTAGAGCAGTTTTGATCATTTGATTCGCTTTTAAACATCACATATACTTACATGACTGCCGTTAATATCTCAATTATTCTTGCTGCTATTTATTATTATTATTATTATTATTATTACACAATTTTTTAATTTTCACTTTATTACACTTATGTTGTTACACACACTTGAACATCAAGTTATTTGCCCTCCTGTAAAATTTTAATTATTATTTAAATATCTTATTTATAAGATACATTATAAACATTATATTATAAATGATGTATTTCATTATTTTGAAAATCATTTTAAATATTTAGTTATCTCTCGATTAGCTACAGGACAACCACTGTTGTCCTATGACTGGACTAACCAAAAAAATGCTGGGTTCCACACAATTCCTTCATGCTGTCTCGTTAACTTAATTGTTTTTACAAATTTAAGTGGATTGAACATAAAACAACTGAGTTGTCCCAATAAACTTCAAGAATGGTGATGTTTCAGCTCTTTTTAAATAAGTTGTTTGAGTCTTTTTAACAAATAAGTTATTTCAAATCTTCTTTGAATGTGGTTAAGCTTTTTAAATTGATATCTTACAAAATAACTAGTCAAATATTATGTACTGCCCTCATGACAAAGACAAAAGAAATGAACTATTACAAATATCATGTTTGGGACATATACATATAACTTGGGAAATATTTAAAAAAGAAACTGGAGGGCTTATAATTAGTGTCTTCATCTGAAAGCGCTGTTTGTGCTTTGTTCAGCAATGTTCCCAGTGGATGAAGTTTTGGAAACACATACATAGCATGTTATTTCTTCTTTATACGTGTTTTTAAAGCCATACAACAGTGGCTGAAAGTGGGTTTAACCTTCTAAACTGGTTCAGGCTGTTTAATTAAAGGTTGTCATACAGTAAGTGTTGACATTGTTGACATTACATCCACATGTCATTGTACAGTTAAAATTAGACTACCTACAAAACACACACACACACACACACACAATAGAGTACTTAATGTAATTATAGTCACGCAACTAAACAGTGTTCAGTAGTTATACTAGAGAGTGTTACATTTTTTCCCTTATTGTAAAAAGTGCTTTACTGCTTTTCAGAGTACGTTTCGGGAAAATAAATAGTAGTTTGAGTGAAATCTCTCTTTTTTAGTCTTTAAACATTTATTTTACACAAACACACACACACACTTTACAAAGTTGTATTTTTCCATTTTCCCCTTACAGTAATTTAAGACATTATTTTCCATTAATTTTTAAATCTTAATATAGGCAATCGAGATTATCATTATTTTTGCAAAATTATATTTAGTATATTAGTTTTGTTAAAAGAAATTATTTGTGTTTTTGAATGACTATTCGTCATTTCATATTAAATGCTATTGTTACATTACTATATAATACTATGCTGTTTTGTACAACTAAAGTGTCAATAAAAGTAAGAAATTAAGTTTCAATTGTTTGTTGCATTTTAATTTAATTTAGTTTTTAAAATAATTTTAAGCATCAAAAATGGCTTTAGTTAACTAAAATATCACTTGATTTGATATTCATTCATTCATTCATTCATTCATTCATTCATTCATTCATTCATTCATTCATTTATCTTCTTTCGCTTTTCCAGGGGCAGGGGCCGCAGTCTCAGGAGAAGCCCAGACTTCCTCTTTCCCCAGGCACTTTTTCCAGCTACTCCAGGGGGATCCTGAGGCGTTTCCAGGCCACCCAAAAGACATAGTCTCTCCAGCATGTCCTGGGTCTTCCCTGAGGCCTCCTTTTGGTGGGACGTGCCTGGAACAACTCCCTATAGGCGTCCAGGAGGCATTCGATGTTGAGGAGCAGCAGCTCTACTCCCAGCTTCTCTTGGGTGGAGGTGTGGACTGCCACCCTACGAAGGAAACTCATTTCAGCTGCTTGTATCCAGGATCTTGTACTTTCGGTCATGACCATACATGAAAAAAAAAAAAGTAAAGATTTTTAATATTTAAAAAAAAAAAATTAAGGGATGTGGTTGTAAACAATTTATTTGGGCTGAATTTAACAAACAAATTAAGCTGAACATTAATACATTTTATTTATTTGTTGAAATTCAACACATATAAATTGTTTGCAACAATTTTGTTGAAATAATTTTTTTCAGTGTGTGTGAGAGTAGGAACATTGACTGGTAAATCGAGAGATTTGCCTTTCGGCTCAGCTCCTTTTTTACCACAACGGACTGCTACATCGACCGCATTACTTCTGCCGCTGCACCAATCCGCCTGTCAATCTCACACATCTTTACCTCACTCATGAACAAAACCCCAAGGTACTTGAACTTCTCTGGGGTAAGGACTTACCAAACTATGTAGTCAATCTAGGGCCACATATACTTGCAAAATAAAAGAAAGTTTTGCAAACAATAAATAAAGTATTGAGCAAAAAATAAATAAATATATGCAAATCTCCAAAAAACACAAAGCGAAGAATTTCTTTTTTTTAAGAAATAAAAATTTATTTTGCTAACAAAAATAAAGAACTGCAAAGAGAAAGTTCTGTTTTGAGAAATAAAAATAAAATTTACAAACAAACAAAAAAAGAACTGCAGATAAAAATCAAGCAGTGCAAAAAAAGCATTTGCAATAAAAAACTATATATATTTGCAAAACATTTTTATAGCATAAACCACCTTTTTCCGATGGAGCACAATGGCTTTAGACTTGGAGGTGCGGTTTCTCATCCCAGCCCTGTCACACTCGGCAGCAAACCACCCCAGTGCATGCTGAAGGCCCATGTTTGATGAAGCCAATAGAACAACATCATCTGCAAATAACAGAGATAAAATTCCCGAACCCGACCCCTTCCGACCCAAGGCTGCACATAAAAATTCTGTTCATATTTTGGCCTCTTGAATTGATATTAATGTGTAAATTAAACACTTAGCACAATCAGACTTGGAAAAAAAGGCATTTATATTTGAATATCTTTTTTATTTAAGAAAAGTTTTACATTAATAAATCTCTACTTCCAGAAGAAGAAAAAAAGATTTTCACTTTCACAATTCCTAGTAAATTGACAATTAAAGAATTGACTAAGAGTATATTGAAATTAAATCAACATTGATTGCAACTAAAAAATATTGATAAAAAAAAAAAAAAAAAAAAAAACCTGAAATAGTGTTTACTTTTGAAAATGTACTTAACTTTAAAATGTAGGTAAATGTTAAATTTTATATAACAGCAAAAACCAGTTCAAGGCACTTGAAAACTGTGGAAAAAATATTAAAAAGCCTTTATCGACATGGCTATTCCTTAAAACTGCACCTACGCATCATTAGTTCAGCATTGAGAGAAGGAGAATAAAAAACTATTGAAAAATTATATATATATATATATATATATATATATATATATATATATATATATATATATATATATATATATATATATATATATATATATATATATATGTCTGATTATATTTTTCTTCTGGAGAAAGTCTTCTTTTTTATTTTTGCTAGAATAAAAGCAGTTTTTAATTTTTAAAAAGCCATTTTAAGGTCAAAACTATTAGCACCTTTACGCTATTTTTTTTTCAATAGTCTACAGAACAAACCATCATTATACAATAACTTGCCTTATTACCCCAACCTCCCTAGTTAACTCAATTAACCTACAGTAGTTAAGCCTTTAAATGCCACTTTAAGCTGTATAGAAGTATCTTAAAAAAATATCTAGTCAAATATTATTTACTGTCATCATGGCAAAGATAAAATAAATCAGTTATTGGAAATGAGCTATGGAAACTATTATGGTTAGAAATGTGTTGAAAAATATCTGCTCTCCGTTAAACAGAAATTGGGGGGGGAAAAATAAACAGGGGAGCGAATAATTGAGGGGGGCTAATAACTCTGACTTCAACTGTATATATATATATATATATATATATATATATATATATATATATATATATATATATATATATACATACATACATACATACATACATACATACATATATATATATATATATATATATATCATCGTCTTTTTATTTATTCTTTTCCATTAAGGGTTTTTATTCTCTCTATCAATGCTGAATTAATGATTATTGTTGAGTTGAACTGTGTTTAATACATTATTGTAGTATTGTTTATATATATATATATATATAATGAATTAAGAGACTGTAACAATCAAAAGAATCTCGATGCACCTCATCAATGAAGGCAGCTGTTTGCCCAAAAGCTTATGTGCAGATTTAAACAATAGCCATGACAATAAAGGCTTTTAATATTTTTCTCCACATTTTTCAAGTGCCATGAACTGATTTTTGCTATTTATTCTGACTAACACCCAAAGAGCACCAACACATTATTTAAGCTAGCCCTTAGATCTTTTTGTTTGATTTTGCAAAATTCTGTATTAAAATGCAAACTTCTACAGCTTTAAAATACAATAAATGAATTACAAATGTTTCAAATACCTTTTTATTGCGTTAAACAGAAAGGATCTATCAGTGAAACATTCTCTAAACTATCGGCAACACCCAAACCAGAATATCATGTTTACTTTGTTTTAAAAGTGTTTTAAACCTGAAAGTGATCGTTTACACCATGTACAGTAAATGTACTTTTAACATGAACGCTTCACTGAGTACATTATGTTCATTTACAATTCCTAAGGCTAGTCCATAACTCCATAAATAAATATGAAGAAAAATGACTGATGATGAGACATGCTCTTAGTTTAGCAGGTGGATTTTGACATTAAAAGAATGTGCTGTGATTTTCCTCCTGCTTGTTTTGCCCCTTTACAGAAGAGGTTGTTGGTCTGGGCAAACGTGTGGATGGTCCACACCCTTTTGATGATTCCCTTAATAGAGTGCCTGCAGGACTGCCTGACTAACACACACTCAACACTCCTGCTGCAGGTCAGAGACTCATGCTTGACAACAAAGAAGAAAAATTCACAGATAATCTGCCACTTAAAATAGTGCATCATTAGTGTCAATCAGTATTTGTGTGAAATAATTTAAAACAATTGTGTCTTGTTAGGGTCAGGGGTGTCAGCGTGAAAATGATACATTTTCAGCTGTCTGTGCTGCTTGCTTTGGGTAAGTGACACTTTGCATTTTAATTTTAATTAATTCATTAATTTATTTTATTTTCGGCTTAATCCCTTTATTAATCAGGGTTCGCCACAACAGAGAGAACCGCCTAATTGAAATGAATTAATTAATTAAATTAAATTAATTAATTAATTTATTTATTTATTTTAGTAGTAGTAGTTTTTAGTTTAGTTTTTTTTAGTAGTATATTTAATTTTAGTTTTTAATTTAATTTTATTTTATTTTATTTTATTTTATTTTGTTTTATTTTATTTTATTTTATTTTATTTTATTTTATTTTATTTTATTTTATTTTATTTTATTTTATTTTATTTTATTATTTGTGGGTAATGATTTTGTTTAGATATTTAGTCCTGGTATAAAATTGTAAATCAACCAAAAATTTATTTTAGTGTGGTCAGTAATATGTTTTGAGGTTTTAAAGGAATTGTGAATATGCATGCAGTACATGCATAAATTTGACTTTGGCATGCTAAAATTACTTGATTTGAATTTTGTGTTATGTCCACATGCCTCCTCATTCATTGCATTTTTTTGTGTGTGTTGTGTATGACCCTGTTTAATGAGCATGAGCAAATGGGCTGTGGTTTCATAGTGTTGCATTGCAATAGTTTTACTTTTTATATTTATTAATAGTTTATTTCACATGACTTTTCAGGGCTCGACACTCAGGATTTGCCAAGTTTTAATCTGGCCACACCAAACTAAAACAATAATGTATATACATACACTTTTTATCCAACACAAAATTCTTAAAACAATTAACGTTAAAAAATAATTATTCTTGTGTATCTAAAACTACACAGCAATCTGGCTTAAGGTCCCAGATTAACTACACATAACGTCACTTTAGTATTATAAGGTTCTATCTGAAATTTTTGTCAAAATTGAGTTATTGACATATTCTTATTAAATGACAACTTATTTACATCATGGGATGTTTTTTTATGAGTTGTTTACATTTTAAGACTTTTTATTTACAAAAACAAATGTTACACACATACTGTTGGAATGCAAAAACTTTGAAGCTCAATATCTCAAAATCATTCAGAACTCAGATAGAACCACACAATTCCAAGATGACGATAAATGGGAAATTAATCTCTTATTAAAGCTATCTGGTAGTAAATTGTAATAATTAAAATTTATTAACAATAATAACTGTTAGCAAAAGAAATCTTAATAATCCTAATAATTAAATTACAGTAAATTAAACAGTAAATTAAAGGAAAAGCAGCAACCACTCCTGCTTACAAAAGAATCTCAAGCTCTTGAAAGCAGCAGGACTGTGATTACATGAGCATTGTTTTGTTTCCCGTTTATTTCAAAGAGAACCGATTGCACCACTTGCATTGCAGGTACAATTGCTTCACGCAAGGAAACGGGAGCGTGCACGCTTTTTAAAAACTTTTTAAAAGCCTGATCATTCTCCTCCTTTCTTTTGCTCGTGCGAACAGTTATTTTTGTCAGTCATGCTGCTTTCTCGATTCTAAGATCAGAATTGGCCTGTTCACTTTCTATAAAGTAGCTCTATGTATTTGATGTTTTAAATATGGTTTACTCAAAATTTCATTTAACTGTTTCTGCAGTAAGCGAGAACTCTTAATGAACTTACTGCCCTAATTTTTGCATGCTTTTTCATTGAATCCAGTTTGGGTGAACATGAGTTACAATTATTTTCTTTAATCACTTTTATAGGATTCATCACACTGATCAACGGCCAGGTATTTACCATTTATACAAAGAATTATTTTGCCAATACAACTCATTAAAATTTATTCAAACTGTTTGAAATAATGCATATATAATTCAGTCATTTTCCTAATTTTGCTTTATCAAAATAATAAACATCTTATCTCTTAAGAATGTGCTTGCAATTAATCCTGACAGCATATGTCTTTAGGTTATTATTTGTGTTTTAACTTAATTTTTTAAGTTACACAAGCTGTTTTAAGTCAGTTTAACATCCTATAAGTTCAATCGACTCATAAAGTTAATTTGATTCAGCTTAAAAATTGAATGCAACCAGGATTATTTTCACAGTGTAGTTTTTAGTAAGAAAATGTGCTTGATTATCCTCATTTACCACTGATTAGCCAGCCTGATCTCACGAGGAACTGTAAGTATTTTTGTCAGTTTAGTGGCTAATTCGGCTAATTCGAGTTCAGTCGTACAAAAATCTATGATTTTAAAAAGGGGGTGTGGCACTCCTAACCCCAACCGTCATTGGCGAATGAGCAAATTGTACTAAATTGTACGAATTAGATCGTACGAATCAGGGCCGGAGTGGGACTCTTTTTCAGCCCTGGAGTTTCAAGCCTTAGACCGGCCCACCTCAGTTCACTACTGACTATATTAAAATAAGGTAATTTCCAATTCAGTTTCTAATTACACTATCATGTCTTTTTTTGAGAAAACAGCTGTTTTAGAACTTCAAATGTTCAACAACCCTTACAGTATTATATGTCTTAACAATAAAAATGAAAAAAAATAATATGTTACTCAGGCGAGGACCAAACCCGAGGACCGAAACAGCGTCATAACCTAACGTGGTAACTAATGTACCGCAAACTTTACTACTGCGGTAAAATAGTGAATAAGAAGGCTGTGGTCAAGTAAATAAATAAATTATTTTTTAAAAGTGTGACTGCTGAGAGCAACAGATTCTATAGCTAGGGACACCGGCCCTCGCGGCCAAAAAACGGACCGGCCCACCGGGAATTCTCCCGGTTCTCCCGATTAGCCAATCTGGGCCTGGTACGAATTCATTCAAATTCGAATTAGCCACTAAATCAAAAAGTTATGAATTGCCGTGAGATTGTGTTGGATTAGCCATGTATAATCCATCCATATGGCTATATAATGTTAAATATAATGAATGTCATGCATCTGATTGATTGTAAATCAACTTCTCTGTAAATCTATAAATAAGCTTGCTTAACTCAAAAAATACATGCAATAATGTGATGGTTTTATTTGTATATTAATGTATTTTAACATATATGAATCAATATATAGCAATAGTTTGTCCATCCATATATTGCTATTTATTTTCAAATATATGAGGAAGCTTCCGTTACATTATATTTCTTATGTATTGCAATATAAAGTCTAGTATATTGCAATACAATTTAGTTTTGTGAGACATTAAACATTTGTTCTCTATTTCTTTAAAGTGTGTGGTGGACTTCCAAAATGGTGCGTTCCTGAAAAAGTTTGTTACAATATAAAATATTAAAATCTGATTTCACATATTGGTATATTTATTTATTTATTTATTTATTTATTTATTTGTTTGTTTGTTTATTTATTTATTTATTTGTTTGTTTGTTTGTTTGTTTGTTTGTTTGTTTGTTTGTTTGTTTGTTTGTTTGTTTGTTTGTTTGTTTGTTTTACAGGCACAGTTTCCAACAACGGTTCATCTTGCTCTTCAGTGAGTATTAATTATGCGCTGCAATTTGATGTGGGTATTAGTTTTCAATTGTATGTGATAACATCATTATTTCCTCATTCCTCTGTCAGTTCTCAAACTCGACACTCAACAGCACCCTCTCCTGCGCGGGCATACAGCTCTCAGACTACTCCCTGGCCAATCTCCAAAATCTCAAAGCATATACCGACGCCACCTTTGACCTTTACACATTACTGGTACAGTATTTTTAAACTTATTCATGCGTCAGATGAGCAAATGAGGATAATAGATGCAGTTCAGATAACCTGCCAAGCAACAACAGATGCTGTGACAAGTCTGGTTAGCGTTGTTTAAAGGGCACCTACGATGAAAGTCATCTTTTGTCAGCTGTTTGGACACAACTGTATAGACTGTCCATTGTCATATTGGGGTGATATAAACACAATAAGCCTCTTTCCTGATGTTAAAATAGGTTCCAAATCCCTCCCATTTCGAGGCCCACAGCATCGTGAAGAAGGAGTGTGGTTTCCCCGCCCACCAAATTAATTGACAGCAGCATATTAACATGGCCCTGTAGTAACGCATATAATCATACCAACAAGACAGGACGTGCGCAAGGAAACTGGAATTGAAAGATCTGTTTACCTTACTGTGATCATCATTTATCATCAAACGTGATCAAGAATGAGTTTTACAAGTTTAACACTAGATCCGCCATGTGGTCAATTTTACCCATCACTATTATTCAAATACATAACAGACCTTCAATAAAACATTCCAGCCTCCCAGTCATTAACTTTTACTAATATTGCCTTATTTAAAATTACTAGATATTAAAAATTGCTTAGATAAAAATACATTTTAAAAAGTGGGATATTTATACCTATAAGCGCCAGCGTGGGTCAAATTTACTCACTATAAAAATGCTTACGCACTGCATATGTTTGAAATTACTCACCAATGACTTTTAATTTCAATTTCACTCACTGAATTAGTAGTTATAACAAATGAATAAAGTCACAATAACTAAAAGAAGGCGATTTGTAGAGCTATTAATAACACAAAATGCAATGAATGATGGAGAGTCTGAAAAAATAAGTTATGCATCAGAGCATGATGCTTCAAATTTAGACATTCCGTTTCATTTCTAGACACTTTTTGTTAACAGTGGCAAAAAAAGTATGCTTTTTTTTTGTTTTTTGTTTTTTTAGCAATTTCAAAACAAAATTTGTGCTGGGTAAAATTTAACCACACTGCCAATTTTAGGTATACAGCGACCCCCGGCGGTTCTAGTCTTAAAATGTTTTTAAAACAGTGCATGTTTGCAATGAATTACACCGATTTACTTCAACTTCGTGAAGTAATGAAAATTTCCAATATTTTGGAAACTATAATAAATCATCTGATGGGTGTTTTGAGCAGAAACTTTACAGACACGTTCTGGACACACAAAAGACGCATCTTAAATCTTGATAAAGGGGTAAAATAGGTGCCCTTTAAATAAACAAAAGACACATGTAGATTGATAGATTTGAGGCACGTTCACACCAAGCACAATAAATATAAATATAATGAGGAATTTATTTGTGTCCACACCGGTGAATGATAAAAATATGTTACTGCTTTAGTTCATGCTTTTCATTTGTCATTTTTCCCCTTGTAGCCGGCAGATGTCCTCAGTGTGCTACTACCCCATCCGACCAGTAAATCTTTGTCAAAAAATGTACTAAAGTAATCAAATGAATTTAGCGATCGTAGTCAATGTAATGGAAATAAAATTTTCCTCAGCATTTTCCAAGAAGCACTGGATACCTGAGGTACTTTTATTTTTCATACTTTAATTTAGTAGCCTGGCTTGCGTCATGTTCTAGTATTTTATCACTCTTTTTTTATCCATTGTTTTCTAAATAGTCATTATCTCTAAATAATCCTTGAAATGAGGGCTTAACAACAAGCAGTGTTTCTCCAAAATGTCATCTGTAGCTTTAAAGTGCACTAGCCATTTACGTTATAGTTATCGTGCTTGTGTGAACAGACATTTATACTAGAATAGAGTTTGTCATATTTACAGTATATTACAATGAAAGGTTTTGTCATCAGACAAGCATATGAGGATGATAGATGCAGTTCAGATCAACTGCAAAGCAACAACAGATGCTGTGACATGTCTTGGTTTAGCATTGTTTATATAAACAAAAGACAAACGTAGATTGATAGATATAAGGCACGTTCACACCAAGCACGATAAATATAAATATAACGATGAATATATTTGTGTCCACACTGATGAACGTTTTTTTGTTTGTTTGTTTGTTTGTTTGTTTATGCTTTTTATTTGTCACTATCCCCTCGTAATCAGCAGATGTCCTCAGTGTGCTACTAGGGCATCCAATCAGTAAATCTTTATTTAATAGAAAATGTGAATGTGTCGTAACTGCACAATGCATTCTGGATATTTCAACGCAATCTCACGGCAATTCGTAACTTTTTGATTTAGTGGCTAATTCATATGAATTTGTACAATCTAATTTGTACAATTTAGTACGATTTGCTCATCCCCCAATGATGGTTGGGGTTAGGGGTGGGGTTGGGTGCCACGCCTCCTTTTTAAAATTGTACATTTTGTACGACTGAACTCGTTCAAATTCGTACGAATTTGTCCAATAAACTGACAAAACATAAAATACTTACGTTTCCTCGTGAGATCAGGCTGGATATTTAGGACAAGGCAGCCTGATTCTAGTTAATCTCTATTGATTTATCCTTTCATATATACACTCAACAGCAATAAACTGTAAGGGCTCGGACGACGAATAAAGAGAAAAATATAGAAATGTTTACATATGGTAGCTTGTTGATGCCCTGTTAGTTATAGATAAACTTGTTAATTTATTTGATCTGCTTTGCATCTGTTGCACTTCACCACTGGAGACACACCAAGAGCCTTTATAACAGTATACACATCAGTCCATTTTATTGTTTGTGGGATGTTTTTCAAAAATGTGACTATAGTTGCTGCCAGTGGTGTAGTGGTTAGTGCGTCGACATATGCAGTCCGGTGCTTGAGGTGACCTGAGTTCAATTCCACCTTGCGATCCTTTGCCGATCCTTCACCTCTCTCTGTTCCCCATGCTTTCCTGTCAGGTCTCTCTACGTTCAACGTTCCTATCCCTGCTGAAAAATCCAGCTTAAACCAGCCTAGGCTGGTTTAAGCTGGATTTTTTAGCAGGGATCCAATAAAGAGGAAAAAATAATTATTAAAAAAAAGATATAACTATAAAACAACCTTTTTTTCTGTTGTGATTTGTAATAGTTTACATTGTGCACTTCCGCAGTTGTCCACAAACATGGCTGATTATGACTCACCATGATGTCAATTGCTAAACTCTATTAATGTGATGAATTGAATATAGTGATCCTTGTTAACTAAAAAAAAAACAAGCTATTTTCAACAGCATTTTCAAAGGAGTCAACACATAGACTCTGAAATAGCACTGGATACCTGAGGTTATTTTATTTTTATACTTTAGTTTAGTAGCCTGGCTTGCATAACTTTCATGTATTTTATCATTCTTTTTTCCTATGGATTAACCAAAGGTTTTCTAGATAGTCATTAACTTAACAACAAGCAGTGTTTTTCCAAAATGTCGTCTGTAGCTTTAAAGTGCGTGAGCCATTTCTAGTTATCATGCTTGGTGTGAACAGGCCTTTAGACTAGAATAGAGTTCATCATATCTACAGTATATTACAGTGAATCTTTTTAAAGGGATGCCATATCCTCTGTGCTTTCATTCATCCGAACAGAGATCTAGACTTGACGCTAGTCTTGTCGTGAGCTACATCAATAACATCAGGACAAAAGGCTCGGTTGCGGGCTCATTGAGCGATGTGGATTTCGCTAGGCTGTGGTTTCAAGTAAAGCTCAGTCCATTCCTGTCCTCGCTGTCCAGAGACACGCTGTCCTGTCTCAGTCGAAGCAGTTTCACCTGCCAGAGCTTCCAAGCACTGTGTGTATTTGTTATATACAGAAGTCATGCTTATGTTTTATGACTACAGTCATTTGTTTTTGGCAATAATGCAAAAGTTGATTCACTTTTTTTGTTTTGTTCTTAAGGGTAAATGATTTAAGCGTGCAGATTGGTCCTGAAAGACAAAGGATGGTGTATCAAAACTTCATAAAACCCTTTCTGGCAAGAAATACAACTGACGGTAATACTCTTTTGTCCATTTATGTTTTGGATGTCGACTGCACTCTTTAGTTTAGTTTAGTTTAGTTTAAACTTTATTGTCCGTTCTGCTTGACACAAAAAGGAAATTTTTCTTCAACACTGGATTTAGGACAACAATTACAAACATACACCAACGACACAATAACACTTACCAACACAACAACATAGGTTAAAAGTTTAAAAACCAAATTAGTCCCATGCACAATACTGCAAATCATACTTGGTAACCACCTCATTTCCTACAAACATTGATCCGGTTTAGAACAACAACTGCCATTGGGATAAATGACTTTTTATAGGCATTTCTTCGTGCTTTAGGAATTCTAAACCTGCGTCCTGATGGTAGCAGTTCAAATGCTGAGTGAAGGGGATGTGTATTATCTTTAAAAATCACAACTGCTCTTTTTTCCATAAAAGAGTCAAATAAAATCTGCAATGAATGCTGTTTGTGACCAGTTATCTTATTTGCCTGATTTATAATTTGCACTAATTTCTTTTTCTGTTTAAGTGTTGTGTTACCGAACCATGAAACAATATTATATGTGAGAACACTCTCTATAAGTGATCTATATGCCAAGTTTAAAGTCTGTGTACTAACATTAAAACTTCTCAATTTGCGGAGGAGATAGAGGCGCTGACTTGCTTTCTTATAGACCGCCTCTACATTACTATTAAAATTCAATTTATTGTCAATAATTGTGCCTAAATACTTGAAATTTGAAACCTGCTCTACTATTTGTCCGTTTATGGTGACTGGTTTAAAGAGTCCAGTATCTACTCTTCTTGTTTGACTCCCCAGACATAACTCTTTTGTTTTCCCAATATTTAGGTGTAATGAACTTTTGCCAAACCAATCTGTAATACTATCAATATATCTAAAATTATATATATCTATAAATTATATATCTAAAAATATCTCTTATAAAACAAAGATACCAGAAGAATCCCTTATTTTTGTACTGTAACAATTATGAGATTATATTTTGTGAGACATCGCTCTACGCTTGTGTTTCTTCTTGTTTTTTTTTTTTTAACAATTTTGAATTGATGCATGGGGTTTCGATATCTGATTTAACAGGTTTTGATGTTAAAAACTGTAACTGTAGTTCAACAACAACACATTTGTTGACACGTTGTTTTATAAATTGTCTGTGTGGGTCTTAAATTATATCTTTTAAAAATGTATTTAGTCAATTTAAAGTTTCACATTAATCTTTGACAGCTGAAATAATGTACTAGTTTTCTTTGTGAAGTGTATATATAAACTAATTTCGAGAGAATCACATACTTATGATTGTCCACGTCTGGTTCCGCATTAACCCATGATTGATTCACCAGTCAGATGATTCCAGCTCACTATAAATAATCATATCTCAGTGTCTTCGACTTGAAGAATCCCCCCCCCCCCCCCCACACCTTTCTAGATAGGTGACACGGCGGCCCAGTGATTAGCACTGTTGCCTCACTGCAAAAATATCTCTGGTTAAAGTCGCTAGTAAACCAGTCGACATTTCTGAGTTTGCTCGTTCTCCCCATGCTTGGGGGTTTTCCCCGGGTTTTCCGGTTTCCTTCCACAGTCCAAAAAACACACAACCTAAGCAAATTAAACATACCAAATTGGCATCAAAGTCAAGCTCTTAGCAAGCCATATATCTCTCCTCAGGGAAGTTCAATAAGATCTACCTGAGCTTAAGCTCCCTTCTTGCCCTGCTAACGGGAGGGAGCCCAGGGCTCGAGAATCTTATAAGCTCAAGTCTTTCCTGGAACAGCATGCCAAACAAGCTTATTACCAATCATCAGCTAAGTGTAAACTCTTGAAATAAATTTTATTGTATTTCTGTTAACTTTTAATTTCAAGGTTTATAGTTCTTGCTCACGTTTTTTTGTCAGTTTAATATAATTGGTTGATATATATTAAGCTTAAGCTTTAGTTGAGTTAAACTACAGAAAATCAAATATAAACCAAAAAAGTTTTAGGGTCAGGGTCAGAGTCAGGGTCAGGGTCAGGGTCAGAGTCAGGGTTAGGGTTAGGTTAGGTTTTGGATATTTACAATGACTCTCCCATGCTGTAGCATTCGCATACAGCAAGATAGCAAGATCGAGGAAATGCTCTGGCCCACGCTTGTTAGACTCTTGTCATGTGGAATCTCAATCTGGCATCCTGTCTAGGGTGCCGAGCCTACATATGTAGGGTCATGAGCTCTCAAAATGTCTCTGAAAAAAATTAAATAAAAAAAATTAATAATAATAAAATAATAATTATAGTAAATACTACAAAATTAAGAAATAGTAATAATAATGGTAAGAGTAATAATTTTAATTGTAATAATAAATGATAATAGTAGTAGTAGTAGTAGTAATGATGATCATAATAATAATAATAATAATAATAATAATAATAATAATAATAATAGGAAAATTAGGGTTAGGTTAGGGGTAGGTTTAGGGGTTAGTGTTAGGGAAAACTTTTGTTGATTTGAATCCTATTTACTACATTTACTCTATAGGGACAATAATAATACAAAAAAGAAACAATGTAAATAACCTTTACAAGTTTTAATGGTTTTAGTTTTATGGTTTAATTTTTGTAAACTACTTTTAAAAAATATAGTATAATGGATGCTTCAATACCAATAAAGAAAATATTTTTTATGAGTGTACAGTTAAAATGCATGATTCAAGCTGTAAGTTTACTCTTTGTGTTGCTGATGTTGACTTTTTTGTTTTAAAGCTGGCTGTGTGAACAGCACAAACAGCACCGGGCAATGGCTGCTACTCAACTTCCAGTCATTCTCTTCTATTGCAAGCCTAGGAGATTTCATAGCTCTGAAACCAGACTTTAATGGGGTAAGTGAGCGAAACAGACCAGCTTTACATCCTAAATGAAATCACAGCATCACTGCTGAGACAATCCACATAAATGTTTGCAGCTGGTGGTCCTAGGTAAACTCACGCCGGAGCAGAAAGCTGAACTGATGTTTCAGCTAGAAGCCAACTTTAGCCTGAACGCTGATGCCGTCAGTCAGATCTTCCAGAGTTTCCTGCAGCCCCTCATCAACATGACACTGAACCTGACCAGCACCAGTTCAGGGCTCCTCGACAAGGTTAGATAGGAGTTTTTGACTGATAGATCCAATGATGAAACACCATAAGGAAAAATCATCCAAATTGTTTTCATATTTCACTGCAGAATCTCACAGACTTTGTGCAATATTTGAGACCAATGGGAAGATTCATCAGATCATGTGTGAACATTGCTCAGACAGTAAGTTTTCTGTTCATATTTTGTGTGTAATAGTTAATTAATTAACCATAAATCTCTGCACACAACTGATAGATATGTGCCTAAGAAATTCAACTTGTGTAAGAATGTCAATTTTTGGAGTTTTAAAAGGGTACGGAGACCCAGAAGGGACGTGATGGTGGGGGAAAAATGGATGGGAGAAAAAAAAAGAGTGATAGGAAAATATATATATTTTTATAGTTTTCACGTTCTCTCTTAAATATGTTTTGCACTCTCTTGCAAAAAAGTTGTTCCACAAACACTTCCTGTTCACTTCATACATATCAGCCCTCCCGTTTTTGCCGGGATTCTCCCATATTTTACATTCTATGCTGTTATTATCCTATCATTATGTAATTTTCCATATTCCTCTCATATTTTTTAATCTTGAAAGCACATTGAAATTATTATAAAATGTCTAAATTCACTTTCTTTCCATTAAAGCTGTGCGTCAATCATCACCCTTCCTATGCAATAAGCAAATGCATGTGTAAGCGCAGACTGACGGACGCGCTCCATATGATAAACCAATCCCAGATCAGCCTCTGTACACGCCATTTAAAGTGACACCTCTATTATCAAACAGATGAAGTCAGTATATGAATGTCTTGTTTTGTTTTGATTGATAGCTCCTCTTTAAATGGCGTATGCAGAAGCTGATCTGGGACGTCCCTTCCAGGTCTCTGTAAAAGGGTTACTTAAAAAGGTCAAAAGTTTAAAAAGCAAAACAAAAATAATAATAAAACATTTCCGCATCCTCACACACTTTTTGACGGAAGAGTCAAGCATTAAATAGGAAAATGATCAAAAATCTTTTTTGAATTTTTTGGAGCGAGATGCTAATGGTCTAATTCGATTCAATGATCTATGCTAAGCTAAGCTAAAAGTGCTTTTGCCATACTGGAGATTGGCTGACTGGATTCAAAAATGGTAAAACTCCACTGTTTAACTCTAGATGACTTGTAAAATGAGCCAATTTCCCCCAAATTAAGAAGTGGATTGTTACTTTAAGATGTAATTTATCTGTTTAATGATTGCCCTAATGTGTGTAAACGTACTTGCTCTCTTTCAGACAAATATAAGCAGTTTTAGAAATGATACAATACAGCTTCTGGTCAACTGGACTGTGAACTATATCAACAACCAAATCTCAGTAAATACTTTTAACTTCAACAACATCAGTGAGTGGTTCCAGACCATAGTTATTCCTTTGGTGAACAAACACCTGCAAACTAACCAGACTTTGCCAGACAACACCACAGACATATTCAACTCGGTTTTGTAAGTAATCTATTGCAAGTTATAGCACCAAATTACATCTTTTATAAAAAAAAAAAAATATATATATATATATATATATATATATTTTTTTTTTTTTTTTTTTTACTGCCATTTTACCTTTATTTTATAAAGAACTCATTTTTTTGTTTCATTTATGTTTAAAAAAAAAAATTTCCTTTAAAGGCTCATCACAGCAAAAGTTCCTCATATTTATTAAAGCAAGAAAAATTATTTAAATTCAATAAAAAAACAAAGTTTTTTTTCCATATTATTTTCTGAAATAAATGGCCGAAAGACTTTAAAATGTTTGCTGTTCATACATAGCATTGTTATTAAGATAATAACACAATTAAACTAGAAGACACAGATTAGCTGCTCTGTTTTATCTAACTCTGTGCTCTTTTTACTTTGCTCAGTGCTGTTGAAGCTCAAACGGCAGATCCTGTGGACATCTGTACAGTGACCATAAATAACAGCTCCTGTCAAGTAAGTTTGTCTTTCACAAACCTCAACCTTTCAATCTTATGTGTAATTAACCACACCCTGATCATGTCCGACAAGCCGACTGCAATGTCACACATCTAAAGAATGTCCGCATTAAAACATCCACACAATGGGGTTTTGTTTCCATGTACGAAAACAGAAACAATTGTAGTACAAGCTGTAAAAGTCTCAGGCTGATTGCTAAAGATTGTAAAAATGATTGCATGACTGATCTTAATGTTTATGTGTCTGTTTCCCAATAACACTGTAACTTAAGTAGCACTTAAAAACCACAGAAGATTTATTGCGTGCTCTGGAGAAGTTATTAAAACCATGTGTGTATCGTACAATACGTTTAACTTCAGTTCAATTGCAGTTTGATTAATTCAAGTTTGATTGAACACTTTTTTTTATGAATTCATAAATTAAGTTAATAAAAAAGGTCTGAAAACACACATATACACATCTAAATTAGATGACTGAACATAAATATGAATAAAAGAAGGAAGGAAGGAAAATGCTTTAAAGACTGGAAAAAATAAGGAAAAACTAAAAACATTTGCTGCATGAAAGCCATCCATGTAGTGGCTATTTTATACGCATAACCTTATATTTTTTACCTTACTTTGTAATTGCCTTAGTCTGTTGGTAGGAGCTTTATATAGACTTGTCTTGATTGATAATGCACACAAGATGAAGATGAATAGGTTAAGCCTTCAAGATATGACAACATTAGCCCTTAAGAGCACTCTTATGAGGTTACAAATAATTGTTATAATTCCATGTGTTTCCCAAAAATGTACATAACAGAAAGATACGAGAACAGATAGGCTGCTTGCTCCTTTAGAGTCTCTGCACCAGCTTCGAATGTTATCACTTGATTGAATGGGCATTACCAGTGGTTATCAGCTGATAAATATGGGCCAGTAGAGACCTTCTGCGCCTACTGGAAGGCTCAGAAGGCTGTTATCATCCATCCACATGGTTAATCAGCTATAGATCACATACGGCTGTGGCTGGAAGTTAACAAGAATTATTTTTATTATTTATTAAAATTCCCATTATTTGTATTTTATTAACGTCTCCCCCTACCCCAACCCTAAACCCAACCGTCACAGTAATGTAAAAACAGATCTGCATCTGGAGTCTTGTATAGCTAATTAACCGTGTGGATGGATGATAACAGCCTTCTGAGCCTACCAGTAGGCACAGAAGGCCCCTACTGACCCATATCTCTCAACTGATAACCAGTAATAACGCCCATTCAATCAAGCTGTGAGGCGATTGCGCTACCCACTGCTCCATCGTGACGCTCAGATATGACTTATACGTATAAAAGTATATGTACTTTATATTCTGGGAATCTCTTTTTGTTCTGCAGGTATCACAGAATGCAGAGAGTTTGGCCAAAACACTTAAATGTGTCGCTCAAACAAATCTGAGCCTCACTGAGGAAAACCTGCAACTTCTGACTACTGAACTCTCCAAAACACTGCAGACAAAAGTTCAGCAATCTTTAGGGGTATTAAATAATGTGGCATAAAAAATATACATTTTAATAAAACATTTGACAGTGAAATAATTTTTGACAATTCTTCTGTGCTTCAGGTAACAAACTCATCTCAAAGCAACCTCACCACCTTGTTTGGAGAGTTGCCAGCAGAAAGCTTCACTATCAGAAGCCTCGACGATGTGAACTTTGTGAAATTCTGGTTCCAGATCAAGATGAAGCCTCTGCTGCCCAAAATTCCTAAAGAATTCTTGTCATGCTTGAACACACGGAGCTTCAGCTGCCAGACCTACACAGCACTGTACGTTCCTCACATTCCCTTTATGATACACGATAACCGCTCCTTATTTGATGATCTGATTACCCAATTATTTGCACGATTAAACAGATTGACTTTCTCATTATGTTTAACTAAAGAAAACAGATAATTAAATTTTTTTAAATAGTAAATGAACAAATAATGTTCAAACTAGAAAGATTTTAAATTGTACTTAGATTAACATGTTGCAAGCAAACAAAACAAAAGCCTCGTGTCCGTATTTCAACACATTTTCCCCAGTTTTTTTTTTTTTTTTTACTTTAATGCTGTATCAGATATAACATATATCATCAAAACCCGTTTTTCAGATTTCACCATATTTGAAAATTTTTGTTTATGTGAATTAATCACGCCATCTAGGGCTCTATTTGTACTTATAAAATAAACTTATAAAATGTCTACTATCTCTCAGAATATATTTCACTATGAGCTGTCTGATTGACTCAAACTAAAAATGCAGCTTCAATGAGCTGAAAATGCAGTGTAACATTCATCCTACATTAGTTTTTGGTTAGAACTGGATTATTTTAAAAGAAAAAAAAATAGGGTTTAATTCTTTTGCAAACCCCAAAGTAACGTCTTCAGAACCTTTCAGGTTGGTCGTTTATTAAACAGGCCAAAGATAACTTGTAGCTTAGCTCCATAATATTTCCACATGTTTATTTGCAACTGAAAAATAACCTTTCCACAATTTTTAACACAGGTAACTTTAGGATTATTTTTTTAATTACCATGTAGACTAACTTCTCAGAAGCATAAACTGGCCTTATTTTGCAGAATTACAGGATTGAAAACAGTGAAAAAGCTGCAGCATTTCATAAAATGTGAAAATTAATCAAAATTTGTAATAATGATCAAGTAAATCTAACTGTATAACTGAAATATATAGATGTTAAGTAAGGGATAATGTAGATCCAGCCAGTTGTTGTCACAGAATAAAGCTTGTCAGTATTATCAGCAGCCAAACACAGAGTTTACATTTACCTTAAGAGCTAGTATGTCAGTGTTTTGTGTCTAATTGTTTAGTTTTGCAAAAAGTAGCTGAGTAATAAGTAGTATAAAGTACATCCAGCCTGTTGTTTTTATAGATTTCTTTCTATGACAACATTCGGCTGGATCTACATTATCCTGTTTATTATACAGATCTCTGGATACATTATCCTACTTATTGTCATTTTAAATAGCTGACGAAGAACAGAAATGACAATATTGCTGACATATCCAGCAATAATCATCATGTCAGTAAATGTTAATATCCATTGATCTAAAAGGATTGATCACTTTTGTTTAACATCAATAATTGATTATTTGAGTTTCTTTATGCCACTATGCTTTTGTATTCATTATCCTCTCACATCTCTGTTTTATTTCTGCAGTATTGTGGAGCTAAGTAATAATTTTGGACTGATGGACAGTGCAACACAGAGATCAGTTTTTAATGACTTCATTGTTCCCTTCCTGACACGACGTCAAAACACAAGTAACTGCATTCTGTTAATCAGTTCTGTTAATTGATCATTGTTATGTAAAATTAGCTTGTGCTCAGTTTGCTCAATCTTTGAAGGACTCTATATTAGTTACCTACTGTTGAGATCATCTAATAAGCAAATGTATTTATATTGTAATTTCAGGTGTCGACTGCACATTAGCATATAACAACAGTGTGAACTTCATCCTGCAAAACTTCGGCAGTTTCTCTCAGTTTGCTCAGCTTCAGTTTTTTACCAATTTGAGCCTCAATTTTTCAGCTGTGAGTCTCACATTATTAGTGGATCACGTAAAGACACAACCTCAACACAACATAACACAACTCATGTCCTTTCAGGTGGAGGCTGTTCCTGTTCTCTCACTGACACAGCTGGGTGAACTGGTGTTCAGTCCTCCTGCTAGACCTGAAGACAGAGTCAACATCCTCACCAAAGTCTTTGACTTTCTTCTTCAAGCCTCTAACCGAGACAAACTCAATAGCTTCCTACCAGCTCTTCAGACACAGGCCAGAAAAGTGTGTAACAGTAAACTGCTTCATATAATGGAGTGTCAGCGGGTCAACATGACATTAAAAACACATCAATCATACATGTCTATTTCATGTCAATTGACTCCCTTGATTTCACAATGACATAAAATTGTAAGATCAGTGTTAAAAATCGGTTACAGGACATGTTATTTTTACCTATTTTTTGACGCCAATGTTACGTAGATGTCAATTTTATGACATTTTGACATCAAAGTAGTTTACATGCAATTTTTTAGAAAAAGATTCATAATAATAATAATAATTTTATCCTGCAGGCAAACTTCAGCTGTGAAAATTACAAAACCATGTGAGTGACTTTAACTGAAGCTGACAGTGATCTAGATAAATTAGTGATCAATTTAAAATATTTTTTGTTTTGTGTTTTGTCTGTGAATCAGCTTTGACAGGGTGGATCAGGCATTATTATCAGTCTCTCCTAACCAGACTGAAGCCCTTCTGACCATCAGAGACTCACTTATGACGATTCCTCCTGACGGTAAGACAGAATTGCGCAATAATAACTCGTTCCTGTATTATTTGAACAAAATATGTGACAATCTGAATAAGTTTAAAAAATGAAGAGATCATACAAAATGCACCTTATTTTTTATTAATATTTTCCCAAGTAAGGCATTTTACTTGAAAGACATTTACATATAATCCACAATACAAAAATATATTGCCAGGTAATACATACAGTATTAAAATCCAAACTTTTGCTTTTGGTTATTTGAATGAAAATTAAATTTTGAGACTAACTCTGGCTTATTTACAGTTTACACTGTTAATTAGTGAGCTCCATCCCTGTTAAAAGAAAATAAATAATTTCTACTATATTTCTTGTTATTTCTCAATAACATTTTATGTTAAATATCTTGAGACTGAACTCAATAATTTTAAAAAAATCAGGCATTTTGTTTGACATTCCTTATTTTGTTCAAACTATTGCAATTTTTACTCATTCTGTAAGGGATCCTCAAATGTAGCACAAGCCCTGTGAGAATTAATGTGTGAACTGTGTTTTATTTCCATCTAGAATGCATTCAGAGATCAAGCCAAGTGAGTAACAAATCAAAAGATCAATTGCATGTATTGTGTGTTTTTACTGAACTATTTTAACACAATGTTTGTTCTCACTCCTGCAGTGCACAGTGACTCCTGTAAATGGTAAGTGACTGGTTTTGTGTGGACTGATTTTAGATTTAGCTAAAACTCAAATCTTGGTTGTTTTATCTTCCAGAGACTGTCCTCTGTGCAAATGTCAACAGGTGAGCTGTTCTGTCAGCACTATATGAGTTAAACACTGATTAAACTATGGTCTGTCATAAAGATGTTCTTCTGGTTTGCAGCTCTGCTGTGGGTCAGGTCTTGAATGGAGTAGCTCAAAACACAACATCCTCGCTGAATTTGTGTAACTTCACTGTGCTGGAGTTTGCCTGTCTGCCAACGGTAATAATACACTGGCAATGATAAACGTTTTCTTCCTTTAGTCTCTTTTTTATTTATGCCATAAGTTTTAGATTTGATACAATGTAAGACCCTACATGTTAAAGGAGCACTCCACTTGTCTTGGAAATAGGCTCATTTTGCTACTCTAGAGTTAAACTGTTGAGTTTTTCTCTTTTTAATCCATTCAACTTATTTCTCAGTTTGGCAAGAGCACTTTTAGCTCAGCTTAGCATAGATTATTGAATTGGATTAGACCATTAGCATGTCACTCCAAAAATAAAAAAATAAAAATTACTAGATTGACTCTTCTACATCCAGTAATAAGACTGACTGAAAATTAAAAGTTGCTATTTTCTAGGCTGGTTGAGTTTTTGGAGCAAGATGCTAATGGTCTAATCTGATTCAATGATCTATGCTAAGCTAAGCTTAAAGTCATTCCACCAGATCAGCTAAATAGATTGTTAAATTGTAAACCTCAACTATTTAATTTTAGGGGAGTTGAAAAATGAGCCTATTTCCAAAAAAAAAAAAAAGAAAAGAAAAGAGGAGTGTTCCTTTAAAACAGGGGAGCCCAAACTCAGTCCTAGAGCTCCGGTGTCCTTCATATTTTAATTCCAACCTCAGTTAAACACACCTGAACCTGCTAATCAATCTCCTGGTATACTTAAAAACCTCCTGACAGGTGATTTGAAGCAAGTTGGAGCAAAACTATGCAGTCTAAACTAAACAAGACAGAGTTTGGGCACCCCTAAAACAACTCAATCCATTTAAGGGAAAATGACTGCCTTAAATCATTCAAGTTTAAACTAAGATTTATAATAATGTCATAAGTATTATTATTATTATATTTCTTTATGAATCTTGGGCAAAACTTATCAAAAAACTTTGTTTTAACATTTCCTCTCTTTCAATAGTTAATCATGAAACCAAGATGAGAACTATTAATTTTGCTATATTAATTTTCATTTTCATGAAACTTTTTTCTATTGAGTACAATAAACATTCAGTAATATTAAATTAAAGTATACTTTTTACATCTGGTAAATGTGTCTTTCGTGTCGTCAGCTGTCACAGGTAAACTCTCAACAACTGGCTGGTCTTTTGGCTTGTAAACTGAACAGCAATGTCACAAAAGAGACCTGGAAGCTTTTCCTCAGTAAAACCAGCACAAACCTTGATGACGCTCTGCTGAAACTTTCTAACATGGTATAAATCTTCTTGTATTATATTTTATTTACACTGTTGTATTTTGATTTATTAAACATGTAATATGTGTTTGATTTCCAGACTCTCAGTCCCAGCAATGTTTCTCTGTCGAATGTGCTGGATGTGATTGCTGATGTCCGCATCGATCGTTTTAGTCCTCAGAGACTGAGAGATCCTGTCTTCATCCGCTCATGGTTTCAGGGCCGACTTAAAACTTTCTTACCATCAATATCCCAAAGTTTCCTGTCCTGTCTCAGCACTAAAAACCTTGCCTGTGAAAGCTACAGCACTATGTAAGTTGGTCTTCGTTACAAGGTCTAAATTGCTTTTAAAGCCACCTTTTCACAAACAAAACAAACGCCTTTGATCCATATTTCAACACAGTTTCTCCAGTTTTGTGGTTCTCTACTCTGATAGTTTATATATATCATACATCATCTAAACCCATATTTCAGGTTTCACCATATTTGTACATTTGTGTTTTTACTGTGATTTGTATTTCATTAAACCACATTATCTAGGGCTCTATTTGTTTTTAACCTATAATATAGCTACTATTTCTCTGAAAAAAAAGAGTGTTTCTGTCTGATTGAATCAATCTGAACTGTGCATAAGTTGAAAAGAGCTGACAACAAGCATTCCTCCAACATTAGTTTTGGTTACTCTTTGATACTCCTTTTATTTAAAAAAAATAAATAAATAAATTAGGGGTTTAATATTTTGCAACCCCAAAATAACATTTCCAGTACATTGCAGTTTGGTTGTTTTTTAAGTATCCTAAACACAACCTATAGCTTAGCTACATAATTTTTCCTCATTTATTTTTGAAAGTTATTATTTTTAGAAACAATAAATAACTTTTCCAGAATGCACAGAAGAATAAACTGGCTATATTTTGCAGAATTACAGAATTGGAAATAGTGAATTAGCACATTATGTGAAAACTTGTCAAAATTAATAATAAGGATCAAGGATATCTAACTGTAAAACTGAAATATAAAGATTTTAAGTAAGGGATAATGTAGATTCAGCCGGTTGTTGTCACAGAATAAAGTCTGACAGGATTATCAGCAGCCAGATACACAGAGTTTAAATTTAATTAGCTCTTAAATTGGTGTTTTGTAATTGTTTAGTTTGTAGCTGTATAATAAGTAGGATAATGTACATCCAGCCAGTTGTTTTTACAGATTTTTTTTACAACAACATTCGGCTTGATGGACATTATCCTGCTTATTACACAAAACTATCCTGCTTTTTCTCAGTTCAAGTAGCTGAGGAAGAACAGAAATGACAATATTTCTGACATATCCAGCAATAATCATCATGTCAGTATATGTTCATGTCTAATGACCTAAAACATTGGTGCCCAATCCTGTTACTGGATATCTACTTTCCTGCATAGTTCAGCTGTAACCTTGATCAAACTTACCTGTCTTTAATTACCAAGTGTTCCTTCAGATCCTGTTTAGTTGGCTTAGTTGTGTTTAATTAGAGTTGGAGCTGAACTCTGCAGGAAGGATTGATTACATTTACTTGTACTTAACATCATCTTGCACTCAGGTAATTTGAGGTTAATTTATGCCACTATGCTTTTGTACTCATATCCTCTCACATCTCTGTGTTATTTCTGCAGTATTGTGGAGTTAAGTAATAATTTTGGACTGATGGACAGTGCTACACAGAGATCAGTTTTCAATGACTTCATTGTTCCCTTCCTGTCACGACGTCAAAACACAAGTAACTGTGCAATCTGTTTATCAGTTCTGTTAATTGATTGTAAAATGTAAAATTAGCTTGTGCTCAGTAAATGTTTGCTCAATCTTTGAAGGACTCTATATTAATTACCTACAGTGGGGATCATATGTTGAGCAAATGTATTTATTTTGTAATTTCAGGTGTCGACTGCACATTAGCATATAACAACAGTGTGAACTTCATCCTGCAAAACTTCGGCAGTTTCTCTCAGTTTGCTCAGCTTCAGTTTTTTACCAATTTGAGCCTCAATTTTTCAGCTGTGAGTCTCACATTATTAGTGGATCACGTAAAGACACAACCTCAACACAACATAACACAACTCATGTCCTTTCAGGTGGAGGCTGTTCCTGTTCTCTCACTGACACAGCTGGGTGAACTGGTGTTCAGTCCTCCTGCTAGACCTGAAGACAGAGTCAACATCCTCACCAAAGTCTTTGACTTTCTTCTTCAAGCCTCTAACCGAGACAAACTCAATAGCTTCCTACCAGCTCTTCAGACACAGGCCAGAAAAGTGTGTAACAGCAAACTGCTTCATATAATGGAGTCTCAGCAGGCAGAAACACATCAAATATGCAAGTCGATTTCATCTCAATTGACTCCCTTGATGTCAAAATGACATCAAATTGTAAGATTGGTGTCAAAAATTGGTTACAGGACAGTCCTTTTTGACCTATTTGTTGACGCTAATGTTTTATGGATGTTCATTTTATGACATTTTGACATCAAGGTAGTTTATATGCAATTTAAGGATTCAAAATCCACTGTGAATTTATCACTTAAAAGGCTTTCAAAAGGATAAAAGATTTCTTATATTATAATACTCTTTGTGGGAGACACGGGGGCTCAGTGGTTAGCACTGTTGCCTCACAGCAAGAAGGTCGCAGTACTGTGTTGCAGCTGGAAGGGCATCCGCTGTGTAAAACATATGCTGGATAAATTGGCAGTTCATTCCACTGTGGCGACTCCTGATGAACAAAGGGACTAAGCCAAAGGAAAATGAATGAATAAAAAATACTCTTTGTGTCATTATTTAGTGGTAAAAAAGGCATCAATAAATGGATGTCATATGGATGTCATATGGACGTTTTGACATTAAATTGACTTGCATTTTTTATTTGTTTTTGACTTCATGTTTGGTGTCAGTTTAATGTCATTTTGACATCAAGGTGCATGCTGGAATGCTTTAGAAACTAATAATAATAATAACAAAAATAAAAATAATAATAATGATTATAATTTTATCCTGCAGGCAAACTTCAGCTGTGAAAATTACAAAACCATGTAAGTGACTTTAACTGAAGCTGACAGTAAAGTAGATATTATTAGTGTTGAATAATAACTGAAGCTGACAGTGATCTAGATAAATTAGTGTTGAATATGATTAATTTATTTTGTGTTTTGTCTGTGAATCAGCTTTGACAGGGTGGATCAGGCATTATTATCAGTCTCTCCTAACCAGACTGAAGCCCTTTTGACCATCAGAGACTCACTTATGACGATTCCTCCTGACGGTGAGACAGAATTCAGCAATAATAACTTGTTCATGTTTTATTTAACAAAATATGTGACAATCTGAATAAGTTTAACAAAATGAAGAGATCATACAAAATGCATCTTATTTTTTTATTAATATTTTCCCAAGTAAGGCATTTTACTTGAAAGACATTTACATATAATCCACAATACAAAAAGACATTGTCAGGTAATACATACAGTATTAAAATCCAAACTTTTGCTTGTGGTTATTTGAATGAAAATTTAATTTTGAGACTAACTCTGGCTTATTTACAGTTTACACTGTTAATTAGTGAGCTCCATGCCTGTTAAAAAAATAAATAATTTCTACTATATTTCTTGTTATTTCTCAAAAACATTTTCTGTTAAATGTCTTGGGACTGAACTCAATAATTGAAAAAAAATCAGGCATTTTGTTTGACATTTCTTATTTTGTTCAAATTATTGCAATTTTCACTCATTCTGTGAGAGATCCTCAAATGTAGCACAAGCCCTGTGAGAATTAATGTGTGAACTGTGTTTTATTTCCATCTAGAATGCATTCAGAGATCAAGCCAAGTGAGTAACAAATCAAAAGATCAATTTCATGTATTGTGTGTTTTTACTGAAGCCCCTTTATTTCAACACAATGTTTGTTCTCACTCCGGCAGTGCACAGTGACTCCTGTAAATGGTAAGTGACTGGTTTTGTGTGGACTGATTTTTGATTTTGCTAAAACTCAAATCTTGGTTGTTTTATCTTCCAGAGACTGTCCTCTGTGCAAATATCAACAGGTGAGCTGTTCTGTCAGCACTATATGAGTTAAACACTGATTAAATTATGGTCTGTCATAAAGATGTTCTTCTGGTTTGCAGCTCTGCTGTGGGTCAGGTCTTGAATGGTCCAAATACAACATCCTCGCTGAATTTATGTAATTTCACAGTGCTGGAGTTTGCCTGTCTGCCAACGGTAATAATACAATAGCAAAGATGAACATTTTCCTCCTCTGGTCACTTAATATTTGTGTCATAGTTTTAGATTTGATACACTGTAAGACTCAATATGTTAAAGGAACAATCCACTTGTTTTAGAAATGGACTCATTTTGCTACTCTAGAGTTAAACAGTTGGGTTTTGCCATTTTTTAATCAATTTAGCTAATCTGGTAGCGGGAGCACTTTTAGCTTTGCTCAGCATGGATCACTGAATGGAATTAGACCATTAGCATCTCTTTCCATAAACTCAAAAAAAGTATTTTTAAAGATTGACTCTTCTGTAGTAAAATCGAGTACTAAGACTAACAGAAAATTTAAAGTTGCTACTTTCTAGGCTGTTGAATTTTTGGAGCAAGATGCTAATGGTCTAATCTGATTCAATAGTCTAAGTCAGTGGTTCCCAAAGTGGGGGTCGGGACCCCCCTAGGGGTCGCGCTATAATGATGAGGGGTCGCCTTGTGATTTCCAAAAATGCGACCCCTGGGGTAATTACATAATATTAAAGACACAGCAATAGCGTCAGATGCAGCAGATTGATTTTATGGCACCAGGTTAAACTTTCTGGCCCATTTACAGCACTGACATACATTAAAAAAAATTAAAAGAAGAATAGAATTTGGTCTATTGGAGTGTGTGCGCCATTGCATGCAAGGTTTCTGTATTTATAACCACCTCAGAGGATATTGGGGGTCACGAGTCACTGGCATTGTCATTTTTGGGGTCGCAGGCTCAAAAGATTGGGAACCCCTGGTCTAAGTTAAGCTAAGCTAAGCTAAAAGTGACCCCATCAGATCTGGAGATCAGCTAAATAGATTGATACATTGTAAAACTCAACTATTAAACTCTAGTGGTGCCTATTTCCAAAAAAAATAGGAGTGTTCCTTTAAAAGAACTCTAACCATTTGAGGAAAATGATTGCCTTAAACCAATTAAGTTTAAAAACTAATATTTATAATAATATCCTCCTATTATTATTATTATTATTATTATTATTATTATTATTATTATTATTATTATTATATTTTTATAAATCTTGAGCAAAACACATCAAATAACTCCTTCATTTAAAATTTAAATTTAAACATGATGACAACTGTAAATTTGCTGTAACTCATTCCGTTTAAGTTCTGCTTAATTTAATGAAATAATGATTTCATTAAATTTTTTTCTGTTAACTACAATGAACTTTCAGTAATATTTGAGTAAAATATACTTCTTTCATCTGGTAAATGTGTCTTTCGTGTCGTCAGCTGTCACAGGTAAACTCTCAACAACTGGCTGGTCTTTTGGCTTGTAAACTGAACAGCAATGTGACAAAAGAGACCTGGAAGCTTTTCCTCAGTAAAACCAGCACAAACCTTGATGACGCTCTGCTGAAGCTTTCTAACATGGTATAAATCTTCTTGTATTATATTTTATTTATACTGTGCTATTTTGATTTATTAAACATGTAATATGTGTTTGATTTCCAGACTCTCGGTCCCAGCAATGTGTCTCTGTCGAATGTGCTGGATGTGATTGCTGACGTCCGCATCGATCGATTTAGTCCTCAGAGACTGAGAGATCCTGTCTTCATCCGCTCATGGTTTCAGAACAGACTAAAACCTTTCTTGCCATCAGTTTCCCAAAGTTTCCTGTCCTGTCTCAGCACCAAAAACCTCACCTGTGAAAGTTACAGCACTATGTAAGTTGGCTTTCGTTACATGACATAAAGGGATTTTAGATTTTACATGACATAAAGGGGCCACTGTAGTTTACAATGTATCTTTAAAATGTCATTTTTATCTTTCAGCACTGAATCTTTTATCAATGCACCTCTACAAACTGTACAAGATGTCTGCAACCCACCTGTACCCAGTGGCACTCAGAAACAGGATCAGGTGTACAGGAATTTCATGAAAGCTTTCCTCTCACGCAGTGACACCAATGGTAAGTTCAGAATATTTCTATGAAACTTATGTGTTATATTCTTATATTCTTATGTGAATTCCAGATTAAAGTATGAACTGGTCTGACACAGTTTCTATTTACTAGAACTTCTATGTTAAGCTACTTTGACTTAATCTACATTGTAAAAGTGATAGGATGAAATGAATTGAATGAAAATGTTTGCACATAGAATGATGTGCACAAAACTTTTTGTAAATATTTGCAATAAATTTATAGAAAAATGCATAAAAAGTCCACCTTTGAGTAAAACAAGCTACAAATGTTTATTTTTTGTGTGTGTGTGTGTATTGTAGCTGATTATTACAAATGTCAAATGTGTGTAATTATCAAATAAACTAAATTTGCGTTATTGCCTCCCAAAGGTAGGAACCCATTCTTACTGCCTGAAACAAGTTGTATATAATCACAGTTTTAATTTCTTAAAAAGCCTAAATAGATTTGCAGCAATTTTACATAATGCTAGCCTGGGGTCTTCATTGGCTGCTGAATAAACATTAACAAAAAACACTGATCACACACTTACCAAATCTGTAGAGACAGGACAATCAACACCAACTGGAACCGTGTTTTTTTAAAAGAAGATGAGCAACAAATCCGGATTTCACCATTTTTCAGATGTGAAAAGCTCTCTTACTCTTACTTACAGACTTATTTTATTGCATGTTAGCAGACCACTGTAATCCACACATGTGGGTCCAGCTGCGCTCTCATAGCAGGGAAATGGAAACAAAACCTTTGTTGCAGCACATTTATAAACGCAACACTTATGACCCACATCTCCAAACAATTCTTCTTCTTCCTCTTGTTTTAATTACGGTTGGCAACACAGTGGTGTCTCTTTGCCGTCTGAACACTGTAACAGGTAAAAACAGTCTTGTGGTCAGACACAAAATATCATTCAGCGTTTGAACTCTCACAGTGCATTATGTGTATTTTGGAACTGTTGAATGTGCATTAGTCGTACACTCATTATTGCGGTGAGTTGTGGGATTGATTGAGTGGCTTCACAACATCCACTTTAGTTACAGACACCTGAAATAGTGCACTATTTAAGGGTATTGGGGCCATTTTAGACACAGCAACGGACACTGAAGTTTTTAAAAGCTGATGGATCAGCTGATAAGCAATAAGAGCAGAGTGGACATTTGGACAAAAGAGGTTTAGAGAGAGTGGATTCTTCAAAACAGACACTGTGGTAAAAATAATGGCGTAATATATATTTTGATAACATAAAGTGCTTTTTTTAACTGCAAAACATTGCAGGAGACTTTTTAAACAAAATCTTTAATGTAACATGATATAGTGTCATTTTAACTTATTTAATGAATCACAATGAAAATATTCTTCTAGATCCTGGGTGCCTCAAAGACTCTGCCAACACCACTCTGTGGGTCAACAGATACTTTGGGCCATTAATTCAGTCTGCTAATCTGACGGAGCTTTTGGCACTTGACAGTAACTTCAAAACAGTGAGTGTAAAATGATGCAGTTTACACAACCTTCTTGATTGAAAAAGCAATACTGTTTTTGACTTTTTCATCTTCTTGTTTATCCATTTAGGTGGAGGTTTTACCTGTTTTGAGTCTAAATCAACTGGTTGAGTTTTCCCTCACTCCTGGAGCTCTTGCAAATCCTCAAAGTGCTATCAAAGTCATGCAGCTTGTTAAGGATTGCCAGCTGCCCACCTTCTTTGACCGCTTTTCCCCCAAATTAAATGTAAAAACAGATCATTCTTGCTAAATATCCTAATTTAAAATATCTAAATAGACATTACTAAAGCTGCAGTGATATTATCTTCTTCTTTCCAGGACATCCTGCTCACGCCTGATGTAAAAACAGCACTGATTAAACAGATATTTGACAGAGCCAACCTGTCTGATCTAAATACCGCTAATGGAGAAGTTCTGGTCTGGATTCAGACTAGACTCCCGCCTCTGTTATCCAACTTTTCAGAAAGCCTTGTGTCTCCATTTTTTACCATCCTCAATGCAAGGGACTGCAATATCACTCAATTCGCGTAAGATCAATAGACTTTTTATCAGAATTAATGAGAGTAAACATTAAAACGATCTGAGAGCATAATATTGTGTGTTTAATTTGTCATTACAGACTGAAGCTGTTAGGGGGAGTTGGACCTTCAATACCCCCAAATACCAAAAATGCAATCTACAATAGCATTCTTCAGTCCTTTGGAGGTATTATGTTGACACAAACATCATCACGTGTATATATATATATATATATATATATATATATATATATATATATATATATATATATATGTATGTGAGCTACATCACACTTGTAGCAGTGCGATGTGGCTTTATATCAGCACTAGTGGGAGGTGTGTGTTGGCACAAGGTCACAGGTCGAATGCCTTAGTGTCCCACCAGTGACGATATATAGCTACATCGCACTGCTATGAGTGTGATATTGCCTTTGCTTAAAAACCCTTTTGTATGAGGGACTATTTTCTTCCGCCATTCATTCACATCTGCAGCAGATGTCAGAACAGCAGAAACCATTGCTAGAGGTAGTAAATGTCACTTGAAGCTAGTATTTGAATGATTCTCTAGCGTAATCTCTAAAGTGATAACAAAACAGGTGATTTTGCTGACATTTTAAGATTATAAGGCTGAAAGCCATGAAATGCCATCAGTCTACAGAGATTTCCCTGTATTTCTCTATTGCAATTTGGAAAACACAATAATTAACCCTGAAAAAAATCAGATTACTGTTGTGTTTGCGATAAAGAATAACGCTAAACACATGCGGGCATTTCTTTTTTCTTTCTGTTTAGTGAACTAGTCTGCAGTAACAAGAACAGTAGACTCATTAGAAACAAACAGATGGCCAACCAAAAAGTAGCTTAGGGTTATACTAAGAGTGGTTGACACAAAATACATACTTTCCTAATATGTGAGTCCCATCTCGATCTCAACACACTACAATTATTATATTAATACAGCACTACAACAAACAAAGGAGAGAGATCAACTTAGAATATCACTTACCTGTTTAATAATGATTTGATCAGCTGTTTTTATCTTCTAAAGGCTTACTATGTGGTGTCTATCACCATCTTTGCTTCCCTCAATGACAGGCTAATGGCCAAAGGTCTTTCAGAAATTATAAATATTAAAAATAGGCACTATCCTTATAAATAAACTGCATAGTTGCAATCTATAACTATATTCTTGACTAAAAAAGCCTCAAAAGTACATTATGTTGTCCAACTGCTGCAATATTTCGTCACTTTGGAATTATAAGGTTCTGAATGATTTTGAGATATTGAGCTTTAAAGTTTTTGCATTCCATAGCAAACAGTATGTGTGTAACATTTGTTTTTTAAATAAAAAGTCTTAAAATGTAAACAACTTATAAAAAAACATCCCATAATGTTAATAAGTTGTCATTTAATAAGAATATGTCAATAACTCAATTTTGACAAAAATGTCAGATAGAACCTTATAATTCTAAGGTGACGTTTTGTCCAACTGTAGAGTGTTCTCTTCTTGTTGCTATATGTGGGCGGAGTAATACACAAGAGTGGAATATAAAAATAAAAATAAAAATTAGATCAGAAAATAAGGAGAACTAAAAACAGAAATACCCTGGTAACATACCCAAAATATAAAAATACATATAAATACATTAAGATCATTTACATTAATCAGTACTATCAGAATTTAAGAGACACTGTCAACCAGCACAACAGAAATGTTTCTGAAATCAATCACTGACTGTTTCTTAAAAAAAAAAAACTAAGAGGGAAAGTCAAGAAAATATAAAAATAAATAATAAAATTTAGTAGTTCAGTGACCAAACTCTTATTTTAATTAATATAACTTTATTAAAACAGTTTTGTTTAAGTGCACATACATTTATATATAAATATATATATATTCACTGAGAAATTGATGCATTCATTTTTAAAAGGGGTGTACTTATTTTTGCTGCATAAGAAATGATATGACAATTCATAAATGTATATTTTTCCACTTAGCATTAAATAAGAAACAATATTTGGTGTTTCCCAGTTTGGGATTGCAGCTGGAATGGCAACCACTACGTAAAACACATGCTGGATAAGTTGGCAGTTCATTCCGCTGTGTCGATCACAGATTAATAAAGGAACTAAGGCAAAAAGAAAATGAATGAATAAATACTTGGTGTAGAAAGATTATTCATTCATTTATTCATTTAAATCTTTCTCTCTTGTAGGGCCACAGGGTCTGAGATGCTACAGAAACAACAGCTTCATGACATTTCTGAATCAAAGCCTGTTCAGTTTCGGGCCTCTTCCAAATCTGACCACCTTCCTCTCTCTGATCCCACCTGCTCGGATATCTGAGGTATGCTCCATATCTACTCGTCAGTGCAGCTGCTCAATGTGGAAACAGTAAGAAAACTGATGCTTTATTGGTGCTTTTCAGCTTTTAAACTCTTTTGCTCCTTCTGAGCTGGGCACCTACCTCAGACAGCTGAAAGTGCTGAACAACGATTCCCAAATCTGTGTCATCTTTAACACCTTTACCAGAACCCCTGATTTCCTGGAGAATGTAGGTTTTATCTTTTATTTTAATGCTTGTTAAAATTCACATTTAAGTAATACTTAAATTCGGGATGACATATTTACACGTTCGGTGCACTTACTATAAAAATATAAAGAACTATGCATAATTACATGGAACTAACAATAAAGTTGACCCATATTCTAACCCAAACCATAATGTAAATACATGTAATTACGTCCCACTTTATATTAAGTGGCCTTAACTAATATGTACTTACACATGAATTAATAGTTTGTTACAATGTACTTATTGTGTAAATACATGTATTTATTGTGTACTTATGCTTGATTAAATACCTGTATGTATTTACATCTGTAACTAACTTCTGTAGTTACATTTGTAAATACACTGCTGACCATTCCCTACACCTTAACCCACCCTTAAACCTACCCATACCACCAAACCTGTCCATATCCCAACTCAAGAACACCACAAGTGTGCTCAAGTACATTATAAACACAGTAAGTACATTGTATTTTTTTTGATGCAAGTACATAGTAGTTAAGGACACTTAATATAAAGTGGGACCTGTAATTAAATAATATTACACAGTAATTTAATCAATAGAGACACTGTATTTACAGTTGAAGTCAGAATTATTAGCCCCCCTTTGACCTTATTTTTCTTTTTTAAATATTTCCCAAAATATGTTTAACAGAGCAAGGAAATTTTCACAGTATGTCTGATAATACTTTTTCTTTTGGAGTGAGTCTTATTTGTTTTATTTCGGCTAGAATAAAAGCAGTTTTTTAATTTTTTAAACACCATTTTAAGGACAAAATTATCAGCCCCTTTAGAAAGCGTATACATTTTTTTTCTGATAGTCTACAGAACATATCATCATTATACAATAACTTGCCTAATTACCCTAACCTGCCTAGTTAACCTAATTAGCCTAGTTAAGCTGTTAAATGTCACTTTAAGCTGTATAGAAGTGTCTTGAAAAATATCTAGTCAAATATTATGTACTGTCATCATGGCAAAGATAAAATAAATCAGTTATTAGAAATGAGTTATTAAAACTATTTTGTTTTGAAATGTGTTGAAAAATATCTACATTAAACAGAAAAAAAATAAACAGGGAGGCTAATGATTCAAGGGGGCTAATAATTCTGACTTCAACTGTATGTCACCTTAAAGTAAAGTGTAATCCTCATTTAAAGTCACTAAAATTTACTTCAATATTCTGTATTGTATTATCATTTGTTACAGGAGGATGTTCCAGATAATATAAGGAGGGCCATACTTCCCTGTGTTTGGCCGATGGCGTTGACTAGCGACAACCAGACGGAGATTAATTTGTGGTTTGATCGTAGATTAAAGCTCTACTTGAAGTTTCTAAACAAAGATCTAATCGGGTCAAAAGACACCCTGAGCTCATCCTGTCTGTCGTACAGGAAAATGTGAGTGTAAAGAGCTGTGCTGAAATTTGTTCGAATGTGAAGTCTGCTGCTAAAGTTCTTCCTCTGTGTTTCTAGGATCAATGTTTTAGGCAACAGTTTTACATTCAGCGGTTCCCAGATTACTTCTAATGATGTATACTCTACCATCAAGACATATCTGAAAGCAGGTGAGCTTTTCATCCAAACTCCACCACCAAAATATATATATTAGGGCTGTCAATTAATTAAAAAAATTAACTAATTAATCACACTTTTTTGTAATTAATCATGATTAATCATGAAAAGTCGTATTTATTACAGAAATAAAAACACAGGCATGTAAGTGCCATTTAAATTTCAAAACAATCAATCCCAATATCAAACAAAAATGATTTCTATGTTGGATTCTAAGTGGACTATAAGAAAAATCCAAAATACAGGCATTGCAGATATGGAAAATTCTAATAATAGGAGACTAATAAGGGACAACATCAGCGATGTCAGGCATTTGCTCTTGTTAGGAAACACACTCACACACACACACACACAGACAAATTCATCAAATTTGCTTAAACTAAGCTTTCTAAAATATGACTATATTTTTCAAGCAAGGATTCTGACACAGCAACATGAAGCAGACGCTTTACAAAAGTTGAGTGTAGGGCGGAAACTATCAAACTTAATGAAACATTTGAGGGCGCATCAACTTAAAGACGAAGGAATGGCTTGTCTTTGACAGCTTGCGACATCATCTGCCACTTTCACAGAGTACATTTAAATGGACACCAAGACTCCGCTTTTATAATTAAGATAATACTGATTAAGAGTCTACCATGTAAGCAGCGATTTTTGATAACCTTAAAGGACCACCCGAGTCACGAAATGCAGAGGTTTTTCTTTCCGTATCAAATTCCATTAAAACAACACTTTTCCAGCAGTCCTTACTTCATATTTTCATCCAATAATTGTCACGGGGCACGAACAATATGTTGCATGAATAAACTGCATGAAACTCTGGAGGAAACGCTGGAAAGCCTGGTGATGAGACATTAATTGTTTTATACTGAAACTTTCCTTCTGTAAGCGCTTCCTTGGTTTTATTCATATTTCTTTGCATGTTAAACACACGTCGGCCACAACAGGAAATAAAAAAAAATTATATAATCCATTTTAGAATATATATATATATAGCTGAAGTAGGAATTATTAGCCCTCCTGAATTATTAGCCCCTCCTTTATTTTTTTCAACACATTTCTAAACATAATAGTTTTAATAACTCATTTCTAATAACTGATTTATTTTATCTTGCCATGATGACAGTAAATAATATTTGACTAGATGATTTTTCAAGATACTTCTACACAGCTTAAAGTGACATTTAATGGCTTAATTATGTTAATTAGGGTAACTAGTCAGGTTAGGGTAATTTGGCAAGTTATTGCATAATGATGGTTTGTTCTGTAGACTATCAAAAAAAAATATATAGCTTAACTCATTTAAGCGATATGTTTTTTGATAGTCTACAGAACAAACCATCATTATGCAATAACTTGCCTAATTACCCTAACCTGACAAACCATATATATATTAGGGTTGTGAACTGCACTGGTCTCATGGTTCGGTTGCGGTTATGGTTGGGTCTAAAACTGTCAGTGCTGTTTACAGATGAGAGACGCAGACACTGAAGAATGCACAGTAACAGTCTATATGTGCATAATAAAGCGCACATTGCGAAGCTATTACAACCAATCCATGATAGACACTGTGGAGAAAACTTGCTCTACAGACACACTCATGTCAGGAGTATCAATTTAATAGCTACAGAGGAAAGGAAAAGTTACCTTACAGACATACCTGGTCCAAAAGTGTGAGAATGAGAGAGAGAGATAGAGAGCTTTCATTTTCTTCCTAGCGGTGAAATAGTGTCTCCTGGTACTGTTGTACTTCAGTGTCAGCGAAAGACTGTCCAGCAAACTTGCATGCAGTGAACTGTGTGCAGTTGTTTGATTTTTAAGTAGTTGGAGCCTTTTAATTAAACATTTTCTTTCTTTTTTTTTCTTTTCAGACTCTACACCAAAATGCTATGATGCTTCTAATCCAAAACTGAGCTCAACTGCATGGTTTTCCAACTACATCGGTACATTTATAACTTTCTTGAATCTAGACGACCTCTACACTTTTGGCTCAGATAGTGCGGTATGAATTACATACACTTGTTCCCACAGATATTAATACCTATGTTGCATAGTTTGTGTGGCATTTATATTAAGGAGAAGCAAATTAATCCATATTGCTAATCCCTTTCCAATTGGGTTGTTTACAGATTCAGATCTTTACTGTGGACCCAGACAACATCAATCTGTTCAAACAAAAGAACCTTCCAAACAACCTGACCAGCCACTACACACAACTCCTTTTTCAACAGAACCCCAGCTTTAATGTTTTAGAGTAAGTCAGAAACCAGATTATAGTCTTGAAGTGTTTGATATTCAGTCAAGCAAATCAATCAACCTTTATTTATATAGCAACTCACTACAACCAAGCATACCTGACAATACCCTTTTTTCCTGGGAGTCTCCCATATTTCAGACCAATCTCCAGCCACCCTCCCGTTTTGTTATTTCTCCCAAAAAACTCTCGTAATTTCAACCATACCCCTAGATGACCCCCCTGTCCTCAGCATTTTGGTGCAGTCTGTGAAACCCCTGGGTCGCAGCGGCCGCCCGAAACACGCTTCATAGTAGTTACTAAAACCACAGTACACTGTGTTATTCAGACACCCCCCAAACCTAACCCCCCTGGTCTCCTGGATTTTCAGGAATAAATGTTGGCAGGTATGCAACCAAGGTTGTTCAGAGTGCTTTACACCAGTAAAAACAAATAATACAACACAACCAGAATGCTAATCTATACAAGAACTGTCAATAGAATACAGCAAAACATTAAAAGAAAGAAAAGTGTCAGTGCTACTATGCATTAAAAGCCATTTTGAAAAAGTGGAACTTAAGCTTGGCTTAAACAGTGAATTATTACATGTATTAATAATAGTTTTGACCACGTTTTCCTTTTTCTAGCCTACCTACATTTCTGCAGTGCAGTGCCCCAGCATCCACCTTCACAAAACTTGACGAGACTCAGACTAACGCTATTCTTGGAAACTTCAAAACATCTTGCTCTGGTGTAGATCCTGCAGTAAGTATTTGATTAAAACTGAAGTCATTTCGTGAAGTGACCATGCTCACTTCTTAGAGCAGGGGTCACCAATCTCGTTTCTGGAGGTCTGGTGCCCTGTAGGGTTTAGCTCCAACTTGCCTCAGCACACCTGCCTGGGTGTTTCAAGTGTAAGACCTTGATTAGCTTGTTCAGGTGTGTTTGGTTAGGGTTGGAGCTAAAATCTGCAGGACACCGGCCCTTCAGGAACAAGTTTGGTGATCCCTGATGTAGAGTCTGACTGGTGTTCCTTACACTCGTCTTCAGATATCCACTGCACTTGCGGGAAACATCAAAACCATCAGTGCTAATGTCATTAGCAACATGGGAAGTGAGATTGTTGGTCTTACAACTGTCCAACTGAATGCAGCACCTCCAGACGTCCTCATCAGTAGTCTCTCAACGTTGACCACTGTGTCTGGGTGGAACTTCGGGCAAGCCAAGACTATCATAAAAGTGCTTCTTAGTGGTTCATATCAGGTAAAAAGTCAACTTTAGTAGTTGAAGTTTTAATTATTAGCACTCGTAAATTATTAGCCCCCTATATATTTTGTCCCAAATTTCTGTTTTGTGAAAAGAAGATTTTTTTTCAATACGTCTAATAACTGATTTCTTTTATCTTTGCCTTGATGACAGCACATATTATTTTAATAAATATTTTAGTTTGATTTAAAGACTTAACTAAGTTAATTATTCAATTTATGATAATACAGGAAAATCATTATTTAACAGCGATTTGTTCTGTAGACAATCGGAAAAAAAAAATATTGCTTAAGGAGGCAAATAGTATTGACATTACAATTATTTAAAAAAAATTAAAACTGCTTTTATTCTTCAGATTGAGCTTATCCTTATGTTAAATAAAAGCACTACTTTTCAAAAACACTTCCTCAGAGAGAGCTGCTTTGGATGAAAACATCTGCTTAAGGACTGAATGTGAATGCAAAGAGAGAAATCCAGCCAACTGAGTGACTTTTGTTTGACTTTCTGCAGCTCACCAGTCCCACCAATTTGGTGAATCTTGGACCACTGATAACAGGAATCCCTTCAACGGTGCTGACAAGCATTGACCCAGTCCAAATTGTCACAATGACTCAAAACGTACAATTTGTAAATAACATGCTGGCGGCCCCAGAGATTGTCCAGAAGACTTTTGTAAACCAGGTATGTGAACAGCCTTCATGCGTATTTAAATGTAATTCAAGTGCAAACATCTCCACGAAAATCTAAGTGAACTCAAAAGTAGGTGGAAAAGTTAAAAAGCCTTTATGGACATAGGCTTTTCAGGCTTGGATTAACGAACTTGAATTCTGGAGATGTGAGAGCGAAGAAGGAGACTTGAGGCATGTCCTGGGGTCCTGTTCTAAAATACAGGAATTCTGGGTTAAAGTGTACAAATAGATTCAGGATGTTTCTGGATGCTGCTTTTTGTTTTGTTCTAAAAATATATGTACTGGGAAACCTGCTCGTGTTGTGGTCTGGTGTGAAGATGTCTGAGTGGATTCAAATAAGTATTATGATTTGTAGACAAATCGTTATGAGGGGATGGCGTTCAGCAGGTCGACCATCATCTCAAGAATGGGTTACGGAATTGGGGAAGGTGGCAGCATATGAAAAAATGACATATAGATTACTTGATAAATTGGATGTTTATCAAAGAAGATGAGATAGAGAGATGAGAGAAAATGTTTTTTTTTTTTTTTGGAGGATGATGAATAAGGTCACTGTGGTGAGACGCACGGTAAAAGTGTAATTATGTTATTTGATTGGTGTGGTGGTGGCTGGCGGAGGGGTTTCGTGGATAAAATTGAGCAAGGCGGGGATGTTGCAGTCAAAAATGAATAGGGTTAGGGAGTTGCAGAAAAAAAGTGAAAGTGAATAGTGGACGAGGGAGGAGGGCGGTTGAGGAGGGGGATCTGTAAAATAAGGTGCTGGATCAGATTTCAGAGGTGCTGGATCTGGATCCGGATGCGGCGTGTTCCAGCACAAAATAAACCCTGGTTATACTACATAAACTTCTTCTTCTTCTTCTTCTTCTTCTTCTAAGTCTCATAGAAACATCATAGACTTCCATTATAAAAAAAAATCCATTGACTTTACATTAGACATACTAATAGCATACCAATTCATACTAACAATATACTAATCCTTAGAAACATACTAACGACATACCAATAGAAACATACCAATCCATACTGGAAACAAACCAATCTATACTGGAAGCAAACCAATCTATAGTGTAAACCAGTGGTCACCAAACTTGTTCCTGGAGGGCCGGTGTCCTGCACATTTTAGCTCCAACCCTGATCAAACACACCTGAACAAGCTAATCAAGGTCTTGCTAGGTATACTTGAAACATCCAGGCAGGTGTGTTGAGGCAAGTTGGAGCTAAACCCTGCAGGGACACCGGCCCTCTAGGACCGAGATTGGTGACCCCTGCTGTAAACATACCAATCCATACTGGAAACACACTAACAAATATACTAATCATACTAGTAACATGCTAATTATTATTGCATTGTTATTGTATTTATGTGTTGTTTTACCATTATTATTTTCTGTATGTGTGCAGTTTTATTTATGGAGTTTATATAATTTATCTGTATTTACTGGATTTAGCAACATCTCATTACCGTAAGTGTCGCTTTTGGGGAGGGGAAGGAAAGGGGGTGTTAAAAGGATGTGTAAACTGGTGGGACTGTTAAATTATTGAAGAAAGTAAAAAAAAAGAGTCATAAAAAGCCTTTTTAAAAATGCTTTTTTAAAGCTTTTTAAACTTTACCACCTACTTTAGGACTTTTTTTTGTATCTTTTGGTATTCCTTATCTAAAGAGCACTCATGCAATAATTACCACTTAAGCACTTTTTGTTTGATTCTAGCCTCATTTAAATCTTTTGTTTTATTTATTTATTTTTAGATAATAAAAGTTAATACAGAACCAAGTGTGCTAATGCAAAACATTCCCAGTGAATTGGCCGTTCAAATCCCAAGAAACCTTCTGGACATTCCCTCCACTGTAAACACGGTCGTCATACAACAGTTTAACAATAAAAAGTGGAAACCTGAACAGGTACTATTATTTACAGAAATAATTAGTAGCTTTTTCCATGCATGTTAATTGCCTTTGCTAATTGTTTTTTTATGATACTTTACAGGCAGTTCTGTTCTTTGATTCTGTTGCAAATGCTTTCGATCAAGCTGATGAGTGAGTATTGTTGAAAACGTTTATGTTCAAATGAAGAATGTGCAAATATATTGGATATAATTTCTGGCTGTTAGCTATCGGCATATCAGTAATAACTTTCTCCCCGGAGTCTCCCGTTATTCAGATCCATCCCCTGTATTGTTCTGTCTCCCGGAAAACTCCCGGAATTCCACCCCCATACTTACAGCAACAGCATTGGCTTTATTTAAGTTTATTAAATAAATGTCTTTTATTTTATATTTATTATATGAAAATAAAATACAATGTCAGATAAAAGTTACTGTTGTTATAAGAAATATTAAACCGCAAAAATCAACTTTAACACTTGTCATTTTACCATATTTGTTATCTTAACTCATGCCTCTCTTAAAATGTTGGAAAGATGAATGTTAAATAAATGAATCTGATACATGTACAGAAAAAAATAATTTAATCAATAAAAAAATAGCTAGTAATGTGTTCACCTTATACTTCGCGTATGAGTGGGTGCAGCCCAGGTGCAGCCTTTTAAATCTTTTTGGCTAGAGACTTCCAGTCTCATTCACTTCCATTAATTATTAGATGTTAAAAACAGCTCATAATACTGCTTGACATACTGACATTTTCTTTTAATATTATTCTACTTTGTCTATATAATCATGCAAACACTTGTTTGAAGAGTTGGTAGTTTGACCGTTTTCTGCTGTTTATTATAGTAATTTGTCCATAGGCAGCTGAATTGGAACTTCTAAAACAAGCACACTTCCGCATTAAAGAAAAAGGTCAACAGCAGCCCCAACCCTTTTCCTGAAGGCACACCAACAATACATATTTTCAACCTCTTCCTATCCAAACACACCTGAAGTAACTCATCAGAACATCAGAACATTATAAATTCTTTGGGAGACATCCAAAATATGTGCTGTTGATGTGCCTTCAGGAACAGGGTTGGGAAACAATGCTGTATAGTACTGTATGTAATTAACCAACATTAATATCAGAGATCCAGCCTAAGGTTTTTTTGTTAAAATCAGCGATTTCTGTAAAAAACTTTTGTGATTTTTTTTTTTCCCGAAAAAGTTAGAATTTTTTTTCCTGCAGCTTGTCAGTGCCAGTTTTGCAAGGATTTACATGTTCCCGAGTGCAGACCTTCACCAAAACTAAAATCCGAGGTCTGATCAAAGCCTGCCGCCGGAGGCCAAACAGACAAACAGTGATACTTAGTGAGACTCAGGTGAGAGCTGACAAACACGACAGAAAATAAAGTCAAATACTGTAAAGCTTGGTTTAAAGCGCAATAAAAATAACCCAATATGCTATGCTTCTAATTGTTTTTCCAGCTGACTTGCATGTACAACCTGATCAGAAGGGACTCACCTCTGGATTTTTTCAACTATCATCCAAATATGTTGTTGTACTACAAGTAAGCGCTAACCATTATTTAACCATGGCCAGATTCAGTTTTTCTGCCATCTAATGTTAAAAGATTTATTAGTGAAAGTTGAAATACTTCTGTCCTCCTCCTCAGTTATGACACCATCAACAAAACCATCTGCAGAGACTATTTTACTGCAGTCGGAGCAGCAGATCTCTCAATCTTTTCAAGCACACTGAGAGGAAGAAGGGACATCTTGTGGAGTAATGCTGTAGATTGCTTGGTAAGCATCAATCTGTTATAGAGATCATTAAAGCCTCAGACACACCAAACAAATATCGTTGGAATCACTTTCAAAAAGTTAATTTTTCAGCTAATAATCCACTAAAATATAAAAGGCTTGTGCAATTTAAAGCTACATTGTGGACACTGTGTTATGTAAAGCCCTCTTTTTAAAGATATTGAAAAAACAAGAAATGATTCAAATTATTTAAAGATAAACTAGCAAACTGAAATGTAAAAACAATGGCACATTAGCATGTCCTGTTTCAGCGTCTTTGTGTTGCCTCCTTTGAAACTGCCATAGGAAAATAATTTATGTTGTTTTTACACCACTACACTGACTGCGATTGCTGAATTCACTGCTTGATTTGCTTGATTACAAGAGCTGGATTCACTGGACAGATGCACCAGAAACGCACACACTGAGGACAAATTCTGGTTACAAAGGGGAATTGTAAAAGGAAAAGCACAATCTAAAGACAAACAGGTTGCTGTTGTTCTCCGATGTAGACACAAATGTAGTTGTTATATTTAAAATGATAGTTATCATCCTTAGTGTGAACAGGTCTTAAAGCTCATTGTGACTATAATGTAAAAAATACAAAATTATTACATAAATTATAAGTTAAATGATTTCTTCAATCATTGAGTGTAGCAGCATCAGCATTTTTTAAGGTTAAGGAATATTTAAATGTATTAAAATGAAGAATAAACTTTAAAAACAAACATAAAATGTAGTGATATTTATTATAAACATTTAAAATAATTTTATAACATATTCAAAACTTGTTTTTAAGCCAAATCAAAGGCTTACTTTAAAAATAAATAAATAAATAAATAAATAAATAAAAATTAATAATAATAATACTTACTCTTACTCCCAGGGCCAATTTTGTTTTATATTAAAGTTGATATTTTAGCCACACCATGTTGGTGTTTTGTAACATTAAAATTTTACAAAGTGGGTCATTAGCCCAATGCCCAACCTTCAACCTGGAGGACCAGGACATACAGACATACGTTTCGGACAATTTAGCTTACCCAATTCACCTTTAGCGCATGTATTTAGCACAATAGTACATTTTATTAAACCTTTTTCTTAAACTTAAAGCACTACAATGTGTACAAGCAAAATAAGAATGCAACCAAAGCCAAAATTACAAACATACAGTCAAACCGCAATAATCAATAAAAAACTATCTTTTTTTTAATTGCATAATAAAAAAGACTGATAAATCACAAATTAAATGATTTATAAAAAGCATTTTTATACTAAAATGATGAGTCTTAAGCAATTTCTTAAAACAATCTAAGTAAACAGTATTCCTAATTAACGCAGGCAAAACGTTCCTCAATTTAGGTACATTATAAGAAAAGGCCCTCGCTCCCATTGCTTTTAATTAGCCTTTTTTTAGTTAATGATGTTAATAATTGCATCGTGTGAAACACTTTTTAGATGATAAAAATGTGTAACTTGCATCACTGACTATATGGTATTAGAGCAGAAATGAGCCTGGTTTTTCTCTAGGTTTTTTCCTTCATTTTTGTCAATTGATAAAGTTTGTTCCTCACCGCTGTCGCCACTGGCTTGCTTTATTGGGACTTGTGGAGCTGCGCATCGATGGGATTTGCCCTTCAGTGTTTGTACTTTAAGCAGTGAACATTAAACCACACTGAACTGAACTAAACTGAACTTCAACTCTGAAAACTGGACTGACACGGTTTCAAATTACTAGAACTTCTATGTTAACCTGCTTTGACAGTCTACATTGTAAAAGCACTATAGAAATAAACATGAATTGAATTGAAATGGCTATCCACACCAGCAGATGGCAGTAGTATTATTTTTTAAATAGAAAATGTCAAAAATTGCAGACTTCACTGAATAGGATAATTATTTTGAATAAGGAATTACTTTGCAACTGCTTAAAAAGTTGCTCTTTGTATATGTGTAGTGTGAATGAAATCTGGAAGTACTACATTCACTATGTTGACAGTGTGAACTGATACTATCAGACATATCACTTTGATGCCATTCACAAATCTTCTCCTGTGCCTCATGGGCAGTAAAGTGTCCATATGATGCACACTTCAGGGAGGAATGAGTCTTTTTGTACATGAGTATTCTGACATTTCTGATATAAAATAGGGAAGTATGTGATCCTGGATGTAGCTTGGTGTGTCAAAGCTTTTAGATAATAAGTATCTAAATATACTCTTTTTTTTTTTCAATTAAGGCCATTAACGGAACAAGCATCCGGAAACAGGATCTGACAGTGCTGGGCAATTTGGTGTGTGTTGTGAGCAGTGACTACATTACAAACTCAGATCCAGAAATCCTGGAGAACTTAAAGAACTGCAACGAACTCTCGGTTTCCCAAATAGCAGCCATGGAAGCTGTCATCATGAAGGGAACTACTAAATATGGGCAAGTTATCTTGATATTGCAGACTTTTGAGTTGATTCAGAAAATCTTAGTTTCAGTCCTTCGGTTATGATTGTTTAGTAATAAAAATGTATCATTTGTACTTTTTTTTTTAGACCAACAAGCAAGTGGAATCAGAAAACGCTTAACGATTTGGGAATTTTGCCATTGCACTTCTCACAAAACTTTTGGGGATCATTCCAGCAGGTAAACACATGTGAACATGTAATTTGTTTGTTTATTTGCTTGTTTTGAGCATGTTTTGTATTAAAATATACTTCAAAATATTCTTCAAATCTTAAAGTTTAATTCAATGTCTCCCTCTACCACACTATACAGTCAAAAATACAGGTTTTGTGACCATTCCATTTCCAAATTGTGTATTTTGAAGGATCGCATGAGAAACAACAAATGGAAACAACAAATTTTGATTAAAAAATCCTTTAATCCACAAAAAAAGTTTACTTGAGGTGGTTTTAGACTGAATTAAGCTTGTTTACTGTCAGTTGCTAAGTTACCAATAGTACAGTCAGCCACTCTAACAGCTTGATTTAAATGCACCTAATTCACATTTGTTTGTTTGTTTGTTTGTTTGTTTTGTACACTTTGAAATGTTTTGTTCAGATCATGAAGAAAACCCAGCTCTCTTAAACAATCTTTTTTTAACAGATTGATACGAGCACCTTCTTGAAAAGCTTCCTGAAATTTCTGCGTGGGCAAAACACACCAAAACTACTCATGAAAAGGCTGTTTAAAGCAATCATCATACCAGTAAAAAGAGCCAAGAGAGCAGGTATGCCATGTTGTTTTTTTTTTTTTTTTTTCATTCTTTTACTGCAATATCACATTCCCATTCATAATGTTGCACAAAATCAGAAAGCTTTTTAAATATTGACTTAAAGGGATAATTCACCCAAAAATAAAAATTGATAAACAGTTTCTATGCTAATTTGAAGTTAAAGGGAAAAAAAATAAATTGAAATGCAAAGATATAAATAGCATTGAACAAATAGATTTGTTCAATGCTTTGTTAAATTTTCCCTATACCAGCAAATCGTAACCTTAGAATTATCAGGTTCTATCTGACATTTTTGTCAAAATTGAGTTTTAGCAAATTAAATGACAACTCATTTAGATATGGGATGATTTTTTTATAATTTCTTTACATTTAAAGACTTTTTATTTAAAAAACAAATGTTACACACATACTGTGTGCTATATGGAATGCAAAAACTTTGAAGCTATGTATCTCAAAATCATTCTGAACTCTCATAAGATGGAACCTTATAATTCCAAGGTGACGAAAAAATTAACCAGACACCAATTATAAAAGCAGACTCTAACCCTTAATATTGTCGTCACCAATGACTAAATCTCTAAAAGACTAATGAAAACATTGATGAATTGTAGCTCTGACATGGACATGAGGCTTGTAATTTACTGAAAAACAACTGTGGGTGAGGTATATTGATCACAAGTGCTCAGTTTGTGATCATATCTCTGTTTTGTTCAGTTAAGAAATATTATGTAGCTAAGTAACAAACAGCAGAAAATGTGATACAAACCAGTGTTTGTGAGTACTAGTAAAATAAAATGACATAAACTAAAAGCTGTTTTTGTATAGCTAAAATAACTGGATTTCAAATCCCCCTACAAGTATTGCAAATGTTTACTCTTAGGTTAAAATAAGGTGGAAAATTAACATAAAACCAAAGGTTTCTTAAAATAATCACCTCGCCTTGTGTTTTTAAGCGGGTGACTGTACGGCAGGCAACATCACTAGTGTGACCATCAGCAATGACGCCTTCCCCTTTGGCTACGACGAGACTCAGTTCGGCAACTGTCTGAGTGCTGATGTGGTGAGGGATAATCTCGGCAGTCTGTGTGAAAAAATCGACGATAGCGGCTTTCAGAGAATCATTTTGGACAGACTTAAACAGGTAAAACTGACCGTTATAAGATCTGACCGAATCTCCCAACATAAACAGGACTTGTTTTGATGCAGAAGTACTTCTCTTGTCTGTCAGATTTATCCGAACGGCCTTTCAGACGATCAGGTCCAGGTGCTGAAGTCCGTTTCCAGGAATGTGTCGCTAGATGAAGTGAGTAAATGGAACATCACTAAAGTCGACACACTGGCTGCACTCATGAACACAAACGATGGCGATTGGTCTTCTGAACAGGTGTGGAATTTTATCGTACTTATTTTTACAGATGTTATGTATTTGGTTTTGGGCTAATGTTTTGATTTGTCTTTTAGAGCAAGCAGATCATCAGCCAATACCTAAGCGCTGGCAATAATCTGACAGCCACTGAGCTCAATCTGATTAAAGGACCAAATCTCTGCTCGATGGATACCAGCACAATATCAACAATACTGCCTGAAAGTATACGGTAAAAACTTAAAGCTGACATTGTACTTTGTATGGTTTTATTACAGGTGTTGTGTGACATTGATCAAAAGATTACATTTTTTTAAGAGATTAATTCATGCTCGCCCCCGTTTGGCCTAAAATCACAATCTCGATTCTTTGAATATTTTAACTCAATTACGAATAATGAACAAGTATTTTATTTATCTATTTAAATCTTTTTGCCCTCATAGTTCACTGAAAAGTTTTATATGCCATCTAAAGGTATCTCTGGCGCAGCTTCCAATCATCGTCAATGCAGTGCAAAGTAAGGTTTAAGAAGGAGTCCATTGTCCTACTTGACCAGAGATCAGATGTGGTTGCAAAGTAGCCGCAGAAGTGGAAATCAGCCACAGTCTTTAACAGAGCAGGGGCATGTGAAGGCCCACACAAAATCTGCGCATGCAGAATTCCGCAAATTTTCAAATTTTTTCAAATTGCTAATTTTTAGCCTATCATTAATTCTTATTTACTTGAGTAAATGTGTGTGAATCTATATTTATTCAGTTTTTACATTACATTAATAATATTGAGTAATGTGAAAATGATGTTCTGATTTCTGTACAATGCAGTTTGTACAGTAATATTTTCTATCTTTTAGTATATATATTATATGAGAGACTTGTTTTGTTTACCAAATAAAGTGAATCTAATTGGATTTGCATTTAAAACATTAAATAAAAGTTTTAAAAGATATTATTTTTTTGATTTTACAAATAAGGTTTTAGTTATAATACTCCGCACATATCCGAAGATTTTTACCAAAATTCGCTGCATAAATAGCAAAACATGTCCGCAGATTCCGCCCGGCCCTAGTAATGTAACATGTAAAAAAAGTAATTGAAAAAATCCTGTAAAAAAATTGTTTAGTTTAAACTTTATTGTCTGTTCTGCTTGGCACAGAAAGAAAATTGGTCTTTAACACTGGATTTAGGACAACAACTGCATTCATACAACCATGCAACAATCACACAATAGAAACACTTATCAAGACAACAACATAAGTTAAATTTAAATTTTAAAAATAGAAAAAATTAAAAACCAAATTAGCCCCATGCATATTACTGCACATCATTCTTTACAACCACCCCATTCACTTCAAACAGTGACCTAATTTAAAACAACCACTGCAATTGGGATAAATTACTTTTATAAGCATTGCTTCAGGCTTTAGGAGTTCTACACCCGCGTCCTGATGGTAACATCTCAAAACCTGAATGAAGGGGATGTGTATTATCTTTAAAAATTGCAATTGCTGTTTTTTCAAAAAGGGAGTTGAATAGAATCTGCAGTGAATGTTTTTTGTGATCAGTTATCTTATTTGCTTGAATTTGTGATCATTTATTCTTCTGTTTAAGTGTTGTGTATACCAAACCATAAAACAATATTATATGTGAGAACACTCTCTTTTAATGATCTATATGCCATGTTTAAAGTCTGTGTACTAACATTAAAACTTCTCAACTTGTGGAGGAGACTGAGGCGCTGACTTGTCTTCTTATAACCAGTCTTTACATTATTAAAATTGAGTTAATTGTCAATAATTGTGCATAAATACTTAACATTTGAGACCTGCTATATTATTTGTCCACTTATGATGGTTGGTTTATAAAATCTAGTATCTACTGCTCTTGTTTTACTTCCCAGACTCTTTTTTTTCTGCCAATATTAAGATCTAATGAACTTTTGCCAAATCAATCTGTGATACTATTAATATACTTAAACAATAAGGAGGTATTCATTTCTTCCTGACAGGAAAGCAATGCCAGATCATCAGCATATTTTATACGATTATAGGTTAGATCAAATAAAGGTTCTAAATGTTGATTTAAGTTACTTTTCAATTAATCACCCAGCCCTACTCGCTCAAGGGTTGCTTTTACTTGATTAAAATAACTGTAAATATCAAAAATGGTAATATGCACTGAAAAAAATGATTCAAGATGATTCCTTGGATTTACTTAATTTTTTTAAGCGGTTGTAAACTATTTATTTGGGCTGAATTTAAACAAACAAATGAAGTTAAACATTACTAAATTTAATTTGTTTGTTTAAATTCAACCCAAATAAATTGTTTGCAAGAGTTTTGCAGACATAATTTTTTTCAGCGTGTGATCCTGGAAGCCACAAAACTAATGTTGTGTTCCACCAGTGCATGTTTGGCAAAAGTCACAAATTCATTGTGAATCAAAATTACAGACTTTTTCATTTATGACAAAAATAATTTAAAAATTAAGTAAAGATCATGTTATGTGAAGACTTTATTTGTAAATTACTACTTTAAATTGATCTTTTTTTAATTACTAGAGTAAATTTAACAAAAACAATCTATTTATTTTATTATAAATTAAATACCAACTTTAATTAGCCCAAATTAAATTACATTTTATTAAATAGCAAGCTAATTTTCTAAATATTTAGATCTTTAAAATACTATCTTATCCTAACAAAGAATACATTAATGGATATCTTATTTATTCAGATTTCAAATGATGTATAAATCATTTTAGCAGTTTAAGACAAATTATTCTTATGACTTGTTTTGTGGTCCGTGGTAACATATTGTGTAAAATTTTTACAATTTTAGGCTGGGTCAGTTGGCATTCTGTGTGGAGTTTGCATGTTTTCCCCATTTCCATGTGGATTACCTGTGGATTTTGCTTTGAGATTTTGTTGTTTAACCCTTTCCTGTGTGCAATCACCCTAGTTTGATTCACCTTGGCTGGTCCCTGAAGCATACAATCACACCGGTGTGATTAGAACATCAGAGCGCATGTCATCAATTGCTCAAATTCAAAACTGACAGCTTGCACTGAGTGCTAGAAAGAGGAGTGCGCTGTTTGTCATAAATCACAATTAATCAGTGTTTTCAAACAAATAAAGTTTATTTTAGCTGAAACCTAAAATTCAGAAAGCATTCAGATACTCACAACTACTAGAAAAACGCAATACATTGAAGGCTTGTAAAATACACACTGTGAGGTCTATGGAAATAATAATTATTTTTTAAATATAACTGGACAATTAGCTTTTGGCTTCCAGTGACAATCGCCTCATAGCAAGAAGGCTGCTATTTCGAGCCCCAACTGGGTCAGTTGGCATTTCTGTGTGGAGTTTGCATTTTCTTCCCGTGTTCGCGAAGGTTTCCTCTGGTTGCTCCAGTTTCTCCCACAGTCCAAAGACTTTTGCCATAGGTGAATTGAATAAACTAAATTGTCCGTGTGTTGGTGTGCGAATGCAAGAGTGTATGGGTGTTTACCATTAATGGGTTGCAGCTGGAAGGGCATGCGCTGCGTAAAACATATGCTGGAGAAGTTGGCGGTTCATTTCGCTGTGGTGACCCATTATGAATAAAGGGACTAAGCCTAAAAGAAAAGAAATGAATTTAATATGATAATTAAATATCACAATTGTCAATTGTTTCCATGAAGATAAGCAGCTTTTTACATCTGAAGGCTTCTTATGTTGTTTTTTTTTATAAGTTATTTAAAATAATTAATAACTGATTTATTATTTAAAGTTTTTAATAGAAATGTTTTGTAACAAATGTCTTCACCTTCACTTTGGATCATGAATGCATGCTTAACTAATAAATAACAAGCACAAACACACAAATACACACATGCATACATACATACATACATGCATGCATACATTTACTCACTCATATATTGATTTATTTCCACGTTTTATTTATTTGCTGCATTTCTCTCTTTAATACCAGGGGCAGCGATGCTTTGAATGTGTCAAAATGCTCCTCTGCCAATAAGCAGGCGCTCTTCACCATAGCTAGCAAGGCATTCCCCATGACAAAAGCTATTGACACACGTGCCGCCCTGTCATCTTTCCAGCTCATTGAACCCTTTCTTGGTAAGGCAGTTCAGCTGCACAAGTTCATATAAACTTCTGATAGATGTCTGTTATCCCCTGACTTCAGAAAAACAGTTGTACTTGTGTTTTGCAGGAGGTGCAGATCTAAATTACATAAGAACTCTGTCATCATATAACATCAGCATGAGCCTGTCCACTTTCACAAATCTGGATCCGAACGTCATCAATGTAAGAAAAACCATTACACATTTTGTTTTGCTACTTCTTACACTGTTTTCATTTTGAAAATGTTAATTTTTAATGTCATTTAATATCCACTTGTTATGTCTTACAGAGCCTCACTGTGTCAGATGTAGTGGGTCTTCTTGGTAGCAATTTGCAGGATCTGAAAACATATGAAAACCAAACGGCAGTGCGGAACTGGATCTCGCTGCAGTTACAGTCAGAGCTGAATAATCTTAACATCAGTCTGACCGGAGGAAAAGCGACGGCTGACACGACCACTGCTGCACCGACTACAGCAAGTAGCACCACTTTGAACGCTGCAGCTGCTTCAACTTCCTCTAGCGCTGCTACGATTGTCACTAGCACTAACATTACTATTGCTTCTGCCACTGCCAACACTACTTCAGCCGCTACAGGTGAGCTGCTGTGCACACCGCCACGTACACAATCATACATTTTTATTGTTAAATGAATTTGTTGGGCGTCACAGTGGCCAATCACCTCACAGCAAGAAGGTCGCTGGTTTGAGCCACGGCTAGGTCATTTGGCATTTCTGTGTGGAGTTCACGTTCTCCCCATGTTCGCGCGGGTTTCCTCTGGGTGCTCCGGTTTCCCCCAAAGACATGAACTATAGATGAATTAAATAAGCTAAATTATTTAAAGGCCGTAGTGTATGTGTGTGAATGACTGTCTATGGATGTTTTCCAGTGTTGGGTTACAGCTGGAGGGACATCCGCTGCTAAATTCAGCCAAATTGGTAGAGGACATCGTACAGCAGTTTTTTTTTTTTTTTTTAGTTTTTTTTTTCGATGCTCTTTGTTTGGTCAGCATTGTTGAAAATGTGTGTTTTTTATTGAAGGCTGTTTTTCATAACAGTGCAGATTACATGCATATCGATACAGAAATATTTTAAATTATACAAATTGATTTTACATTCTGTAATGTAATGTACATTGGAAAACGTCCTCTATGGTTAACTTGTCAATGCTGCATGTACCACAAAAACCTTACATTTCATATACTAGTTTTGTTTACCTTCATTTAGAAATGTAGAATTGTAAAATCCTAATTTTGTAAAAAAAAAAAAAAAAAAAAAAAAAAAGTTTCTTGTGATATTGAAAATGGTATCAAATATCGTCATATTTCAAGATATCGTATTGAAGTTAGAAACTCCAGTATCGTGACAACAACACTCTAGTGTAGACTGTGAAAAGGAAGGCTTTTAGAAATTATGACTCATTTTTAGTCATGTGACCAATTCAGCTAAATTGGTTGAAGACATTGTACAGCAGTTGTATTTAGGGCTGCATGATATTGGAAAAATCTGACATTGCGATTTTTTTTTTTTTTTTTTTTTTTTTTTTTCTGCGATAGTCGATAAGATATATTACGACACGAATATAATTTCACCAGATGCTTTGAATAGCTCCCATTGGAAGGATTTCAGTAATTTAGATCAACAGGGATGATAAAGCCTCTATACAGTCTTTTCTATAAAGTAGATCTGCATAAATTATAGTAAATTACAAGCATAAATAAATATGACAGAGCAAAAATAAACCGTGCTTAATGGTTTTCCGGTGAATTCTAACAGTATTCAGGTACACAAATTGAACTACAAATGTAAAACAACATGCTCATCATTGTATAAATAATAATATCTTTATCTTTTAATCTTTAATAAATAATCTTATCCAGCGATGTGACTATTGTGGATACACACATTGAGATATCAATGCTCAAATGATATATAGGGTATATGCTGAAGCATGCTAAAAGGACTTTTAATTTGCCAGTAACCTGGGTTAATTGTTTCCGGTGAATTGTATGCCAATGCAAAATCGGCACGTTTAAGGTCTGTTTTCTTTCAAATTCAGCGATCTTCACTGGCTGAGTGATTGCCGATATAAAGTGACCAGTGCCGGCACGTCCATAGAGGCGACCTAGGCGGCTGCCTAGGGCGGCAGTATAGAGAGGGTGGCGTCCGCGACACCTCCCTTACCACCCAAGTCCTCAGTTATGTCCGCGACACCTCCCTCACCACCCGCGTCCTCAGTTATATTTGCGCATAGGCGACAGAATAGAGAGGGCGGCGACAGCGACACCTCCATCAGCACCCGCGTGTCCTCAGTTATATCCGTGCATAGGGAGGCAGAATAGAGTTCCGCGACACCCGCGCGTCCTCAGTTATATCCGCGCATAGGGCGACAGAATAGAGGTCCGCGACACCTGCGCGTCCTCGGTGATATGCGTGCATAGGGCGGCAGTATAGAGAGGGCAGCGTCAGCGACACCTCCCTCAGCACCCGAGGACGCACAGTCATATCTGCGCATAGAGGGGCAAAATAGAGGTCCGCGACACCTCACTTCATTTTCATAACCGATCACTTTCGTTTTCACATTAGGGTTGAGGGCGGCGTGATCGTCCTCTGCCTAAAGCGGCAATTCAGCTTGCTCCGGCCCTGAAAGTGACTCTCAGAATGTACAAGAAGCACTGCATTAAGTTACATTTTCCCTCCATGTCTTTATAATATGAGCATTTATTTTACCCCAGTATATTCAATGGAGCTTCTGCGCTAGCCTGCTGGTTCTGATGGGCGAGTGCGAGTAAAAGGCCTTTTTTTCTCGTTTTACGCTTGAACAACTAAATTAATGCCAAAGTCTTTTTAACTGATTGGATTTGAATTACATTACAACATCGATGCTGTATAAAAGGAACCGTATAAAATGGAAAAAAAAAACTCACAATAACAGGTCATGGGAAGTTTATTAGTATGGGAAACACACTAGCTCGGCATATACCTCATTGCTCAGCCCTAGTTGTTTTGGACACTTTTTGGAAATGCAGCATTGTTGAAAATTTATGTTTTGTTTTTTTAATGAATGGCATTTTTACATCACAGTGTAGATTACTGTTGACAAAAATATTGATGTTTCAATACATAACGATTCAGAAATATTAAAAATGATATAATGAAGTGTAAAGAAATGAAGTGTAAAGAAAAACGTCCTATCGCGACAGCCTTAATTCTCCTATAGCCTGCTAGTTTTGTTTACCTTAATTTAGAAATTGAGAATTGTAAACATTTTTCAAGGTATCGTATTGAAATTAGAAAGTCCAGTACTGTGACAAGTGACAACACCCCTTTAATGTAGACTGTGAAAATGGAGGCTTTCAGAAATGATGATATCTTTTTAGTCATGTGACCAGTTCAGCTAAAATGGTGGACGACATTGTACAGCAGTTGTTTTGGATGCTCACCGTTCGGACAGCATTTTCAAAAATATGTTTTTTTTTTAATAAATGCCGTTTTTACATTGCCGTGTAGATTACTGTTGTGAAAAATATCGATATCTAGATACATATCGATACCGGATTATTTCAAATGATACGATCTTATTTAGCATTCTGTAATAATCAGAACACTGAAAATCTCTCAAAGTGCTTCATAGAGTAAAGCTGTTGACTTCCATATAACCTTACAAAATCTACCAAGAGCAGTGCAAAAAAATTCTATAATAAATGTAAATAATTTGGCTTGGTTATTAATACACTGCTCTCTGTAAACCTCACATATAATGAAAAGTAAGGCCCCCTGGTGGCCGAATGCAGAACAGCTCATAAACCATGTCCACATGAATGGATTAGGGGAGATGAGCTAATGTAGATCCTAAATATAGTTCATGTAAATTTAGGCAGTTCTTATCACACTGATATATGTTCAAGCTGTTTGTTTATCATTTAGTTAGTCAATTCTCCAAATGGGAAATGGCTTTATTATTGTGTGCTTGTGATTGGTATTGGATATGTGATTGGATTTAGGAGTTTGGGTGATTTTTTTTAAGCCATGCCCCCCAGGGCTCAGTGGATTAAAACGTGCCTTTTTTGGAGTGTTAAATAATGCGGCAAACACTAGTAATCTGCTTACTGCATAGCTTAGTAGGTCACATAATGGGATTCATTGAAATATTTTCCTCCCATATTAAAAAACTCCTTCAAATGCATAAAATCAGTCTTATATGGGTGTGATAAGAACTGCCTAAAACTACATGAACTATATTTAGGAACTATATATGAACTAGGAGCTCATTCATTCATTTTCTTTTCAGCTTAGTCTCTAATTAATTGGAGGTCACCACAGCGGAATAAACCGCCAACTTATCCAGCATGTGTTTTGCCCTTCCAGCTGCAACCCATCACTGGGAAACAGCCTTACACACTCATTCACACACATACACTACAAACAATTTAGCTAACCCAATTGAACTATACCACAACTTTGCACTGTGGGGGAAACCGGAGCACCCGGAGGAAACCCACACAAACGCAAAGAGAACATACAAACTCTAACTGACCCAGCCGAGGCTCGAACCAGAGTAGTAGTAATTTTTGCACTGTTGCAAGCTGCTAGTTTGAAAAAGCCGAAGTCTATTAAGAATCATGAATAAACTCTTTGTTAATCTTTTCTTCTTCTTCTTCTTCTAGGAGTTGGATACAGCATGCCATTCAGCATATTTGTACTCGTTCTTACCATCTTCAAAGTGGAGATTATTTAGCCCTGACCTCAAATCTGCCACACTGTAATTTAACCACGAGGATTAATCTGGAAGTTTCCTGTTAATGATGATATATAGTATACAATTAAGGGCAAAATAATTAGCTGACTTTATTAGCAAAGATAAAATAAACCAGTTAATAGAAATGAGTTGTTAAAACTATTATGTTTAGAAATGTGTTGAAATAATTTCTCAGTTAAACAGAAATTGGGAGAATTAAAATTTAATAGGAAGGCTAATACTTCTGACTTCCGCTGTATATGATTATAATCACATTTATTTTAGATTTATCTTATTGAATCAAGTGATTTTAAGTATATTAACATCAGTCCTATATGGCATTGTGATTGAGGTATGGAAACAGAAGAGGTGCAGTAATATCCAAAGCAAAGGGCACTGTATGTAGCATCTAGATTTAAATATTTATTTCATTCCCTGCTTTTAAAGCTTCTATATTTAAGTGTTTCTAACATTGAGAATAGTCATAAATGCTATTGTTTCTGCTGTATTTAAAAATATGACAATTGGAAGTGTGACTTGTACCTGTTTTATGATCAAAAAACAATGTCATGTTAACAAAAAGAAACGAATAAAAGGCACTGATGAACAAATTAAGGCTGTGTGTTTTACAAGTCTCAACTGAAGATTCTAAAGAACCAACTAACTTTATTATAACATGATTATTTATATCTGAAAAGGTTATAATTTGGTGAAATATTTGTGTACGGTAGAGGTAATGTAAAGTAATTAATGTGTATTTATAGCGCATTTATTGTGTATGGTCATACACCCCAAGCGCTTTACGATCATGAGGGGGAGTCTCTCCACACCACCACCAGTGTGCAGCATCCACTTGGATGATGCAACAGCACCAGTGCGCTCACCACACACCAGCTAGGGAGCGGAGAGAGAGCGATAGAGCTGATTCGGTGGATAGGGATGACTGGGAAGCTACAATCAATAAGAGCAATGGAGGGAACTTGGCCAGGACACCGGGGTTACACCCCTAGAAGTACCATGGGACTTTTAATGACCACAGAGAGTCAAAACTTCGGTTTAATATAATTATTTCTATATAAATAAAATTATTATTTTGGGGAATTTATCTCCACAAAAGAAAATAATGTTTTTTAAATCAATTTAATTATTTGATGAAGTACATTTTACATTCACAAATGCAAATTCACAAATAGTAAACCTAACATTTTCTTAATTTAATTGTCCCGCTATCCCCACCGTGTGGCCCAGCGGCGTTACAAGCTCGAGCTCTTATTTTGAAAGAAGTCGTCACGTCCTGTTTATTTTTTTCCTCTCATCTAAAAAAAACAGCGCGGTTTTTATTTTTCACCCGGGGTTCAGAAGATGATGGGGGCGAGTTTTCTGAGCGCAGACCGGGCTCGCAGTCCGCCGGTGAAGGTGCTGTCCAGTCAGCTGCGGGAAGCCTCGGAGAGCCAGAGCTCCGGTGGGAAAGCGGAGGTTGTGATCCGGCGTCTGGGAGCTTCTGGCCGGCGTTCGCTGCAGGTGTCAGTGGTGTGGATGCAGGGGACTGTACTGGAGCTCCAGGCTGACAACAACACCCTCCTCATGCTGGATGAGACCGGAAACTTTACTGTTAACGGCATCAACAGCGTGCCGAAAGGAAAACCCTGCCTGAGTCCCGGTTAGTACACTGTCCAGTTCAGTGAAATCGTGTGACATGATTCCTCTATTGTTTGCAGTGGTAAAGTTACTTTGAATATTCGGCCTTGAGTCACACAGAATTTAAGTATGACTCGCAAACATTAGCACTATTTATTTGACTGTGAACACAATGTGTCGGTGCTGCTAATGATTTTACTATGTAGAATTTGCATAGAGTTCTTTTGTGAAACTATTACTTCGTTTTCTTCACAAACGCCTCAAAGCAAGAAGGTCGCTGGTTCGACCTTCGACTAACGTTAAGTCAGTTTGCATGTTCTCCCCGTGTTAGCGTGGGTTTCCCACACATTCAAAGACACAAGTGAATTGAATAATCTCCTTAGTTATGTGTGTGAATAAGAGTGTATGGGTGTTTCCCAAGGGTTGTGGCTGGAAGGGCATCCGTTGCGTAAAACATGTGCTGGATAAGTTGGCTAAACATTCCGCTGTGGCTACCCCGATTAATAAAGGGACTAAGCCGAAAAGAAAATGAATGTGTGAATATAAAACAAACTTGACCTCAGTCATTGTCAAATGTTTTTAAGACACTACTGGCTCATTGTTGGGTTAAAGGCAATTGTTTTAATAAACTGAACAGAAAAGCTCGCTCCTTCATGTAGAAAATGTTAAAAGAATATACATAATTATGGTAGTAACGTTATCTTATCAGATTAAAAGGTGCTGGATAGTCTATTACTGATTACAGATTATATGATTATAATCTGATTACGCTACCCGTTAATTTCCACATTTTAACAATGCATTATTTATTTATTTATTTATTTTCTTTTCAGCTTACTCTCTTTATTAATCTGGGATCGCCACAGTGGAACCGCCAACTTATACAGCACATGTTTTACACAGCCCTTCCAGCTACAACCCATCACTGGGAAACATCCATACACACTCAATCACACACATACACAATTTAGTTTATTCAATTCACCTATAGGGCACGTCTTTGGACTTGTGGGGGAAACCGGAGCACCCGGAGGAGGCCCATCGGGAGAACATGCAAACTCCACACAGAAATTCCAACTGACCCAGCTGAGGCTCGAACTAGCAACCTTCTTGCTGTGAAGCAATAGTGCTACCCACTGTGCCACAGTGATGCCCGCATTATTTATTACATGATCTAAATGTGCATTTTGTGCTCAAGTACATTAGAAAACACTAAGACCATATTAACAGCATGAAATTCACAGCAATGCCAGTGCTACGTTAAATAATTCATCTAAGAAAACACTAGAGACGAATTATCATTTTTGTAAACATTCAGGATGCGCGCGCAGGGAGGTGGCAGAAAAAAAAACGGGAGACTAGTATTTACAGCGAGGGGATGACATCCGAGGTGGTACAGAGTTTGTTGTTGTCTTAGTTATATTGATTACATATTATATATATTATTTACATAATGCTTTCAGCGTATTATAACAGCTCGTCACCCAGTGATAAGCACAGTGATTCGGCAAAATTAACCTTAAAGTGAGCAGCGTTCATCTGACTGGTCCATTTACGATAGCGCCCTCCCAATGGATATTGGATAAGACGAAACAGCTAAGCATCCAGCCCCAAATATACTATCTAATTGAAGCTCCAAGTGATTTTACAAGAGAGAAGTTAAAGGCCTTTAAGTGTTTGGATGCCAACAATGTTGTTCTGTGTGGTCATGTGCAAGAAATAATGCTCCATGATGACCAGATTCAACACTTTGTAGCGACTAAAAGTCACATACGCAGGTTATTGCTCACCGAATATTCAAAGTGCCAAGGTAAACAATATAGAGAGTGTGTCACAAGTTATAAAACCAACTTTAACTTAATAACTTACACTTTCACGTTTCATTCTTAGCATTCAGTGTCCACAGTTTAATTAACCTTATGTAACTATTATTTCTGAAATCATTGCTGCAATCAAAAACGAGTAATGTGTATGATTCAGCATAGCGTGAATATAACATGACAACTGCAGAGTCAAGCATTTTTAATTAGGTCGTCAATTCATTCAGCTCCCTTTTAGCCAAAGACGTCTGCAGTTGGCATTAAAGCAGTGTGGTGCACGGTAAAACTTCACTTTTCTATTTTTGAATTTGGCATCCTACTGTACAACACAACATGTTGTTTCCTATTGCAGCGTGTCTTTTTTTGCAACCGGGAACCCGTGTGACGTCATGTGTGACCTAGGTTGATACACACACCTTTTTTATTTTATATTTCACAAATGTTTAAAAGAGCAAGGAAAGCCATTGCTATTGTAAACAGTATATCTGATCATATTTGTTCTTCTGGAGAAGGTTTTATTTGTTTTATTTCGGCTAGAATAAAAGCAGTTTTTAATTTTTTAAACACCATTTTAAGGTCAAAATTATTAGCCCCTTTAAGCTATATTTTTTTGATAGTCTACAGAACAAACCATCATTATACAATAACTTGCCTAATTACCCTAACCTGCCTAGTTAACCTAATTAACCTAGTTAAGCCTTTAAATGTCAATTTAAGCTGTATAGAAGTGTCTTGAAAAATATCTAGTAAAATATTATTTACTGTCATCATGACAAAGATAAAATAAATCAGTTATTAGAAATCAGTTATTAAAACTATTATGTTTAGAAATGTGTTGAAAAATCAAATCTTCTCTCCATTAAACAGACAATGGGGGAAAAAAATAAACAGGGGGGCTAATAATTCTGACTTCAACTGTACATTTGCTGGTAGCCACATCGAGTGGTATGCGACCACACAAAGGCTGCGCCAGATGATACCAAAGTGACTCGATGCAGCAGTATCACGTGACTCCACACACGGTAGGGAAAGTAATTGAAAAAAATTGATCTAAAAGAAATGTTATCGATTAAAGGTTCTGAAAGTCTCGATTACTTTTCAAATAATCGCCCAGCCCTAAATACAGATGACATATAAAGAGTTACTAAGTGTATTAAATATCACATTACATCAGGGTTAAATATAAATTTCTCTTGAAGTTGTGGCACTTGCTGGACTTCAAATTGAGTCTTATAAAGAAAATACATCTGCATCTGTGTACCTGTAAAAAGTACAACACTTTACACAAATTATGAGTTATTTCTACTTAAATTGTCACACTTCGTTTTCTTCTATGTTGCTTAATTTTGGAGTAGGGAGGTTCCTGACCATGGTGAATGATGTGATATCCGTAGCCTAAAATACCGCTCTGAAGCAATTTTAGAGCATGAGCATTTAGCATGTGTTAAAGCGATAGTTCAGCAAAGTGTTTCTTGTGTCATTAGCCATTGACTCGTCTTTTAAAAATCATCAAGGACCATAATTTCAGCTAAACATCTGACTGGAAGGGGGGATGTAATCTAATCCGAGTGAACTGTCTTTGTATATCTAGTCTTTGAATAAACTCACCTACATCTTGGGTTGTCCTGATAGTAAGTATGAACGACTTTTTGGACGAAGCATCTCTTTGACAGCACTGTGTGGTTTTAGCCCCTGTTTACACTGCCAGTTAAATGTGACTCAATTCAGATTTTTTGCTCAAATGTGACAGATCGGATCTCTTCTAGGACCATGTAAACACGAAAAAAAAACATGCATTTGGATATTCAGAGATCAGTTTCAGACCTCCTTCATATGTGGAAATAAATCAGATTTGTGACAATGCGACTCATGTAAACAGGCAGAGCGGATTTATTGGGGCATTTTATTTTGTAAGTCATTAAACTTGTGACAATGTGGTACTTCTCCTCAGTTTAATAGTGTAGAAAGAGGAGCGTGTGTGTGTGTGTGCTCATCCTAAAATTTCGGACCCATTGCTCTTCATCAAACCCCACCACAATTTGCTCCCAAGAGAGCTGAGATCTTGTACCCACAAATTTCTCTGAATGGTGGAGGACACCGTATATAGGCGCAAGCTGCAATGACGGCACTTTCCCTCCTCCTCCACCTCAAAATCATTTTAAAGTTGGGCGAACTTCACATATTTCGCAGAGCTAAAATCAAGACAATTTCTTAAACAAGAATCCACCTTTACACATACATGTCATTGTGAATTGTATGGCAAGTGTAAACCCATGAATCAGACACAATTAAAAGAGCGTGTAAACATACTGGCAAAAAAAAAATCAGATATACTGTAGGTAACAAATCGGAATTGGGCATCAAGACCTGACGGTGTAAACGTGGCTTAGAGACCTAGATGTGTCTAGTTGCACATTCACTTTTGTGTACATGGCCAAAACGGGAAGTGTGTGAATTGGAACAGGCCCTTTATTGCACGCAATGTTATGCAAGCACAACACTCCACGCAGTGTGTTTTATGTTCACAGCTTAATGTCCTTTGTCCACAGGTAAATACGTCATGGTTATGGGTGTCATCCAGTCTCACAGTCCAGAACCAGTCCTGCGAGCTGTGAAAATGGCAGACCTTTCTGCAAACGCAGCCATTCACAGGAGAAACTGGATCTATGAAGTGGAAGATCTCCAGCGGGTTTTGCCCTAATAGTGTTTTTTTTTTTACTCATTACGATGATTATTTTTGCAGCGCTGCATTTATTAGTTTGTTCAACACTATGTTGCTCTGACTTTTATTTGCAAATGACATCTCCTGATGGACACACAGACATTTAAGTGAGATATACATTTTATTTCTAGAATTATTTTCTATGAAAGTTTAAGTGGAATTACACCGTAATTAAGCTTTAATCACAAACAAAAGAGATTTCCTTACAGTTCTGCTATTAAATTATACAATAAAAAAAGATTACATTTAATTTTCAGTGAAATCAGAGTTTACAGAGGTAAGACAGTTATGATCATTTTAATAAAGACAGCTAAGGAAAATAAATAAATTAAGAGACTGCTTGAAAATTCTCAGTTTCTCTAGATTTATGATATTACAAATTTGAATATTTGTTTTTATTAATAAAGATCTGATAATGACAGAATGGGTCATGGAATAGCAAATGTTTTCAAGTGCTCTTATTCGTATTTATTTTTCCTCCATAGCTGTAAATGTGCATGTGTGAATGTGTATGTATGATCACATGTCAGTTTGTGAGTGGCACAGATTGGTGAATCATCTCTTACTCAAAGAATGAATTCGCTGTAACTTCCTTCCATCTTAAATGCACAGTAGCTGTGTTTCCCAGCTCTGGAGGGACTTCAGAATCTCTTGTGCACCCCTAAAACACTGCTGCAGTTTGGACAGTGGTGCGTGACGTCCTTCAGGTCCTCTATGCAGAAGGGAATTAGGCAGCAGCCGTAGATGCAGCTGGGACAGCAGGAGGAGGAGCATCAGCTGAGAGTCTTTCTGCAGTATATTGAGATAGTCATGTTTTAACTTACCCAAAAACGGCCAGTCCTGCACAGGAGAGCCAGACTAGGGGTCCTGAGGAGTACTCCAGACGAGTGATGACGGACTGTGAACACACTGGGCAGTGAGCCTGAACCGGGACGTTACCAAACACCAGGCCAGGCTGAACATAGACTGTCTGGACGGCTACTGAAGAGCAGACAACAAGAAATGTGCTTGTTATTAAAAGCTTTCTTAACTTTAAATGTAAGGGCCTTGATGGAAAAGGATGCAGGTTGTTTTGATTCTCAGCTGATGGTTTTTTTTCCCCCCAACAAAAAGTAAACATTTATAAAACATTTATAAAACTACAGCAGGGGGTGCCCAAACTCATTCCTGGAGGGCCAGTGTCCTGCATATTTTAGTTCCAACCCCAATTAAACACACCTGAAACAGCTAATCAAACTCATTAGATACTTCCAGACAGGTCTGTTGAAGAAAGCTGGAGATAAACAATGCAGGACTGGCCCTCCAAGTCTGGAGTTTGGGCACCCCCTGCTGTAAAGCATAGGTGTCAAAATCTATTCCTGGAGTGCCGCAGCTCTGCACAGTTTAGCTCCAAAACACAGCTGATCCAACTAATCAAGGTGTTCAAGACTACTAGAGACTATTAAGCAGGTGTAAGTTGGAGGTGGTTGGAGATAAACTGTGCAGAGCTGTGGCCCTTCAGGAATTGAGTTTGAGACCATTGCTGTATAGTGAGATAATGGAGTAGCTGGCCAGGTTCCTCTGTTTGTTTGTTATTGGTTGTGACTAATGACATATTTTCCGATTGTATTAATAAATACTACATATACGTATGTGTGTTTGTGTGTTTATATAATCATAAGGACATTCACTACTGTCAAGTTTGAAAACAGTACAATTATTTTATGTTTTAAAATGAGCTTTTTCTCATTTAATGCTCTTAAAGTCTGCATTTACCTAATCAAGAATACAGTACAAAAACTACAATTGTGATATGTTAAATAAATGTCCTTACTGAATGTATTTTATAGTTCATTTCTATGATTTAAAGAAGAAATTTCAACATAAATACTCCAGCTTTAGTTGTCATGATCCTTCAAAAATCTTTCGGTCATCTGCTCCTCAACACAAAACATTAGCCCCTTATTTTTCCCAATTTCTGTTAAATGGAGAGATGTTTTAACACATTTCTAAACATAATAGTTTTAATAACTCATTTCTAATAACTTTTTTATTTTATCTTTGCCATGATGACAGTAAATACTATTTTACTAGGTATTTTTCAAGACACTTCTACACAGCTTAAAGTTACATTTAAAGGCTTAACTGGGTTAATTAGGTTAACTATGCAGGTTATGGTAATCAGGTAAGTTATTGTATAATGATGGTTTGTTCTGTAGACTATCAAAAAATATATATATATTTTTTTTTTAATTTATAATTTTGACCTTAAATTTTATTTATTTATTTATTTTTTTATTAAAAACTGGTTTTATTCTAGCCGAAATAAAACAAATAATACTTTCTCAAGAAAAAAAATAAACATTTCCTTGCTGTGTTAAACATAATTTGGGAAATATTAAAAACAAAAATTCAAAGGAGGCTAATAATTCTGACCTCAACTGTATATATTAGGGGTGCATGATGTATTGGTGGCCATATCGGCTGAAAATGCTATTTTTTATGTTATCGTTGTCAGTCCAATATTGAAATTAGGCCGATATCCTTAAGCCGATAAATTACGCAGTTGTACAGAACTGCTGACTTGTAAGCACGAGAGAATCTTGCGGGAGTGTGGAAATAAAAGTGTCAAATGACTAACAATTGTACATTACTGTATCACTTTTTATTTGAGAACACTTGAACTGGTTTCAGTTCTTGGTTCCTTCATTTTATTGAAATATATTTAACTTGTTTGTTAATTAAATCCAGTTTTGTCATTTAACCTATTATTTTTCATGCAACAGTCAAGTGGCATGTTAATTTGCTATGCGAAGAAAAGGAAATAATTTATTTTTGCCATGCTGATTTATGTGAAATTATGAATAGGTCTTGCAATTTTTAAATTATTGCTTTTTTGCTTTGAGTATGCTATTTTAAGTTTTTACGATAAAATAACTTGTTCACTGTTAAAAATATAACATTTTTTAATATTTATCAGCTAATATGCGAGTTATCAGCCAAAACATTCATATCAGTACATCTCTAATATATATATATATATATATATATATATATATATATATATATATATATATATATATATATATATACATAAATGCTGCTATTTTTACATTCAATAAAAGGTTATTTCAAATGTTTAAAGTCACAATTCAAGTTTTACTGTGTTTTGATTAAATAAATGTAAATGAATATGTATATTTAAATCAATTATGAATAATAAAAATTTTTTAACAAATACATTACACTTATATTAAGTAGTCTTTCAAATAAAAATGTAGTCTCTTATATGAAATAATAAAAATACTTAATTTTTTTTGTATTATTAGAATAAAAGTAAGAAATGAATATATAAAAGTATAACTTTGACTATATAATATAAAATAAAATATATAAATCGCACAAACCCACATTACCACAACTGATTGTGGGAAAAGTTCTTGTTTCGTTTTAACTGGAACAACCAACTTCTGTTTTTATCTTGTGAAAGTTGGCGATGTGATCAACAGCACTGCCAGCTGAGGGGGCACTAGTCAACCAGGTAAGATCTGTCTTCAAAAAACGTGCATGTACATATTGAATGTCTGTAATTTATAATTGGCTACTGTTAATTTTAGTATGTATACTCTCTGTGACAAAAAGTTACTGTAGAAAAAGAGTAATGGTGGCCGTTTACCGACGGGACTGGTGACAGGTTGTCCTTGTGCGGTCGGTGGGTACATCTGATTGTATTCTTGTGTCGGATATGGAGGAGGACCAGATGCCTTCATGTCCGCTGGAGGATAAGGGCCTGCTGGATAATAAGGGTTTGCGCCTGAGATCTCATCGTATGATGGAGGAGGCGGGTGTCCCACAAGGGTCGTGTTCTCCATCGGAGGTGCTGTCGGCATCGGCATCGCCATCGTCTTGTGTCATAAAAAAACAGCGTTTATACATTTGAGAAACACTGCTATTCAATCTGACATCAGAAAAGAAACATGATGGACAAGAAATGTTCTCCTTTAGTGAGGAAATCGCTCTTATAATGACACTGAAGCTAAATAAAGCACTTTGAAACCCGATACATGTAAATCCTTAAGCTTTACGTTACACTTCAAAACTATGAAGATCACTCGTTCAAAAGTGTTTAAACCTATGGTAAACGAACACGACTTACTGTTTGTGTGTGTTTTCTCGTCAGCAGACTCGCGAAAGATCCAAAAATGCGCTTCCTGTTTCTTAGTTTTTGTTACGCACTTGCTCCGTTTCCGCACAGACCTCAGATGGGTGGGCTGAACACTAAATAAAGATTATCAAACGAGGACAGAGCTGTCCGTGATACAAGCCGTGTTATTAACGTCGATATGTCGAGCTCGACAGACTTAGCATGTAATGTCAAGTCTGTTGTTTGTTATATCAAAACGGAGACTTTTAGATGTAAGTTCCGTGTTTGGTCACATGAGTTACTGTAACAGGCAGTCCCTGTACTCAGTTTAACTGCGCACAGTTGTGCATAACGTAAACATAACTTTTCAGTTCACTAGCATGGGTTTGCCTAGTTTGTGTTGTTTGTTTTTTTCCCCTCAAAATCTATTTTTATTAAACTCTGAAGTAGGCTACATGAATTCCAGCAAAAACATTTTCCTTTAAATTGTCACATTCCCTTATAGGATTAACGATTATTCATTAAACTGTTTATTTGAGCTAATTATAGGTGACATATTTCAGAGTGAATTTTAAATGACGATAACAAACATTATGACAGTTTCAAACACATGCTAGCCTAATTAACCCTTTAACTTCCACTACGGTTTAAAAAAAATGAAATATCCTTGGTTAAATTGTGTTCCTTAAACCACTCTTAGCAATTTAGCATTTTTTGTTTTGCTTTAACGATAACCTAACTTTAAAGCAATGATGCCATCCCTAACAGGAATTGAATGGATGATGCCAAGCGTTTGAGGACTTCGAAGATAGTCTTAAGCAACACACAAACTGTTCTTATTTACTGTTATGGTAAGATTCACATAGACAGTAGTGGAAAGAGTGTTAAAAATCATAGTCAAAAGTACTTGCCCAAAAATGTAGTGCAAGTACAGTTAAAGTATTTTCTAAATTTTTAAAAAGTAGACCTTTCAAAAGTACATGCAATTTGTGTGTGTGTGTGTGTGTGTGTATCATACCTGTCAACATTGGGATGGGAAAGTAAGGGATATGCTCACCATAATAAGGGATTCTAAACCCTCTCCTATATGGAGGATCAGCTCTTTAATGTTTCTTGCCACCCTTCAGAGAAACACTGAAAATACGCAATACGGGAAAATACCTTTACGGGATGATAGCAGGACAGAACTGTAAAATACGGGAGATTCCCTTGAAAAACAGGAGGGTTGACAGGTATGGTGTGTGTGTATGTGTGTAAACGTAACATTCTGTAGTGGATTTAGTGATTGCTTAAGCCCATTTCCATCATCATAAAGTAAACATCTGTCATTTTCTCATCAGTGACATTCAGTAAACAGTAAACAATCGCGCAGTGGGTAGCATGTTCTCCTCACAGCAAGAAGGTCACTGGTTCGAGCATTTCTGTGAGGAGTTTGCATGTTCTCACTAATTTGCGTGGGTTTCCTCCAGGTGCTTGGGTATGCTTAAATTGACCAAAGTGTGTGTGTGTGTGTGTGTGTGTGTGTATGGATGTTTCCCGGTGATGGGTTGCAGCTGGAAGGGCATCCGCTGCGTAAAACATATGCTGGATAAGTTGGCGGTTCATTCCGCTGTGGCAACCCCAGATTAATAAAGGGACTAAGCCGAAAATTAAATAAATGAATGTTTTTATGTGCTTTTTTTATTTTGTATATTCTTGTATATCCACTTCCCTGATTATAATTATTATAATAATTCTTTTTAAATATTTACACGTCATCTTGGGAAATTATATTCATATCCCAATATATGTCGCAGAAAAACAAAATATCACAATGTCAGTTTTTTCCAATATCGTGCATGTGGGCTATCAGGACATAGTTTCTCTAACATTTCAGTTTTGTTCCCATTTGGTTATTTGTTTGGGGGAAATGTTCAATACAGCCTATGAAAAAAAAATTCTAACCAGAGATCAGCTCAGAATAATTAGGTGATTTTATTTAAACTCATTTCGAGGGGAGCACATGATATGATTGATCGCGGCTTGTATCTCATCTGTAATCAATAATAATCCAATCAGTTTGATTCAAGCCTACAATAAAGTGACCGATTTGACCCTACTGCCTTATCTTCGTTTTGGAAGAATCCCCATTATGCAGTGGCTTGTAATATACATACCCAGGGGTGGACTCAGTGATTTGGGGGCCCTAAGGAATTCTAGGTATGGGGTTCGAGCATTTTTAAAACATAATCTGCATGTTAAAAAGTAAGCTGTTTAAATAATTATATGTATATGCAAAGCAAATACGGCATCACAGTGGCGCAGTGGGTAGCACAATCACCTCACAGCAAAGTCGCTGGTTCAATTCACCTATAGCGCATTTCTTTGGACTGTGGGGGAAACCGGAGCACCCGGAGGAAACCCATGCAAACACGGGGAGAACATCCAAACTGTACACAGAAAAGCCAACTGACCTACCCAGGGCTCGAACCAGCGACCTGTGAGGGCTGTGAGGCGATCGTGCTACCCACTGCGCCACCGTGACACTCATTAAAGTATATTTTATATATATTAATATTTAAAGAAATCTTTATCTTCTTAATGTTACATTAAAAGCAATAAATTTACAAATAAAAACAAGTTTACAAACTATGTACTGCAGGGGTGTCTTTACTCTGTCCTGGAGGGCCGATGACCTACAGATTTTAGCTTCAACTTGCCTCAACACACCTGCACATATTTCTAGAAAACCTATGCTGCGTCCCAATTCACTTATACTATGCCCTAAATAGGGATGTCGGGCTCGATTATGTGGTTTTAGACCTGATAGGAACCGGACGTTACCTCTGGAGGTATTATAAAGTTGATGACGACAACATTGCCTTAGAAAACTGTGAGATGTGTAAAATGTGGGATTGCGAGAGGTGGAAAGGAAAAGGTTACAGTTAACACAACAAAGCTGACGAGGCACCTCAAACACGACACAATATAGTGAGTTTCATTGAGAAAAACATTTCCTTCTGTGAAACTTGCTACTGTGATGACAATAAGAGATGCAGTCGCTAAAAGCACATTACTGGCCTTGCTTTGTTTAAGTATCTTGGGGTTTTGTTCAGGAGTGGGGGAAGGATGGAACTTTAGCTTGACTGGCAGATAAGTGCAGCGGCAGCAGTAATGCGGTCGATGTATCGGTCCGTTGTTGAAAAGAAGGAGCTAAGCTGAAAGTCAAAGCTTTCAATTAACTGGTCAATCTACGTTCCTACTCTTACCTATAGTCATGAGCTTTGGGTCATGATCGAAAGGACAAGATCTCGGACACAAGTGGCCGAAAAGAGTTTCCTTCGCTCTGACACACGGGAGGAGCTCGGAGTAAAGCTGCTGCTACTCCACATCGAGTGAAGTCAGCTGAGGTGGCTCGGACATTTGTTTTGGATGCCTCCTGGATCACCCCAGAGAAGCTGAAAGAAGTTTCTTGGGAGAGGGAAGTCTGGGGTTCTCTAAGACTGCTGCCCATGCAACCCAGCCCTGGACAAGTGTTAGAAAATGAATGAATGGCTTTGCAAACACTGTGGCAATTTGATTAAATTTTTATATTTACATGCCTGCCGGGTATTTTTAGTCGAGGTGCTATTTGTTTATATATTAGATTGTTTTTATATTTACTGTTGCACTAAAGTCCAAAAGTGAAGAATTTACTTTATTTATTACTTGATTGTTCAATCCACCTCACAGAAGACTTGATTGTTCAATCCACCTCACAGAAGTGCTCTGTTTGTTAACAAAGTTGTTGAACGTTAAAATAAGGTGAATTAAATAAAAAATAAGAAACATCCTGGATCTGTTTCTTCGCTTTTTTTATGTATTATAGAAGTATCGCATCGTGTTTCTGTATCGGTAGATACTCAAAATCATATGACTTGGACTCGGAATCAAGGGCAAAAAAACCTGATCGGGATATTCCTACACTAAAAGTATATACTTTTTTGTAAAGGAAAAGTATATACTTTTGAGTGTGTAGCAGAAGAGTATGCAAGCTTTGTCTAAACAGTTGTAGACAGATTTCACAACACAGAGAAAATCTATAAAAGAGCTATATGATTAATACAGGATTCTTGGCATTGGTCGGGGGCCCCTAATTCCCTGGGGGCCCTAAGTGGTGGTTACCTCACCTATTGGTTAAGTCCGCCTCTGTACATGCCACAACTCATTTCACTGAAAGAAACCTGCCAGTGAAAGCTTGATGTGCCACCGGAAGAACTAAGCATGGCATGTGCCATGGCTTTAGGTTCAGATGTCATGTAATGTTAATAATTGTGCTGCTTTAGCATTTTGCAAAATGTTACATTTGTAAATTATGTGAATATGTATTCTATTAATGTTCATATAAGAATGTCAATTTAATTTAATATTTTTTCTAGCTTTCATTTTCTATTTTAATCTTTCTCACTCAAGGGTGTATATGTGCAAATGACTAAGAGAGCATTAATAACTTAGAAGTGGTGAAAGATTAAATGTGTGCACATGCTGTAGCTAATACAGCTACAGATATAAATAAAAAATAATGCATAGGCTAAGTTACTTTAGTCAAAATCTTATCCATTTACGAATGCAAAACAAACACCCACATGAACACTGTTCTACATCCGCCTCTTTTTTTTTTTTTTTTTGCAGCCGTGATCTCACTTCCTGTTCAGTGACAAGCTATATTTATATATTTATCTGTGTGTGAAATGTCAGCGACTGGGTTTTGGATGCTGCTGTATTGATCACAACAGCTGGATCACTGGAAGCGGATTATTTCTGCAGATGTGAGCGCGCACGCAAGAGCGTCAACCATCGCGAACGAGTCACGAGATGCTTCAGGAAAACGTTGATAAGCGTTGTTCTCTGATAAAAACCGGCCTAGCTTCGGTAAGCTTCCCTTTAGACTACCGTTCTGTCATTTTCTTGAAGTAATTTTATATTTGACTGTGTTGTTCCAGTCATTTTATAGCTGCTGCTTTGGTACAAGCGACTGCTGTCAGTCCGCTTAAATACATTGTAACGTTACATTGGGCAACAATACAAACACATGATTGGCAGCGTACATGCTGTGTCGGGTTTTTTTTTTTTTAGATCGTGTGTGTACTGTGTTATGTGTATACAGAGCACTGTTACACCTGAATGGCATACATGTTTTAGTCAGTGCCAGCGGTAAGGCCTCGTGCCAGTCTGATTAATTCACTGTGGCGCGCGTACGTGGGCAAAAGGGAAAGTGTTCTCCAAGATGCTCAAAGCAAAATGCGTTGCATAACCTGTGGCATCATAAAGGGAAACGAGACATTTCATAGTGAACTTTGATGGCTGGTCAGGTTGCATTAAGTTTATGTATTAGTTTATTTTTTAAACTTCTTTGCAAGGACCTCTCTAGAAGATTTTTAGTCTCTCAGATGCCACAGAGGCACAGACCCCCAAATATGATCATCCTAAGGAAACCTTACCCTAAAATATGTCCAGTTTACACTATTAGAAAAATAGTACAATAAAATAGACTAAAATATTGTTTTTAATTTCTTCCTAAGTATTATTTTTTATAATCATATTTGTTTGTTAATTTGTACATAGATTATTGATATAAACTTAATTAAAATTATTTAAATAATTTTTTTAAATAAAAATTATTTAAATTCATTCATTTATTTTCTTTTTGGCTCAGTTCCTTTATTAATCTGGGGTCGCCACAGTGGAATGAACCACCAACTTATCCAGCATATGTTTTATGCCCTTCCAGCTGCAACCCATCACTGGGAAACATCCATACGCACTCCTTCATACACATACACTATGGACAATTGTTTTTAGCTTACTCAATTCACCTGTATCACATGTTTTTGGACTTTTGGGGGTAACGGAGCACCTAGAGGAAACCCACACAAACACAGGGAGAACATGCAAACTCCACACAGAAATGCCAACTGACCCAGCCGGGGCTCAAACCAGCGACCTTCTTGCTGTGAGGCGACTGTGCTACCCACTGCGCCACCGTGCTGCCCTAATATTTATATTATAATATTATTCTATTTTTATTATTTATGATTTGCATATTTTGATAATTTCTTTATTTAAATAAAGTATTTATTTTGATGTTTATGAAACTTTTTGTGACATCTACCCTGGTGCAAATTTCAAAACCGAAAGACGAAAATAACAAATCAAAATAAACCAATATTTATTTCTGTTTATAAAAGAATTATTCGATGCTAATCGTTGTCTTCTATAGTGTGCCACAAAAACACCCCTGTTAAAATATTCGATAGCTTCTTGTTTCATAATCTTCTGTAATCATACACTTGTATCTACAATTTTCTAGCTATTACAATGATGCACGGTGACTCCTTGTTTAGCACGTTTACTTCACAATAAGAAGCTCGCTGGTTCGAGTCCCAGCTTGACCAGTTGGCATTTCGGTGTGGAGTTTGCATGGTCTTCCCATGTTCACGGGGGTTTCTTTCAGGTGCTCTGGTTTCCCCCACAGTCCAAAGACATGCACTGTGGGTGAGATGGATGAACTAAATAGACTGCAGTGTATGTTTTTGAGAGTGTATAGGTGTTTTCCAGTGCCGGGTTGCGGCTGGAAGGGCATTCGCTGCATAAAACATATGGCAGAATAGTTGGTGGTTCCTTCCACTGTGGCGACCCTTGATATTAAGTGCCTAAGCCGAAGAAAAATTAATTAATGAATGAATGAGTTACCAAAATTTTAATTAGTTTATTCCGATTTTCATTTGTTTGGTACTTTTGTACTGATGTGTTTATCTTAAAATGTAAAAAAAAAAAAAAATCATGATTTACTTCTTGATATACTTTCTATGTATTTTTTACTGATTTTTAAATACTTTCTTGATATTTTGGGGGAAATATCTTCTCTCCAAACATGTTTCCAGGACACTTATCACTTCTTTTTAGCCATCCTTAAACTACCCGCTCAAGAACATTAATTTATTTAATTAAAAGTATAGCAAAATGAATCGCTGATGGAAGTTCTAGTTTTAATTCTAGTCAGAAATAGAAAATATGCATACATCCATTTTTATTATTGGGGGTGATTGTCAAGTTTAAGTCGAGCATTATTGTCATTTTGCTACATGTGTTGACACAAAGTGGGACAGAATGTCGTGACTCGCCGGACCACAGTTTTACATAAATTAACACAACCATAAATATGAACACAACAGTGGATGAAGGAGCTATTTTAAACTTATACAGAACTAACATACTGAACTACTAACTATACATGTATTATACATACTTAACTATACACACAACCTGATGATAGAAGATAGACTATATATATATATATATACAGCAGGGAAAATAAGATTTAAACACGTCACCATTTTTCTCAGAAAACATATTTCTAAAGGTGCTGTTGACTTAAAGCTTTTACCGGATGTTGGTAAAAACCAAAGAAACCCATAGATCCAAAGAAAACTATACTAGTTAGATTAAGAATAAAGGTATGCATACTTATAATGAAATGATGCAGGAAAAAAAGTATTGAACACATGAAGAAAGGGAGGTGTATAAAGGCAGTGAAAGCCCAGACAGCAGCTGAAATCTGTCAGTTGTCATTCAGCAACCAGCTGCCCTTCATCATTGTAAATTAAAATTAGCTGATTCAGTCCAACATCTACATTATCAGGATGATATAACTAGGGTGGACATTTCAGCAAGACACTAGCTATGTTTCCATCCACTTATTTATATGTGCATTTTGGATATTGAAAGATGCGCATAAACTATGACGTAAAGAGATCGTGTGATGATAAAAATGATAAACCCGCAGGCTGAGCACACTGTAAAGCATCTGAAGTGTTGTTTTGGTCATTCTTAAACACCTCAACTGCTTCAGTATTAGTGGTATTATATTATTAATTACCTTGTAAAACTTTCAAGAAAGTCAGAACTTTAAAAAAGCCTTCAAATGTCAAAACGTGTTTATTGCGTGTTTGCATTTGCCTTCTGAGGTGCAAGTCGTTTATTAAAAAAATAAGATTCATGCAGCTTCTCATTGCCGCAGCACATTCTGTTTATACTGTTGATATTTGGGGGTAGTTAATCAGGAACTGAAGATTTTTTTTTTTTTTGACTCATTGGATGGAAACGTTGCTTTTCACATCTTTTTGGCATATTTTAGCTTTGCGCATAAATTTAATTTGCATCTTGGGATCAATCATCTATTGATCCAAAACTGTGGAAACTCTCAAATGCTTTCAGAGAAAGAAAATCAATCTGTAGAATGGCCCAGCCCATCACCTGATGTCAATCCAACAGAGAATACGTATTAAAGATCAGATTTGATAGACGAGACCCACAGAACCATCAAGATTTTTACACTGTTGAAGTCTGTGAAAAACTCACACCTGAGCAATTCATGTGACTTCATTCTCCATATGAGAAGTGTCTTTAAGCAGCCATTACCAAAAAAAGCCTTTTATAAAAAGAATTAAATACATTTTAGTGGTTCAGCACTTTCTCCTTGTGTCATTCTATTTTGATTACACATAACTAATTTGACATTTTTTCATTTTTTATGTTTGTACTGTTTGTGTTTTTACGGAAATCTGGTTCAATTCCATGTCAACAGCTCCTATAGAAATATTATTCCCAGGAAAAAAACATGACGTGTTCAATATTATTTTCCCTGCTGCATATTATACAAGTACTCTTTCTGTAAGACAGAACAATACTCTGCAAAGGAGGTATTTAAGTAAAAAAAATAAAAAACAAGTAGTACAATATGATTTGTGGAACAACAACATGCAAACATTGCCTTCACCAAACATTGAGATAGTGTTTCTACAGGTGCTTTGTCAAGCCCACTCACTTGTGTGAGGCACACTTAGAAACGCACAATTTTTTATAGAGTTACAAAGCGACTAAGGTCACGTTTACACTGTCAGGTCTTGATGCCCAATTCCGATTTGTTGCCTATATCTGATTTTTTTTGCCTGTCCGTTTACACAATAATTGCAAGATTTAATTGTGGCCCATATCCAATTCATGTGTTTACACTTGTTATACAATTTACAACATTGCGTATGCGCAAAGGAGGGTTAGCATTTCTGCCATTCTGGCCATGATGGAAGAAATTGTCTTGCTTTTAACTCTATGCGAAGTTCGCCCACCTTTTAAATGATTCTGAGGAGGAGAGAAAGGGCTGTCATCGCAGCTTGCATCTATGGCTTTTATATGGTGTCCTCCACCATTCAGAGGAATTTGTGGGTACAAGAGACATCTCAGGTTTGGTGGGAGCAAATTGTGGCGGGCTTTAAAGATGAAATAGGGTCATATCTTGGTTGTAAGGGTCTCCAACAACAGTCTAATATGCTTGCAAGGTCAAAAAACACTTTCATGGTCTTATAATCTGCATTTATTTTTACCTAATTATCCCAGCGACTCCCGTATGAATCGTCCAGTGATTCATTTGTTCCCAAACCCCTCCTTAGCGCGAAGCTAATCTGCGCTGATTGGACCGATGACAGTCTGTTGCGATTGGTCGACTGCCTTCAGTGAGAGAGTGAAATGCCAAACAGCTAATCAGCAATATAAAAGTAATCACAGTTCATACACGCTCGATAGTGCAGGCGTAGATTTTAGCTCCCAGTGGGTCAATGTAAATACAAACGATGGACTTGAAAATACAGACGACTAACTATTTTATTGAGCAAAAACTCCAAAAACTGTCGAGGAGATCTCCTAGCTTGTCTCACTCTGCTCTTGTCACAGACACACACACACACACATATTGCTCTCGTCTTTGTGCGCGCGCACACACAAAAACACACACCCACACACCTCCGGTCGACAACGCGCGCACACACACACAAACACACACACACACACATACCCCCGGACGACAGCGCGCACACACACACACGCACGCACCCACTACCCTCCTCCACGGAGCTTCGTAAACAAAGCAGCACGCGTCGCGTTAGGAGAATATAGCCAGTTAACCTGATACAGTACACGCGGTTACAAGTAACAAATCACAACTAAATACATTTGCTAGCTAGAGTCAACGAGGCAACAACTTTAATCGCACGTACTTACAGAGAAATGGAGGAAGAAACCCATCCTGACTTCCACCAGTAAGTTACTCTTTACTGATCCTTCCTTTAACAAACGCCGATGAATTATTCTTTGTAGCATGTACTGTAGTTTCCAACTGCTTGGTTATAATACTGAGGTTTCATCTTTGGGTAGAGACTCGATAATATCCATCTAGAGTGTGACTTCAATCGACCGGCATGTTTGTGTGCGTGTGTTTGTGGGTGTGTGTGTGTCTGCGTTACTGTGTCAGAGGGCGGGGCCGCAGGTTTCAAATCTCCCGGGTTTGCGCGTGCACGTGAATAACTTGGTTTCGTTCGTACGTCATGGCGAAACACCTAATGACTTGGTATCAAGGCGACTCGTTTGAAGCACTATGAGTCGACTCTTTTATAGATGAATCAACCGTTTTAAACACTGTACACTAACAGATTTAAGCCTTAGCTGGATACTTCACTTCACTTAGAGTTGTGTTACACACTACATGGAAGGGCATTTTCAAAAACCCATAATATGGGCTCTTTAATGAGGAGCAGTGGGTCCGAAATTTTAGGATGAGCAAACCAACATTTGATAAGCTATGCAAAAGCTTGTCCACATACCTGTTTTACAATGACACATCGTTTCATCAGGCCATCCCTTTGGAGATGCGCATCAGGGTTGCGCTCTGGTGGCTAGCAACAGGTGCGGGCTTTCGCAAGTTGGCACATCTGTTTGGCATAAGCAGCGCATCGGTGTGCCAAGCCATGCAAGAAGAGCTGTGGCATGATTACATCCAGAACGTCATAAGAGGTTTCAAAATCTGTTTGGGGTTCCTGTAGTGCACAGGGTTTATCGATGGGAGCCACATACTGATCATCTGAGGACCACAAGTTTAACGACGTACAAAACGGAATGCCTCAATAAATCCGCTCTGCCTGTTTACATGATAATCGCATTGTCACATATCTGATTTATTTCCACATATGAAGGAGGCCTGAAACTGATCTTTGAATATCCAATTTTTTTTCGTGTTTACACAGTCATAGAACAGATCCGATCTGTGTCACATATGAGCAAAAAATCGGAATTGAGTCACATTTAACTTGGGGTCTAAGAGTCTTGTCCTTCTCATTATCGCTTCCTGATTGTGTCTTCTCATGTCTTTCAGATGTAGAGCGAACGAAAGCCTCAGGAACTCTGCAGACCCTTCTCTTGTGGCTAGTTGCTGATCGAGTTCCCTGCGACTTTGAGCATGTCTATAACGGACCACAGCCCCACCACTGGGGTCGTCACCATTATTGTAATACTCATCGCCATCGCAGCATTGGGTGCTTTAATTCTGGGCTGTTGGTGCTACTTGCGGCTGCAGCGCATCAGTCAGTCTGAAGACGAGGAGAGCATCGTGGGCGAAGGTGAAACCAAGGAGCCCTTCCTACTAGTCCAGTATTCAGCACGGGGCCCGCGGGTCGAGCACAAGACCAAACTCACTCCTAACGGCACCGAGAGCCACACTTAGCTCCCTCAACAGTGCGTACTATGTAGACTCAGTCTCAATCAGCACTGAAATGAAAGCACTCCACGCTGATGAACCAAGACCAACCTAGTGCATGCAGTTGTCTAGTTGCTTTGACTGTTGATTTGTTCCCGACCCATTTTGTGGTGGTAGAGCCCTGTTATAATGTGAAATCGACGACAAGTGTACGAGTTTTGTGCAATGATGTTTATTTGTAAAGACGTAGCCGGTTTATGAAGATAAATTAAGACTAAAAAGCCGTTCACATCAAGGATGATAACTATAAACTTAATGATATAGCTACAAAAAAGTCCTATTATGCTGTGGATTTTGTTTTTTGAGAGGTACTGGAACAGGGGTTATCAATCTTTTCAGGCCATGTCCCCAAAATAACAATGCCAGTAGCTCATGACCGCCATTATCCTTGGGGTTGGATTTAAATATAGATTCCTCGCACACACATCAATAGGCAAATATTCAGTAATTTTCCTTCGGGTTAGTCCCTTATTTGTCATGGGGTCACCACAGAGGAATGAACCACCAACTATTCTAAAATATATTATGCCCTTTCAGTCGCAACCCAGTACTCGTACCCATATATGGCCAATTTGTTTAATCCACGTCACCTATAGCACATGGGGAAAACTGGAGCACCCGGAGGAAGCCCACAGAAACACGGGGAGAACATGCAAACTCCACACAAAAATTAGGGTAGGAATTAGGTATGGATTACATTTTCCAACAAAAATGATGTTCCAGGATCAACATAGATGTTAATCTAGGATTGCATCATGCTTTGCAAAATCTTGATGTGCTAATCAAACCAAGGGTTGCAATCTAATTGGGGGGATGGGAGGGGGGATCGAATCGAAAGGCTGATGTTTTTTATTCGCATGATGTTGTTTTTGTATGTAGGTAAATCATGTTTTAGATTGTCCGGAACTCAGCAATTTAACAAAAAAAAAAAAAGGTTTGGGGATTTACTTTAATGACTTTCCAATCGGCTGCTTTGTGACATCACAAATCCCTGAAAACAACACTCGAGCCATTTGGTGTAGTTCTTGAAATTGAACTTTTTAAAAACCAAATATTTTCCAGTGGTGTGGACTGATATTTGTAACTTTGTAGATCTTTTGTTTATCCGCAAACATACACACTATTAACTGACTAAAGTTTCAAAATTCAAAAGCATAATAGGACATCTTTAAAAAAGAAAAGAGCATCAGGACTGTTCACCTTATTCGCCAGCCATTTGAATCTTTCTGGCTTGAGACTTCCTGTCTCATTCACTTTCATTCATTTTTAGGTGTTATAAACAGCTCGTTCTGCTGCTTGTTGCAAACTGACATTTCCTTATAATATTATTCTGCTTTGTCTGTTTTGTCATGCAAACACTTGTTTGTAGAGCGAGTAGTTTGACCGTTTTCTGCCGTTTATTATTCCTAGTCATTTCTCCCATAGGCAGCTGAATCTGAAGTTCTAAAGCAATCGCAAAAACGAGCGCATTTGAAGAATAAGGTCAACAGTAACAGTTAAAAAAGGCAAACGATTCTATTGTACTTTTTTCTTATCCAGCTACTGAACAATAGAAATGGATATTCTGCTTTAAAGTGCACAAGCCTTCTAAAAGCGACAAATGAGAAATGCTGGCTGTGATTATAAGTCTAAGGGATGTCATGCTTTGATGTCGATGTCAATATATTTATGGTTATAACCACTATCGTTGTACGTAATGTTATATGCTTCTAGTTATCGTTCTTGATGTGAAAAGGCCTTAAAGGAAAAGTTCACCCAAAAATGTATATTTGCTGTTAATTTACTCACCATCAGGCTGTCTACAGTGTAGGTGTCTTTTATCTAGTTAGTACAGGGGTGCCCAAACTATTTCTTATGAAGAGCCAAAAACCAAACTTGATTGAGGATAGTGGGCCAAAGGTAAATATAGTCGCCATTGGGTAATTTCCTTATTTAATTAATAAAATTAAAAGGCGGAGGATCGCGATGCCGGTGTTGTCTATTGGACGAACCGTACGTAATCTGTACATAGCAGAGCTTGCAAAACTGTGGTTTTTTTTGTCGACAACACGAACGTTGTCAACATAACTCAATGGAAATCCAAAATGCTTACACACCGGCGACTTCATTGAAAGAGGTGAGGGTTTAAGTTCTGTCGACGGGTCTCCTGCTTCTGCAGTTTAACAAGCACTTCAACAAGCCTGTTTTTTCCCGCTTGGCAAGCCAAGCTGACGTGACATGGGGGCGTGGCAGCATCGACGATTCTATTTTTTGATTCGATAATCGAAATTGAGCATAAATTTCAATCGATTTCGATTAAAAATCGAAATCGTGACACCCCTAATATATATATATATATATATATATATATATATATATATATATATATATATATATATATATATATATTGTTTATAACAGTATAGTTACACTAGTTTTTGTCTTGATTTGCTCACTGCATAGTCCTCTATCCATTGAGTGACATTTATATTTTTAAAAAAAATCTGATTCATTTACAACATTTAATTAAAACATTTCATTTCAGTTCGCTTTTTTGTAGCTCAGCAATAAAACAAATTTAAAAAGGTTACACCAAATTAGAAATGACGATCTCATTCACCTCAATCCTTCTCATTCGCTTGTCAGATCAAAGGTTACAGTGGGCCAACTTTGGGCATCTCTGAGTTCGTAGAATGTCAAAGAAGATTTGTTTAGCTGAAACTGTGGTGCTTAGCAATTCACAATAGTGTTCAATCCAGCCAAATTTATGAGCTTTGCTTTATCTTTATTTGCTTTTTTTAACTGTAAAGAGCACAGTCAGCCATTAAGTTGCTTTTTATAAATCCGTTTCACTAAAAATCTAGTTTGTTGTTCATCTAATGAAAAGTTACAAAGGCTGAGTACATTAACAACAAATGAAGAGTTCAGATGCAAAGTGCCATCTAGAATTTTCATCTACAATGAGCATTGTTCTTTGCCTCATGTTTATGTTCAGTTATTTCATGTAAAATTGATGATAATTACCTATTCTTTGCCTTGAAAGTGAAATTACTAAATCAGGACAAAGGAGCCTGAAAAAATGCTCATTTTGGAAGAAATTTTTAGATGACACTTAGAAGCTTTTGCATCTAAAGTCTTTAAATGTACTTTTTTGTGGTGGACTGTCACTTTCTGTTTCTTTGTAGTGTTTTCATCTTAATTTTTTTCACCCAGAGCTGGCTCTGGCATTGCGAATTTCCACACATTTAAATAGACTGATTTCACAGATCATGTCATAGATTTAGATGATTTTATCTTTTTCCTAGAAAACATTTCAGAAATGCAACAAAAATGTGTCATTCCTCTTTATTGGAAGCTTTAACCTTCAATACGTGTATGTATATATTGGAGGTTATATAAAAGGTTCAATAATGTTTTAAAACAGTGTTCACATCAAGTAAAAATGGTTCTTTTGACAAATTGAGTTTATTTTTCCATTACAAATAAGCACTTGAGGATACCTAAACTTGCCAAATGATGTAAAATGGCTTTTGAAAGCTTAATATTCAGCCATTCTTTTGTTAGCACTGTGTGTCTTTCATGTGATGCACAGAAGATTTCGAACAGCACTTGCAAGTTCTGCTTCAATCTTGCTAGGAAACCACTGAAAGAACATAAGCCAATGACTGGGGTCTATTTTTTTCTTCTTGCTATTGTGGCCTCAGAGGTTTTGTTTTTTTTCCGTGGTTGAGCAGATTTCTACTCCATGTTAAATTCGAAATTTTATTTTTATAGATGGTTTGATGCAGAGCTCAATACCGAGAGGTGTGATCTTCATTGTTATTTTATTTTCATTCATGTTAAATATGTTTGTGTGTGTGTGTGTGTGTGTGATATTGCAACATTTGCTGTTTGTACATGTATGATGAAAGTGAGAGAAATGATTTATTTTTATACAGTGTTCATGCAGATGTCTATACAAGCTAAATTAACAATCAGGAGGTAGAAGAAGCCTGTAAATGTTACTAAAAATCTCATGTTTAGAGTCCTTTGACATGTTTCTGACAGACTTTTTGTGAATTATGTGCTGTTCAATGTAAAGGGACAGTACATGCATGTTCATTTAATCTGCATATTTGAGCAATTTTCTAACTCTGTTTGCTTATGTCACTTCCGTCAGTTTGAGTGCGTGTCCAGTGTTTGACTTTACTGAACAATAAAACTTCCTGTTACTGTAGAAAGGTCTGATTGTGAGTTTTTGTAAAATGTTAATTTATCTGTCATTAACTTCTGAAGCTATTTGAAGGGAACGGAACATGTTGCTCATGTTTGTTCTGGAAACACGGTCTGTTTTGGTGCAAACCCCACTGAAAAGGTCTTATGACGATCTGCTTAATGGATTCGCAGAGGCCTGGTTGAAAAGTTCATTAAACTGGGTGCTTCACAAAGATTTGATTGAGAAATGTTTAGTAGTTAAAAAGTGGCGTGCTTACAGATTTTTTTTTTTTTTTTTTTTAGTTGCCCGCAGTAAACTGCAATCATATGTTAATAACAACAGAGGAGAAAGTTGACGCTTCTAACGAAGTCAGATGAAAGCAAACCACATGACGTGCAGTGAGAGGAAATGCCTCAGTGTTTATGAAATCGTGAAGTAGCAGTGAAAGTGTTCAGACTCCATCAAGTCTTTTATCTGTAAAGAAAATAAAACGCCCTCATTTTTAGCAACTAAACCAGAGTCTGCACCCTTAAAAAGATAAGATGATTAGTTTTTTTAAAATATTTGAAAAAAACAAAAAAAAAAAAACAACAAATTGAGGTTTTAATGTATGTAAAAGCATTTTAACGCCTTACATATGTACTTTTTGGGAAATAACTAAAATTTTAGCAGTCTAAAAACAAGGACTTAAAACTTGCTCTTAATTTGCAGGGTCCACAAAGGAGAACAGTTTGTCAAATTTTGCGCCTGTTGGTCAACAGTGTACTTTTAGAAACTTTTTAGGCTAGAATAGTTGTTCAGATTACAACTATGCAGTTTATTTATAAGAATACAAATAGGTACCTATCAGTCATAATCTTGGAGATTTAGCGTATTGGTGACCAGACTGTCATACTGAGCAGAGCAAAGATGAGTGATGTTCTGCCACAAAATGTCAAAGGAGACTGCATAATTAATAAGCCCTTAGAGGAGAAAAACTAAATTATAAATCACAGCTGACCAAATTATTTTAAAACAGGTAAGTGACTTTCGAAGTCGATCTCTCGCATTTGTATGTTGTAGTGATGCATTTATACCATAGTAATCTGATAGTGTTTGCTTTGCTTTATTGTGATATACTGATTGCAAAAGAGAAATACTGGGAAATCTCTAGACTGATTGCCATTTCATGCTATGTGAGCAAAATCACCTGTTTTGTCATCATTTTATATATTAAGTTAGAGAATCATTCAAATTCTAGCTCTAAAGTGATGTTGAATTAAGTTTCTGCTGTTTTGATGTCCGCTGCAGAATGAATGATGGAGGAAAATGGTAGTTTCTCATACAAAAGGTTTTTTTGAGACTGTGTTTGATTTTCTTTTTTTATATACACGACTGCTGTCAAACTGTTGTATAAATGCTTTAATATATATATATATATATGTGTGTGTGTGTGTGTGTGTGTGTTATTGTATGAACATTTAAACTGGATAAAAAATTAAAAAATAAAACTTTCAAAGCTGTCTGAAAACCATGAACTATTCTATCTAAACATTACTGCATTATTCTACTCAGTGCAGTAATTTATTCAGATATTACTTTTCTAAATCACATTTTTATATTTAATTTTAATCTAATTTGTATAACCTAATTTTATTTGTTTTAATCCATGTTTGTCTTTAATCATACTTTTGTTTTTTAAATTCATCAATTGTTCCAGTTTTTGTAAGTTTCAATTATATTACAGTGTTTTTTTTGACCTGAGCAATTTTTTTTTCATTAGAACCCCATGGCCAGTTTTTTTTTTTTAAATACCCTTATCTATAGTTTTTAAGGAAAAAAAGTAACATTATGCTTACATAACACAGATGTTAAAATGTTATGTTGAAATACAGTATACTTAAAATAGTTTTCTGTTTTCATACATTTTGTGAAATGAAATGCGATTCATTATTCAAAACAACCATTCAATATATAGTTTAAAAGAAAAGCATTTATTAAAAAAAACTAACATTACAAACGTCTTTACTGTCATTTTTGACCAACATAATGATCAAAAAGAACAATGTAAAGCATTCATGCTCAATAAAAAGTGACGATTAAAAAAAAAAAAACTAGCATATAGCATTCTCATTAGATCAAAAACAAGCAGTTAATCCAAGTAAATGAAATTCTTTTAACAGGGAATGCAGAGCAGATTCCTCCCAAACAGCATTTATTTCAGATAAGACTCTCAGTCGAGTCCTTATCTCCCCCTAGTGGATAAAACAGGTCGTCACAAAATAAATTCACCTACCTCTTTCCTGTTTGCTTCAATACACCGGTAAACGGCATCACTTCCATGTTTTACTTAAGGGAACTACGAACGCTGAAAGGGTGAAGACTTCGTGTTTTTTGTCGGTCCATAAAATAATACCAACAGGCATTAACACAGCAGCCAGTTTTGGCGCGAATGTAGAATAACAGACACAGGACCCAGCATTCCAAAACAAACGAACTAAAAAAGGGCGGGAATTTGTCACATAAACATCCAAACAGGGCTTTTCCTCTCGCTATATTCCAGATATATACTGCACTTCTGCTTTTGGTTTGGTTTACAAAATCCAGTTCCTGCCGAGTGTCATTTATTTTAATAAGAGAAACATAAAAGGCGATGGTGCGTTTATATGTAACCGGTGATAAAAGCAACAAAGCCGTGATTTACTTCAGAACACAAGGCCAGCTCTGCGCTTCCCATCAAAACCCAGAAGGAGAAATTTTATTTTATTTTCCTCCCTCTTTTATCAGAGAGAGCCACACAATGGCGCTCGTCTGATTCAATACTGAACTCAAGATATCATAGATCCAGAACACCTCGCATTAACAGACTGGGTTTAGTTAAAACATTACTTAATATCTTTAAGCAGAAAACTATATTTGCCAAAGTCATTATCATTGGGTGCTATCAAGTGATCTTTTCTGGCTTTGGCAAGTTTCATCAAAAGGAATTCTCTTCGGTCCATCCACTCTTTTAGCTCCTCGTCTCCGTGAGCTAGTTTACAGAGCTCCTCCTCGGTGCACGTGCCCTTCAGGAACCTGGAGGAGACAAAATGGCCCTTTAGCAAGAAATGATAACATGATATGTAGTGTAATGGTATATAAATTTCAGTATTTTGGTTTAGTAAGCATGTGTACTTCAGTAATAGTGTCATTTTTCGTGCTGAATAAAAAAGGTTTAATGTCTTACATTTTATGCACCTTTCGATTTACTCTAAAATCTGAAAATGAATATTTCTCTATGCCATTTTAATTTATACTGTTGGTGTTTAAGATGTCCTCATGTATACCGTCATCATGAAATTCTGTCTATTTTATCAAAGAATTTACAACAGTGTTTGCTAATATAGGGATTTTGTCACCAAATTCAGCAACTTTCTCGTTAGCTATGTTTCCATCCAAAGATGCTATTTAAATTTATGTGCAAAAATGGAATCTCCCATAAGACATCAGAGTAAAGCAGCGTTTCAATCCAATGAGTCAATGAAAACAAAATGGTCACTTCCTCATTAAATTGTGACAAATATTCACAGTAAAAACGGAATATTCTGCGATAAACGAAGCTGCGTGAATCTTTTCTTCATTTAATAAATAACTTAAACAAGAACATGTGATGGCATTTGAAGGCGTCAGATGCTAAGCACAGACAGTCTTAACAATTCTGGACGTAATTAAGAATATAATAACACTAATACCGAATGGTTAAGGTGTTTTATAATGACCAAAACAAGATTTAAGACGTTTTACAATGTGCTCAGCCTGCTGGTTTGTCCATTTACACACATTTTTTTAACATCACATGATCTCTTATAACAAAGTCATATGACTTTATTGCACTCACTAGAATTTGTCCGGTAAGTTTTTCCATCGTAGTTTATGTACATGTTTTCTTCTCAAATAAAAAGTTTTTGCTACTCCGTTATGCGCATTTTCAAAATGTATGCGCATCTTGGCGTTTCAATCAACTGATTTTTTCATGCGCATTTCCAAAACTCGCATAAAAATAGATGGACAGAGACATAGCTAGTGTTGCTGTGACTTTAGTTCACGTTTTCTGACAATAACAAGCTGTTTATTTTTTGTGATATTCAAATTAAAGTTTGACAGATCACATTAAACTTGTATTTGGTCATCTTTGTGATAAAACAAAACAACTGTCAAATATTATTTGTAATGTTTTATTTGTCTCTTCTTATTTTACTTATTTATTTATTTATTTATTTAATTCACTTAAGTAAATACAGCTCAAATAAAATCATGATGTCAAAGTAATAAAATGTATGTACAATTTAAGTAAATATAAAATAGTTTATTTGCACTCATACATATTTTTATTATTGCTTTAATTGACAAAAATAAAATATTAAATTGAACAGCTTTTTTAATAAAAAATGCTATTAAAACAATTGTTATTATAACATGACGTGATAATGCATCATAGTTTAGCTGTATTTATGTAATGTGTAATGTATTTATTTATAGCCATGTTTCTGCAATTTCATGACAAGAACGTTTCAATAATAAATATGCAATTAAAAATCAACAAACAAATATATACATTAAAAAAATACGATTTTTAGCGCCAATACATGATACAAATTCTAACATGTTTCCTGGTGTCACTTTGCTAAAAATGTTCCCAAGAGAGTTCACATCATTAAGTCCTTTGGAATCATTAAAAAGCAGGACAGTCCAGTAAAATGCGTTTACTGTGAGAAGAGTTGTGCAGTATAAACACTGTCTCGAGTCTTCACCTTTGAGCAAAAAACCATGAGTTATTCTTGTATGTCCAATATGAAATCTGGTAAAAATCACTTGATCAAATCTAGTCTTAAAACTCTGTTTGATATTTCAGGTTGTATTTTATTGAGGTAATTATTTTTCAATGCATCCCACTCCTCTTGCCACTTATTTAAAGTGTAAACATTGATAAAAAGGTCTCATCTTTGAAGGAGGAATTTAGCATTTGTTCACCATTTGATTTAAAGTGCAAATAATGCTTTAAATTGCTGCTTTCATAGACACCAGTTTGCATTTCGCAAAGGTTTCACTTTATTAATGTTAACATCTATTTTAATGTCTGACATGCAAATCACATGTAATACGATCATAACCACTAAAAAGTAGGTGACATATGACATGCACTGCACGTCCAAACTGATTTGAATTTAGCTGTTGATCACTGAAGGATGTAATCTTAAAGCATGTATTAAAAGGTAGAAAGTATCTATAATATATAGTTGAAGTCAGAATTATTTACCCCTCTTTGAATTTTATTTAAATTTTTAAATATTTCCCAAATGATGTTTGACAGAGCAAAAAAAATTTTATTGTATGTCTGAAAATATATACTTTTTTCTGGAGAAAGTCTTATTTGTTTTATTTCGGATAGAGTAAAAGCATATTTTAATTTTTTAAACACCATTTTAAGGACAAAATAATTAGCCCCTTTAAGCTATTTTTTTCAATAGTCTAAAGAACAAACCATCGTTATACAATAACTTGCCTAATTACCCAAAACTACCTAGTTAACTTAATCTAGTCAAGCCTTTAAATGTCACTTTAAGCTGTATAGAAGTGTCTTGAAAAATATCTAGTCTAATATTATTTACTGTCATCATGGCAAAGAAAAAATAATTCAGTTATTAAAAATGAGTTATTAAAACTATTATGGTTAGAAATGTGTTGAAGAAATCTTCTCTCCGTTAAACAGAAATTGGGGAAAAAATAAACAGGGGGCTAATAATTCAGGGGGGGGCTAATAATTCTGACTTTAGCAGCAAAAGTGTCCCCTTTGCTGTGGTGAAACATGCTGAATCATGACTGCAGGACTGGTGAAGTTCAAAATCAGCAACAGTGTCGTACCTCTCACAGACTCTAAAGGTGCCGGTTGGAAAACGATACTGCCAGCAGTTCTGATCATCCTCAGAGTTGAAAACCCGCTCTTTGTGCTTCTCAGAGGTGATATGCTGCTGCCACTGCTTTTCACTGTTGCAGTTCTTCCCACACAGCCAACAATGATTACCAGCCTGAAAAAACAGCATTCACAAGATTATGAAGACAGCAATCATGAAGAAAAGTTAAGGAGTTCAGCTGCGTGAAGTAATGTGCAGTGAATTACAGCAAAATACTTTTATATAAATAATAAATACATTGTTTTATATAACATCCATTAATCATTAACATTGACGATATACTTAAGGGTCGTCCACATCAAGCACGCCCATGATTTAGCTGGGTCATTAACTAATACAAAAACTTTTGACGCTAAGAGGTAATTGTGCTGTATATAAACAATATCAATTTCAGAACTCAAACCTTTCCTGTTAGTCTAAAAAGGATATTTGCTTATATTGAAGCAAACCCACCAAAACGACTAGAATGAGCCAATAAGAAACTTTTTCCACTTCCTTTTACTGCAGATCTGTTTACAAACAAAGCACTATTCAATGCTTATTGAAACCAAATTGACACAGATGCTAAGTGAGTGAACTACTAGAGATGCACCAAAATGACAATTCTGGGCAGAAACAGAAAGTTCTGGATGTACCTGGCTTAAAACAAAAAGTGGTTTACATTATTTAATATAAAAACAACTACTTATTAAAGCAATTTTGCAAAACCTTTAGTATAACAACTTATATTATACTGACTTCAAAAGACACATTTTATTCATCAGTGTTAGCATGACAGCACAGTAGCGCTGTTGCAAGCAGCAGGAACAAGTATACAGCATTGAAATGCAAAAATCTTCAGTTCAAAACAACTCTAGCCAAAAAAAAAGGTGAAACTTTTGAGCATCTTTAGTGTCAACTATACTAAATCTGACAATAATGTCATACAACACAAGTTGGAGTACATGTTGTTACATGTTGTCAAGTTGTTACATGTTCATGATCGCTTTGTTTGTGGTTAGATTTAGCTTGACATTTTGACAGTATTGAAGAATTTTTTACCTAAATCACAGACCAATAGGCATTTACTTCCAACTCATTTGGACCATTTCTTGATAAACAAATTAAGTAGCCTTTTATAACTACAGCATTTTTTTTGTGTTACAATCTTGATAATATTAAAAGTGGACAGCAAACAAATAGCGTAAAGAAAAAAAAGTTTAAAAATGCCAACACAGTCTCAAACTAATATTCCTATTTTTGTAGTGCTGTGTGAACGTTTAGATATGTAGAAATCAGTTTCAATATAACTGCACTGATTTTAGTAATGATTGCGATCTTGACACACCTAATAACTGTTAACATATTATCATTTACTTTTAACCAACTTAAAAAAAGGTAGAATATAGTCCCTTTTCACGTTTCCAGATTTCTCAGTGGCGGAAGTCATACTTGGGTAAACTTGGAGAGCAGTGAACAGGAGAGTACAACAAATTTTTTTTTATAATCCTATTTGCTGAAATAATAAAAGAAAAATATCACGATGGTGTTTATCAAGACTTTTGTGTGAGACTGATCATGGTAGCCAGAGGAGAGAATTTCACATCAAATATACTCTCAGCGCCATAGATGCTGCATTAGAAACTCCTCACATAAGCAGCAATTTGATATTCGTAATTTGACACAAAGATGACATAATACATACATATAAATGTTCACGTTTATTTATATATTTTTTTAAATCAAGATATTAAAAACTTTCAAGGATTTAACATTACGATGACCGTTAAATGCTTTAATAACAGTCTTGTAAAAGGGTCCATTAAAAATCTTAAAATGAGACAAAATAATGTTGGGAATCAATAGGCACACTGGCACGTACTTCCATAGTAGGAAGAAAAAACTATGAAAGATGATGACTAGTGCTTTTTAATATTCTTCAATAAACAGTGGAAGCTGAGAAAACAATGAGTGCCTCATTTTTGGGTGGACCATACTTTTAAAGGTCCCCTGAAGTTCTTTAAAATATGCATTTTTATTTAATGTTTGACAATCTCACCCGAAACAAAGAGTCGGACAGAGTAGCCCCTCCCCCTTTTTAAACACTGCCAATAGTGTTTTGTTTTATCACAGCTCTGCATGTGCTTCAAATGAAAAGCAAATGATAAGCATCTTGAAGGGGTGGGGCATATCAGACACAAGAGAGCATTTGATTGGTTATGATGTGATGAGAAACAGTAGTGTGAGTTGACGTGAATAAAGCTGTGGTCACACTGGGCTTTTTCTCCCATAGACTTCAATTCATATGCAAGCGAATGCGTCAGACAGGAAATGCGGGGTCATGCGTCAAGTTTCGAAGGTTGCTGCGGTGTAAAGTTCAAGCTTGATGAACTCTGACCTGGGAAATCGCATCACTTGACTGCGTGAGAACAATCGAAGAACAAAACATGACATCTCTGGGCAGAAATTTAAGACATGAAGCAATCGCTCGCTTTTAAAAATGTCTAATAAGCTTGTTTAATCCCGCCCCTTTTCACAGGGCGGCACGACAGAATATCGCATGCTCAATCTCTAATGTGACCGCAGCTTAAAACTGTTGATTCATTTGGGCAGAAGTTACAAACTATAAGCTTTAGATGTTGATATCAGTTTCATATCTTCTAAACTTGAATTTTGTCATTGTTTTTAGGGCACAATAGCTTATAGATCTATTAAAAAGGAATAATACTGATGCTAACATCTATAAAAAAAAAAACACAACACATTCCCCATTTTACATTCAAGACATACAGGGCATGATTGGTGTACACAAGCTGGTGGGAGCACAAAAATTAAGTGCTCATCAATTATCATGAGAACAGAACAAACTAAAGCTAAGAGTACGTGCTGTCCTAGACAATCAGTGTTTTGTGACTTGCTTGCTTACATGTACTGAATGGTCTAAGATAGAGTGATGTTGTTTGAGAGGCAAGAAAAATAATATGATAACGAAGTGTGCAAATATAAACCCATTTTCTTACCACTTCCTCGGCGTAGTCTGTGGGCATGTGAATCTGTTTGCCATTTTCTCGGGTGGCGATGTTGCTGCTCTCTTCACCCCAGCCCGGCTTCTGAGACTGCAGCCACATTTCATACAGCTGCTCCATGTCTGCAACTACAAACACGCAACCATTATGTACAGGCTTTCCATTAAAAGGTGATGAAAGCGATTTTTAAAAAGGGATAGGGTCAGACCCAAAACACACTTTAATCCAATCAGCAGTAAGAGGCATGTCTTGTAACAATAGCGGCTATAACAAAAAAGGGGCAAGGTCTTATTGGTTTATAGACGTGTTTGTTTTGGTGCTTTCAAACAACATTAAAACTGTTAATACAATGGTTACATAAAAAAAATACCAAAAAAAATCTGTATAAAAGCGCTATAGTTTTATTAAAATAATGCTGGCTGTAGGCATGGCATGATAACCATTTTTAGGGTATACCGCGGTTTGGAAAAGTCAAGGTTTTAAAACCAAAATTCTGTAATACTATTCTGTAATACTATTCAAAATTCTGTAATACTATTCCTAAGGTATGTGTAAGACTTTTTAGAATTTTTTTTTTTTGCTTTTTTAGGACAACAGTATCTCCAGCAAAAAAGATATCCAAAGATGCCTTTTCAAATTGTAAAGAAATCAGTGTTTTTGAAACTGAGAATTATTCAGCCTGACATTTTTACTGCTCTAAACTATTATAGATCTTTCAAAAAATAGAATATATTGTGTTCAAATGGAAAAAAAGGTTTTGTTTTTTACCCAGACATTGAAAAAATATATATTTTAGAGCAGTAATTACAATACAGTGAAACTGTGATATTTTTATCCAAGGTTATCATCCTGTCAGAATCTTATACCGGCCCATGCCTAGCTGGCTCAGCGCATGCCTTGGCTAGAATGCCAATAAGCTTAAGGACCATATGAGTTTGTTAATTACAATGGGGGTGCACCACATGTGCATCGCTCCTTATGCACTTGCATAAATTGCACCTAGTCGAAAACATCTTTACTTTTCCGAATACCGCGAGTGCACAATGATTCATGTGACTAGAACTAACAAATCAGCTTTACACTTTGTATGGCATTTACATTGTTCAGTAATATCGGTACACTAATTACCTCGAAACAACACCGAGCACCCAAATACTGCAGTCCGGTTTTATTTTCTCCAGAAGCAAAACTTGTAAACTAAAGCAATGGTTTGTCCTCCTTCTAAAAAAAAGGTTGATGGTCACCAAGTTACCACACACACCAGGGGAGCGCAAGCGCATTGAATCGCACTTTTCATCTGCTTTTAGACATGATATGTGAATGCATTCGACTTAGGTTTCGTCATAGAGGAGATTGTAAATAAAAAGGATGTGTAAGATCACCAGAGTGGCTTTTTGGTTTCTTATCTTGTGCATCAGACCACTAGCTCCCCATCTGAAAGAATTTTTAGCATCGAAATAATGTAGTCACACATGTACTGTTGCAATAAGTATTTAAATAACGGAGATTGGTTTCTTTACTAGTAAGCTCAGATTTGATTTTCATAATTTGTTTTGTTAACAGAGTTTGAGATTTACTGTATCATTATTATTGACCTCTCACAGAAGCTGATGCTCTTTAAAGTTTGCTTTGATTGTTCAGCGTTTACACCTAACCATTGCACTTTGTAACATTTTATTCATCAAGTTTGGGAGTCTTTAACAATTATGTTTATTTTCTTAAAAAAACATGACAAGATTTTTTTTGTTAATATTTTTAACATTTAGTGGTAAAAATAAAAAAGTATCAAATTATACTGCACTTTATTTCTAAATGAATTGTTAAAAAATATTCAAGAATTTGATACTGATTGATATGAAAGATTATATGATTTTTTTTTAACACCTAGCATAGATATAGGTATAAATAGATGATTAGAAACCATCACAGCATTAGTATTAAAGCATTCTATAACCCTACCATTCAAATGTTTAGGGTCAGAAACCAAAAAGTATGCATTCATTCAATGTCAAACTGATTCTCAAACTGAACTAAACTTACTATTGTTGTCTTTCATGAAGGTCCATAGATCTCTTTCCTCTGTGCTGTGTGCAAATGTGCAGTTTCCAATGTACTGACACTTTTTTCCAGCCGAAACATGCATGCAAATCTTTAAAAAAAAGAAACTAATTATAAGAGTGCCAGTGACAGTATTCACAAAGCATCAATTTCTGGTCATCCTAAAAAAAATATGACTGTGTTTAGCCTGAAATAAAGAAAATCACACTTACGTCAAATTGAGCAGGAACAGGTTTTTTGGATGGGAGAGCTCGAACTGTTGTCCACTTTTTCCTTTCAACAGAGCTAACCAGAACCACTCGTCTGTCTTTAGACCAGCTGGTGAACGAAAAAAGGTATAGCTGGATGCATTTTATATACTTAAAAAAACAACACAAGGTAGAGATGCTGAAAAAGCTCGACTTAAAACAAATGAATGCTGATGAAGTTCTATAATCTAACCTAACCTAATCTAGTATAATATAATGTAATATAATATAATATATGTATTTTGGGGGGATTATTTGTTTTATACAGATACTAAATCATCTGAGTCTGTCTTTGTGCTGGTACCTTGGCTGATTTAGGCCTGTCATAATAAATATGACACTAAACAAACAGCAGGTGGTGGCAACTGCCATTTTTTTCAGACATCTGTCCATTAGATTAATTTGGAAACAATGTAACATTTGGTTTCATGAATGAATCAACAATGTAACTGACTAACAATTTATTTAAAATAATGATAATAATAATAATAATGATGATGATGATGATGATGATTCACAGAGCTACAAAACAATGCAGAACAAATGTTCAGTTCTGGCTTTGATGCAACAGAATAGAGTAAACATTGTGTCTAAAAGGTTAAATTAACTTCCGGTTTGTTTAACTATTTATCCACATTTAAAATGCGTCTGCTTTTATTACTTGAATTATAGAGTCATTCTACATATTTGTGTAAAATTAAACTTGAGTTTTATTTATTTAGGTGTGTGTTACAAAGTAAGTGCACACAGTAAATACAAAAAAAAAAAAAAATTGTAATCTATTAAGGATAAACATCAATTAAAATACACTAGTATTAAAAGCAGTAGAAATATATGAATAAAATTGGTTTTCAAATTAGTTTAAGTAAAATTTAAACAAATGGAAAGTAGACAACAATAGATGGAAAATAAAATAGGTAAATAATGGTGTGAATAAACAAATAAATGGATAATATACAATAAATGAATGTATACATATGAATAAATATACATATTTTTAACATAATACTAATTTAGACATATTTATAATGCATCTTTACTAAGGATGCACAATATATTGACGACCATATTGTTATTGTCCAATAAATGCTATCGTCACAAGTCCAATATCAAAATCTTTAAGCCGATAGATTACATAATTGTTTAGAACTGCCTGCCTCTAGCAAGCATGGGTTGAATTTGTTCAACCCATATAATAACAGAAATCTATAACAGAGCTTTCTTCACATCATTTATTTCTTCAAAGTCCGTCCTTTCTTTGTGTGGTATTGTTTGTGTCATTAATAACTCAGTAAGTAACCATATTCCATATCATTGTTGATATGTTTGCTAGAGTTTCATTGTGTATTTTGATTTAAATCGCCTCAGGAAAAAATATTACATGCGTAAACATAATAGCAGCAATGCACACGTGCTAAACAACAAGTTGAGTTGATTGTAATCTAATATGATTATTTGTTATCATCAACGCGTTGCTTGCCATGTGTTGTTGGCATAAGATTGTATTCAGTTTGATCGGCATATCCATATTGATTATAATGAGTGCACGTGATTTGTCACACCAAAAATCCATATCAATGCATCCCTAATCTTCACTGTTTATACTGGATTTTATACAATAAATGATTTAATGTCTTTCGCATTTTAGGATTGGTCATGTGGCATCTAAAAGAAAGAGGTTAATTACAGCAATTAAAGGTAATTTAGCCTTTATTTTACAATTCTATATATAACCTACTGAAAAACAAAAAGAAGAAAATAATGTCCATTATTTCACTAGAACTTGAATGCATGTGAGGATTCACCTTCAGTTCACTCTCATTAGACAGAAAGCAGTAGTAGATTAAACATTTCTCCTTTTGAATTCCAAGAAAGAAAGTCATGTGGGTTTGATACAAAATTAGAGTAAATGATACAGCCTCTATTTTGGGATGAATATATGAGCTGGACTTACGGATGTCTGGCCTTGGCACTGCAGTACTTCTTGTTTTTGTCCGGCTCGCTGACTTGACCGTTCCTCCAACACTGAGCACATACAAACTGCATCTTCAGATTGACTGGGCCAAACCTGCGCATGGTAGGTGCAAACTCCTGTGGGATCCACACAAGAAAACACATAAGAAATCTCTTGGAAACAGGGCCGCATTTACTCTAAAATGATCAACAAATCTTAATCCGGTGTCTTAACATGTAGAGTTATGTCAACCAGCTTACATCACACATTTTAAGAGTGATTTGTATCGGCTGATCTATGTATATTGACTGGATTGCTCATCAATCCTAAACTGGTGAGAGAGCTCGAATCACCATCTTACCATTTCCTACAGACAGAGGGCTCAAATGGCAGCTCCATTTTTAAAAACAATGACCCACTGTGCCACCAAAAATTGTGGCAAGATGTTCCCTAAAAGATATGACAAATCTAATCGCTGGTTAAATTCAAGTGGTTTTAGGCCCTGTCCACCCGAACACGGGTATTTCCAAAATCAGTTTTTCTTTCTGAAACTTTCTGAAAACTCTGGTAAAGGTGAAAATTTTTACAAAACTGCAGGTACAATGTGGTCGTGTGGACACTACAATCTTGCCTCAAGATGTCAGTGTGCACGCTGCTTTCCTTTCTGACGGCTGGGTTTACACCATACACAGATGATGTGATTGAGGCAAATTTTGCACATTTGTGGCAAACCAAACGCGTCATATATTCTGCATCGTTTACATCATGTGATGGTAATCCGCCTCTGTTCACATGTTTGCATTGACTTGTATGTAAAGTGCCCGCCCAAATGCTTGATTCCGCATTTGGTGTGAACCCAGCAAACAAGGTTTTTATCTGAGCTTGTTTGTTTGATGCGCGTTTAACATGCATTTTTATGTGGAAAAAGACTGGGGGGGAGAAAAAAAAAAAAAAAAAAAACTAATGCAAGGAAAAAAAAAATACCCGTGTACATGTGGCAATAGATTGTGGGTAAATTCAGGGCTGCACATTGTATTATTTCAGCATTGATATCACATTCATTCCTTCGCAATAATCACATCGCAGGATCTGTAATGTTGAGTCATTTTGATGCATTTGGAAGCTTGTGACTCTATGTGGATTTTAAAGGCATTCAGGCCTAAGAAACTGTACAGTTTGTAACTTTAATAATGATTCGTGGCATTATTAATGCATTGAAGACTTTGCAATATGTTACATTGGACTATTCTCAAAACTTCTCGAAAAAGCATAAAACACAGTTCATTTCCTTTGCATCTTTTACTTTAATGGCATTCCTATAAGCTTGTAGATTGTTTATTATATTTTATGCATGATTTGCTCCACTACAGAATCCACCCCAATCCATCTAAAATGAATCTCTATTTAAATGTCTATTTAGAAAGAAATTCTCAATTCATCTGGTGTAATAACGCTCATATAGGAATATAAAAAAAACGCAGAAAAACAAAATAACTCTGTGTTCGATTTTTCCAATATTGTGCAGCCCTAGTTAAATTAGTATTTGTTTTTATACAAGATAAGTGCTGCCCAATTTACAATACAATTCTTTAAAATTAAGAGGTATAATAGTGTAAATAACCATATGCAAAGACTTTTGAAAGAGCACAATAAATTGTTATTGTTCACTTGCATTTTAATGTTAATTGGTGTGCTGTAACTGCAGATAGTAAGCAAGGCTTGCTTTTTCATTCATTTTTATGTAGATCATAAACTAAAATAATGCATTACAGCTACCTGCTGGTAGACAAGATCAGAGACATCCTATTTACATTTATTTTAAAATTTCATTTTTGTTTGAACTAAGCCTTTAAACCATGAAATATAAATGTGACCATTTAGCCAACATTCTCTTATTAAAAATCATACAATGTCCTATCAAAGCAATAGAACGTCATTACATCAGTAATGATCACAGTTGGATAGACTAATATGGTGGTGCAGTGACTTTGCTTTAAGACATTATCAATTCTCTAAAATAAATCTGATGTCTGGATGCAGGTTACATATTCAGCAAAACAACTCAAGGTAGAGATATTGCAAAAACCTGACCTAAAACAAATGAAAAAAAGATTAATTTTCAAGGGATGCTGATCAAGTTCTACACACTTTTGCTTTCTGCACCATCTTAAAGATTTAAAGATAAATACTTTAGCTTGACTTTATCCATAACCAGGTCTAGAAAATATGATCATATAACCCCAATTTTATCCTCCCTACACTGGCTGCCTGTTAAGTTTCGTATTGAATTTAAAATATTACTTCTCACCTATAAAGCTCTAAATAGCTCCTGTTTATCTAACCAACCTTCTGTCTCGCTACAAACCAACTCGCTCTTTAAGATCTCAAAATTCAGGGCTTCTGGTAGTACCTAAAATAGCAAAATCAAGTAAAGGAGGTCGAGCCTTCTCTTTCATGGCTCCTACACTCTGGAATAGCCTTCCTGATAACGTCCAAGGCTCAGACACACTCTCCCAGTTCAAAACTAGATTAAAGACCTATCTGTTTAGTAAAGCATACACTCAATGCATCACCTAGCGGGTTCCACACTGGCTTCTGCATCTTGCTTAAATACACTATGAACAGCAGCTACGCTAATTATTCTCTTTATTCTCTATTTTCACCTGGGGATACTCATCCCGAGGTCCTCAGATTATGCGGAGTCACTGATTGGATCCAAGACCAGCGACGTGATGATCCCAAGGATTCCATATCCGGGACCAGGCCATATCCTGAGCTGCTGCTGCGCTGATGGTCGTGGGGAGTGGAGAACATGAGTCTGATTCCACCGACGATCCAGGGACAGACGAGTCTTTGCTGAGGCCATCTTCCAGCCTAAACCACGACGAATGAAGCTCTGCACAAGACTTTTGGCCAGCGGAGAAATTAAAATGGTCGTGCCCAACTGAGTCTGGTTCTCTCAAGGTTTTTTTTCTTCACTCCTATCAGGTGAAGTTTTTTTTTCCTCTCCGCTGTCGCCACTGCCTCGCATGGTTCAGGATTGGTAGAGCTACGCATCGATGAATTGGCTCTTCAGTGTTTGAACTCTCAGTAATGATTAAATCACACTGAACTGAGCTGAACTGAACTGAACTTAAACACTAAAACCTGAACCACACTGTTCCAGTTACTATGACCATTTATGTGAAGCTGCTTTGACACAATCTACATTGTAAAAGCGCTATACAAATAAAGCTGAATTGAATTGAATAACTGGGCATCTCGCAACTACTTTGAATTGTTTTGCACTACTTTGGTTAAACCACAAGCTTGGCAAAAAATAAATAAAAAAAATAAAAGTAATTTACTCTCTTCACTTGATCAAAATAAAAGATATGTTGAAGAAACCCATAACCACTACCTTACATAGTATTTGTTTCTCCTTCTATGGAAGTCAATAGTTAACCATTTCAGCTTTCTTCAAAATATCTTCTTTTTTGTGTTTAGCAGAATAAAGAAACTCATAAATATTTGAAACTGCTTGAGGGTGAATAAATAGTAGAAATAGACATGCATGGTTGAACTCTCCCTTTAGACCATGTAAAGTAAATGTTTGTAAAGCAGTAAGTATACTAATGGAACCTCACCTGTGAATAAACAGCAGCATTCATATTCCAATATCTCTGCGACTCCAGAACAATACCTTCATGTGAAATGCCTGAAACAGACCACAACATCAGTGAGTGCGTCAGCCTTCATCGCTCCAGATGCTTCCAGATAATCTGTTCGATTGCTCACCTTGTTCACTCTTCATCATCCACACTTTGAGCTCAATGAGGCTGTGGGCATAAAAGCAGGAATCCTCTCGCTGACAACCGTATCGCACCTCATGCCGACACAGATCCATCTGGCAAAAAGGGTTGTATGGACGAATTTTGGAATACCTGACCGTTTTATCCCTTATATAGTGTACAAGGCACCTGGAGGAAGAGGAAAAAAAGTTTTAAATTTATATTACTAAAAAAAAAGACCTCAACAAGAACTGTACAACATATTAGACTAAAAAAATCCAATTGAAATATATTGCATATATTTGCTGTGAAATTCTTTAAAATACAAATATTTCAATGCTAAAAACAAAATACATTTGATTAAAGTAAATGTATACAAATTTTGTTTAAAGTGCAGAAGAGATTTGTTGTACTATAACATTAATATTACCATTCTTATTGTTGATATAAGTATAATAATAAGACATCTAAATGCAAAAACTGCAGACATGGCTGTTATATTAAGCACAAAAAAAAAAAAAAGTTTGAGAGGACATAATAGGCCTGCACAATTAATCGATTTTAAACTGAACTTACGTTTGAAAAAGTGAGATTTTCAAAACTGCAAAAGCTGCGATTATTTAGAGTGTTACTATGGCGAAAAAATTTCTTTGAGCAGGCAAAATTAAATTTACAGTTTATATATCTGACTGCTTATACTGAAGGACAAAATTGTATAACAAATAATATATGAATATGTAAAAAAAAAAAATAATAATAATAATAAAGTACCAATGTAAATATTTTAAAGGTTTTATTTATCTATATAGAAGACTTTATATATCATTTATTTGACTAATTTAAAATACTGTTGTTTTTGTTGTGTATACCGTTTTATTGTTATTTTCTTAATTTGTTATGACAACTGTCAACTTAATTGGAAAAAACGGTTTTAAATAAACAAGCATGGTTTAGCGTACTTCGTGATTCTGCTTGGTCTTTCTTCGGTGCTATTAAAACCAGCACAAACCTGCAGCTCTTTTATGAAATTATAGTAAATCACATTTTAAATAGCAAATTGCAATTTTAATCAGATTATAATCTTGCATTTTTTTCAGAAAACAAACAAAATTTTACAAAACTACATTTTAATCGGACATAAAAATAGTAAATCCAGAAAAATATATATAAATATTTTTTTTTCTATAGCTGTATTAACATTATCAATGTAATGGACTGTAAATCAGTGCTGATTTGCTGGAAATGCAGTTTAATATTGAGGTTTAAAATAGGTGCACCATTAAAACACCTTCGCCATGCAAACACTCTCAACCAAGATGCGGTTGTGAAACTGGCCTACTGACGCAGTTCAGAAAACTTCACAGTCTAATTAAAACAATGCTGATTCATTTTTACCAACCAAATATATTTGAACTTAGAAACAGCCATGACTTGGCCTCATTTAATCCCCACTACCAGAAAAAAAAAACAATCAAGTCAGACTAACTGCATGGCATTTAGAGTCTGGACAAGTCTCCACAAGAAGAGATGCTTACTTCTTTTCCTCAAACGCATGCTTTGTCACTGGGTGAGAGCATAGGCTGGGGTTGTCCTTATTGGTTTTGCTGATTATTCTAGGCTTGTGATCAAAGCACACCTACAGAGAGGTCACACATGTTAGGTATTTGTACAAGTTTAAACCGATGCAAATTTCAGCAATGACGGAAAAACAAACAGTGAAACTGAAAATCCCGTCCATTCAAAACCAGTCAATCCGGTTCAATGATGAAATGACAGGGAGTGTTTAAAAAAAACTGAAAAGGATTGAACTCATTATCAACATGACTCATTTAGGCTGGTTGACACTGGATTAGTAAGTAATTCAATCTATATTAAGCAACGCATTCAAAACAGCCATTACCTCACAGAGGAACAGAAATATCCCATGATGCTCCTGTAGGATTTTGGCCACAGTCAAATTAATCTTAGGTCTAGATCCATAAGGATCGCACAGACTGTCCCGGCAGATGAAGCCTTTGCGCTCAAGCATCCACACATCAATTTCCTCTTGGCAATAAGCAAAGGTACAGTGGCCAAGATACCGGCATTCCTGTCCTATCGCCACATCTATAAGAGCAATAATTGAAGAGTTTTAGCAACTAGTAAAGCAGCAGAAACAAACCCCGGAAAGATCACACCCTGATTACCTTTGCAAATATAATAAGGCCCCATGTACTGGTTTTTAGGTCTAGGCCGAATAAGTTTCCACGTCTGAAGTTCCACATGTTTGGTTCTTCCCAAAAGCAAATCTTTTTTGCATTTGTGGTCCTCTGGAAGGTAAGCGTAATCCAGCACACCCGGGCCTGTGAACACAGTCATAAAAGAAACCTCATTGTTTGCATCTTTTAAAAAGGTCATGCGCTGCATTGGCTGCTTAGCAACTATCCTGCATGACTGATGCTCACCGGTTTTAATGTAGCATGAAGAACAGGCTTGTTTAAAATCATGGGTATCAGCAAGTGGGTTCTTAGCGAGGTCTAGCTGCGGTGGATATTCCTGGGCGTACGTCCCATCAGATGTGCAGTAACCCATGCCGATGGGTGGAATGGTTGGCACTGACATGTCGCTATTGCTCATCTGAAAAAGCAAATAACTGAGATTAAGCAAAGAGATGAAAGAGATTTTATGAATAACCATAAAACAATATTGAAATAAATTAAATCTTACCGATAGAAAATGATGCTGGCTAAAAGCTTTATCTGGTCCATAATGATCAAATAAACAAAAAACAGAAAAGGAAATTCAGAAATTATGAAGGAAACTAAAAACAAAAACAAAAGTCACTGACAAAAGGGTTCAAAATTAACACTTTTGTGATGTGAAGACGCCAAATTGAGGTAAATTTTAGATTAGGTTCAATTCAACTGCACTTTACAAAGACTGCCAATTATAAAACATGATTAGTTTGACGAAGTGGCTTAATGACTCATGCCAGTTATCACAATTTCTCAAGGAGTGGCACTCAATAAATCTATTGTGAAAGTGTGCTGCAGTGATGATGCATTTTATAGGACTATAAACATATGCATCACCTCGGGTCTCTCAAACACAGACACACAATATGAGATTTCCATATCCTTTTGGATTTTAGCAGAAAATAAAGCTCTGTAATGTTTATAAAATATAAAATGATATGCACTGCAGTAGTGTTTTAATCAATGCAGGCCTAGAACTTCTTTAGTCTATGCCATTTGAATTGATTCATAGGGTGTACTCACACTAAGTAGTTGCCTTGAACTGGGCCAAAGCACACTTGCCCCCCCTCCAGTCTCACCCGACAGCCCGCACTCACATTACATTTAGGCCTGGGCACGCTTACGTCATCGATGATGCGTTGTTCAGTAAGCGCTCTCGCTCAGCACAGTGGAGATTTCTTATAGTTATATCGTTTAAGTCGCTTGATATGCAGTGACACACAGTCAAATATTACGTCGAACAGATCAGCCGCTTTTGACGTTCATAAACAATCATAAAGTCCTCGTGCTGCAGGAATTAGAAGGTTTGCTGAAGGTGCAGCTGTGGTGCAGTGAGGGGTTTGCGTCTTTAATAATTTACGACAGTTTGCATTCATTAAACAGTAAGAATGATTAATAAATCCGTATCAAACAGTCCCTTAAAAGTAACATCTCGCTTCAAGTTTCAGGCTTAGGCACGTTTTGCTCTCACACACAAGCGTACCACACTCAAGCACACCTCTTCCTACCGGGCCAGGGCCAGCCAAGTGAACCGTGCCTGGGCCCGATTCATAGCACTCACACTTCTCAAACGAGCTGGGAAACAGGCCTGGGAACGGTTCGGATAGCATAGTGTGAGTAGGCCCATAGATAAAACTCAACAAGACTAGTTTGCTTTTGACACTTTCCATTAAAAGTCTCATATTTCAAGTTGTCCATTTTAATTAGGAAGTTTAAGTCATTTTGTGGACTCTGATGCTGTACAGAAACCACAGATCAAATGACAGCATAGCAAGTGGACAAGATTATTCCTTCCTCTTCGCTACTAGTAAATATGAATAAACATTTCTCTCAAGTTTGTGAAATTGCTCAGCGTTTCAAATGGTGGAAGATATCAGTTAAATATCTTGCAAGCAATGTAATGTAGAAGTGCATTTGCATTCAGTGTCCATGGTCTGCAAGAGAAATTAGCTGAAGACAAGTGTTTCACTAAACACTTGCACTATATAAGCTAAGAAATCCATTGTATCTTACTTGGATTTTAACCTGTTGGTAATATGCTGAATATAAATAATTGCATCTTGAAAACTAATTACAAAAGTCACTGTGAACATTACAGCCAAAAAAAAAAAAAAAAAAAAACAACAACAGTAAAAACAACTTTAGAGTTTTAGACACTAATTATAAAAGCATTTTGAACTTCAGACATTAATGTAAATGTTTTTTTTTCTCATATGAAACTGCAAGTTCAAAACCTTTTCCTGCATATTTTCTTCAATATAATTTAGCCAAATTAACTAGGTGTATATATTCTGAAGTGAAAAGCATTTGACATACTCTAAACGACAACAAATTTCAGAGTTTGCAGTGGAATAGTGTCAAACTACACAATTTCAAACACAATGAGGCTGTAAAAGTGAACTGAGTTCAAGTGACTAGTTGATGTCATTGACAACTTCTGTATTTCCAATGCTATTTGTAATTACAAGACATGCAAAAGATTTAATCCTATGACAAGAGAGAAAATGCTGATGTATTTTAAGTCATTAAATAAACAGTGAAAATATTCTGAGCTTGTGATCACCACAGACCTTATTTTTAGCAAGAAGCCTTTATATTTTTAGCAAAATAATGTCTATTGACTTCTGGACATCGGAACAAGACGTGCTAAAACGCTAACTCATTCCTAAATTATGCTATTTAACACATTATAACTGCTGCAATAAACATGTCAAATTCAGTTATCCATTGGCCATCTAGGAATGGTGTTAAAAAATAAATTAAATCATCTTGTGCATCATCAGGACATACGAACAGCTTAAATTTAAACTCTCAGAAAATTTAATTGTGTTTATCTTTCACAACTGAGAATGGGCTTTAAATATGCATCAACTCAACATGACTTTTCAAAACTCTAACTTTTTAATGTCATGATAGCCAGGCCATTGTTGTGGTGTATTAAGTTACATTTCATGGTTTCCGCTACATTCATTCCTCCATGGCGGGGCACCACACCAAAATTCATCCTGCCACGGCCACATTACAACTTCTCATTCAAAACATTCAGTAGTAGTTGTTTTTTAATAGCGGGTTATAATCGCACCAAAACATATTATAAGGTAAGTGAATTTTCTGTAATCGTAGTAGTGCTGTGCATTATGTTTAACCCTTTAAGGTGACATGCTGACAGTCTGACAAGTGCATGAAGCTAGCAAACACAATGTAACTTACAGTTAAGATGAACAAAGTTTCTAAAATTGTACTTTATTTATAGATAAAGGTTATGGCTCTGCATATAATGGTTTTATCTTGATGGAGTTTATGGCTGTTTCACTTTACTTCAGGATGCATTAATGCCGCTCTGTAGGTCTACTGGAGACATTCATAAATATTCCTAGCAAATCTAATAAATGTTGGAGACATACTTGTTACATAAACGCATAAGTCACACTTTAGCATTGTTTATTTGAGAGCGCACAAGAAAATCTGCACTTGAGCAGTTTGAGGGTATGCAAGACGTTTTGTGCACAAACTGAGGAAGTCGGTGCACAAGCAGAGAGATTTGCATGCTTGTATTACATAAATGCGATCTCTACTAGTAAAACTGCGCTCACAACATCCGTCATTGAAATAACGCCACAGGTAGTTGGTAGATCTGTGTAAAAGGCCTGCTGCCACCGCTGTAAAAAATCCTAGAGGAAAAAATGCATTTATTACATTATTACATATATAATTACATGCGAGTCTATTACTGGTGTAAATCTATGATTGTAGATGCAGTGTACATGCTCTTGAGCATCCTCAGAACATTCCAATGGTGTGGATGTCTTATGTGCATCAGCTCGAAGAAAAAGCCATGAACATTCTATATAGGTAGTTGACATAAAAGAAATGCTTTTAAGTGAATCCAATGTTGAATTTAAAAATTTTAAAAACATTTATGTAGATTGACGCCTGATGTTTGGCAAGAAAAATATAAGGGGTCATTAGCTTAATCAGTTGTACACTGACAATTCTGGTGTGAGACAGTCAAATAGAAAAATATGTATAAATACAATAATATAGAAATAGTGTGAGGTCGATTTATCTTCACTGCTGGACACTTATCTTAATATAGTGCCATTTATTTCATATAAAATTATGAACAATGTGTTTTTGTTCTCCGGGACTTGGACTTATTGAACATTTGCAAAAAGAGGTGTCACACCAAAGGTCAACAAAATGTAATGTTTTAGTGGTTTCAACAAGCCCTTCTTCAGTCACATGATCTTGATTGGAATTAGAGGTCTGCATTCCCGTGGCTGTCCCGCGGGCGCCGCAGGACCCGACCAGATTTCTACGGCGCGGGTATAAATTTCTGAATAAATCACGGGAGCAGTCGGTAACGGGTTTAATTTGGGACGGGAGCGGGCTGTCTAGCAATATCGCTCCCGACTCCCGAGTGAGCACGCGTATGTATGTGTGTGTGTAAATGAAATAGCGCGATGCTGTGTTTAGCTTGTTTGTTGCAGTGTATGTATATGTATGTATGTATGCATGTATGCGCACGCGCGAATGAGAGGTGTGTGTGTGTGTGTGTGTGTGTGTGTGTGTGTGTGTGTGTGTGTGTGTGTGTGTGTGTTAGTGGGCGAAAGAGAGAAAGCTTTGTCTGTGTGTGTGTGTGCTTGGTGCTGTGCGTGTTTATATAGACAGCTTGTTATAGGCTGTCTGGACTGTATAACTGGGTGATTTTCGGTTTTGTTCTCCCCCCGCTCTTTAGCGGGATCAGGCGCGGCGGATAGAAAACGGGGCGGGTAGGGCAGCGGGACAACAAGTGCTTAATATAAGCGGGAGCGGTCGGGTTCGGGCTAAAACCTGGCGGGTGCGGGCGGGATTCAAAATTTAGTCCCGCGCAGATCTCTAATTGGAATGCTCTGAAAGTGGAAATCAGTGTAAATGCCAGCTTTTACATTAGCATATAGTGTCACTCAAGAGGACATGGTGACAAAATATATCAAATTCATGTTTTTAGAAATAATACAATAATAATTGCATTTCAATAAATAGCCACTTGAAAATTTGTTTCAAGGTATTTATTAATAATTTTACAACTTCCTTTTTAATTAACTGCAGTTGTAATATTGAATGATTTCTCTCCTGCATTTGCCTGTGAGTGCAAGCCATTAATTTTGAACCCCTTTTTTCTTTGTTACAAGACAGTAAAAAAAAAAAGAAACACACCTGTCTGAGTCTCTGAGAGTGACAAACTATCCAACGAATCCAGTGGTGAAGAAAATGTGTCCAGACCAAGAGAATACGATGAAATTGGTTTGTGATACGGTGCAGGTAAATTTACTGTGCAGTGCGAATCCATGCCCAAAAATGGATGGCTCAGATGAGAAGGCATGAGCAAAGGACTCTGTATTGAACTACTGACAGAAATACTGGTAGGTAAAGGAATAGGTCCGTCAACTGTGGGAATATCCTGAGTGGAGAAAACAAATTGTAAATAAGCATGATGTATATACAATCCATGCAGTTTTAAATATGCACTTATAGCTTACCAAATTAGCCTCAGGAGGACTTGCTCGGTCCAATAGTTCATCCAGATCATCCCCAATAATATCGGTATCAAAGTCCAAGTGAGTATTTTGTACTGCATAAGAGTCATTGGGCCTGGTTCCATTGACCAATGGCATATGTAAAGGCATGGGAACAGGCTCTGGTTTATGTGTCTCTATTGGGATGACTGGTGGTGAAATGAGACCAACCAGAGGCTTGGACTCTACTTCTTCCTTCTCACTTACAGCTGAAGACACTGGCATGCTGACGGGTAGTGGGCCGCTCATACCATGAATATACTGGCCCACTTCTGTGGACACAAAGAGGCATTAATGAGCTAAACGCTTCAAGCAGCAAACTTATCAGGTACAATTTTGGTGTTCATAAGATCGTGGCTGCATTGATTTGATCAAAAGTACAGCAAAATAATATTTGAATTATAAAACCACATAAAAAAAAAATATTTATTTTCTATCTCTTATTACTTGAGTGAGACACAAATCATCAATAAATCAGGACAGCAAAATACAAGGTTTCAGCATAGACATTATGATGAGACTCTAGCAGAAAGTGTAGATTCATTTCAATGTTTAACCATAAGAGAGTGAAAGTTTTTTTTTTTGCATGGAAGACCCGTTACAGTGTAAACATTCCAATTAAGTATCTTAGAGCGTAAATACAGCTCAGTTGTATAATACTATATGACACAATATAATACGATATAATATAATATAAGCGACGCAGTGGCGCAGTAGGTAGTGCTGTCGCCTCACAGCAAGAAGATCGCTGGGTCGAGCCTTGCCTCAGTTGGTATTTCTGTGTGGAGTTTGCATGTTTTCTCTGCGTTCGCGTGGGTTTCCTCCGGGTGCTCCGGTTTCTCTCACAGTCCAAAGACATGCGGTACAGGTGAATTGGGTAGGCTAAATTGTCCGTAGTGTATAAGTGTGTGTGTAGATGTTTCCCAGAGATGGGTTGTGGCTGGAAGGGCATCCTCTGCGTAAAAACGTGCTGGATAAATTGCCGGTTCATTCTGCTTTGGCAACCCCGGATTAATAAAGGGACTAAGCCGACAAGAAAATGAATAATATAATATAATATAATATAATATAATCATGGTTTCCGCTACATTCATTCTGCCATGGCGGGGCGCCACACCAAAATTCATCCCGCCATGGCTACATTACAGCTTCTCATTCACAACATTCAGCCATTGTTGTTGTTTTTTTTTAACAGCGGGTAATAATCGCACCAAAACGCATTAAAAAGTAAGTGAATTATAACAGAGATAATGTAACCGTAGTAGTGCTGTGCGTTATTTGTTTAACCCTTTAAGGTGACGTGCTGACTGACTGACAGGTGCGTAATGCATGAGGCCAGCAAACACGACGTAGCTTTCAGTTAAGATGAACACAGTTTCCATATTTATACTTTATTTATAGATAAAGGTCTGTGGTTCTGCAAACAAAGACTTTATCTTGCGGGAGTTTATAGCCATTTCACTTTTACTTCAGGATGCATTAATGCCGCTCTGTAGGTCTATTGGAGAGATCCATAAATATTCCTAGCAAATCTTATAAATGTTGGAGACATACTACATAAATGCAGTAAATCGCACTTCAGCGGGGTTTATTTGAGAGCGCACAAGAAAATCTGCACTTGAGCAGCGTATATTTGAGGGCGTGCAAGAAGTTTTGTGCATGAGCAGATGAAATCGGCGCGCAAGCGAAGAGATTCGCATGCTCTTATTACATAAATGCGATCTCGAATTGTAATACTGCACTCACGACATTTCTCCATTTATCATCGGTAGTTGGTAAATTTGTGTAAAAGACGTGCCTCCATAGCTGGCAAAAATCCTAGAGGAAACACTGTATAATGGTTTCTGCAGGTTTCTTTAAGTCAAATTTAAGACTTTTTAAGACAATTACGAATGAAATTTTAGACTTATAAAGCTCTAAACACTGAGGTTTTTTTTTTCTTCCTATGGTATTTTGCTGTAAAAATGTCTAACAGCTGTTGTGAATTGTATCTCTTTGCAACAAAAACAAATATATTTAAAAAAAGAAGGATTAATGGTGATTGGGTGTTGGCCCAATTGGGTAGCTTTACTTTACATCGGAAAATTAAGACCTGTTTGAAATTATTTAAGTCCTTTGACACAATATTTAGGTAAATTTAAGACTTTAAGACCTCTCAGAAGCTCTGAATATAATATAATATAATATAATATAATATAATATAATAGCATACTCTGGGTTCATGCTTCACTGTACATAGAATAGATCTAGGCCTATATTTTTAATAAAATGTTTATTGTATTTCTTCTTTTTAATAGGTTATCACTTTCCTAATGCATTAATTTTCTAATGCATTCACTCTAAAAGGCTCCATAGTGAAGTACGGAGCTCTCAACCACTGCAAGACGTATCCATTATGCACATCAAGCATTTAATAAGGAATTGCTTTCATACTGTGGGTGAATGCCTGATTGCACATACACATTAAGATATTTAAAATATGGAGAAGTGAACAGGAAATGTTTGTGGAACAACAGTTTTGTGAGAAAATGCAAACTTTGTGAGAGCATGCAAAAACTGAAATAATTTTCCTTCTACTTCGTTTTTTTTTCCTCCCACCCATTTTTTCCCCACCACCACGTCCCCTATGGGCCTCCGTACATTAAGCCTTTTTTTGGCTTCTTCAGTGGCATGTTACCTACATAGCCAATGTGATTACGCAAAACAAAACTACAAATCATGGGTTCAGAGCCAAAAAAAAACACCAATGTGTACACAGTCCACTGGGGCAGGTGGAGGTGGGTCAATCCATTTAGGATGCAACCAGGCAAATGTGAAACCAAATATGAAGGCACCCTTTACTGCTCTCCAATGTTCATTTGAAAGCCTGTAATCTTCTCAGCCAAGTTTAAATACCATATTTTGGTGCAGTTTCCTCACAACACTTCCCATAACAATCCCATTTTCAGTCAGTAAGGATGAGTTAGTGCTTTTTTGCGACTGTCCAATCTAGGAATGCAGATATGACTTGTTTTGACAGATACTAATAGAGATTAACAAAAACTTCCAGCTGATTCTCATATTGACAGGATCCATTTAGCATTCAACTGTCCAATATTTTAAGAGGCACAAAATATATTCAGTATATTATTTTAGTATTATTATATATTTTAATAATGGTCACTTTAACTTGACTTAACATTATAAATTTATTCAACAAACTTAACATATAAACTAAGCCTTTGCAATATAAATTTTGTAGCTCCAGAAAATTATTGACTCACCAAAGTAAAAAGCAGTCAGTTTTTTCTAATGTCCAATACATTTCAGCTCAAACTAACTATTGGTTTTAAGCATAGTCAACAGCAGCTGCTTTCCCCATGCACATCTGACATTTTGTACTTATTACACTCAGGTCTGATAATTTGTGCAGTTTATATTTATATAAAATTTATATTGTATATTTTATATTATATTTTTTATATTATATTTATATTGTTATATTTAGTTTTTTGCAGGTATTTGATACATTGTGCTCTGAGAAAAATGCTGAACTGTTCAAAAGACGTGCAACTCATAAGTAGTAAATCATCAACATCTGCCTGTCTCATATTATTGCTGATATGCCAACAACTTTAATTTCATTAAAAAATTGGCCGATAAATATCAGCAGCCAATTCATTGGTGAGTCCCAGTTTCAAACACATTCAACTAGAGAAGCGCTAATTTCACAACATTCTTTTTTTAAGTTTTTTTTTTTTTACTTTTATTTGTTAGGACAGTGAATACATAGACATAGACAGGAATAAATGAAGAGAAATGTTCAACAAAGGACCTTGAGCTGGAAACAAAACCCGGGTGGCGTGAGCATATGTCGATGCAATTAACCACTAAGCTATTAATGCCTACTTTTTAAAACATTCTAAAGTCATTATAGTCACTTTTGATCAATTTAACAGACCCTGGCTAAATTAAAGCATTAATTTGTCTCAAAACACTTTTGCTAACCTAAAAAAAAATTTAAACAGAAGAATAAAAAAATACACATTCTTACCACATTCAATATCATCCACAGAGGAAGAGCTTTGTGAATGCTGTTAGGAAATAAAGAAACAGAAAGAATGTCAAAATGTATCATTTTGAACACGCATACAGAAACAAACACACACAGCCAGCAATTTACCTTATCATTAACAGCTCCTGATATACCTGACCCAGGCAAAACATTTAAGGCAGGCTGGGAAAAACAAACAAAAAACACAAGTGAACAGGTCAGATTTAAATAACTGCAGATTATGAGCTTTAAGCATGACATAATTATAAACGATTTATGACACAAATTAAATGCTCTCCTTCAAATTAGCTAGAGACAAAGCGCATCCTAGTTCATTTTAATCACACAGTTACTTTACCTTGCTTCTCACATAAGCCTTACGGATTTTTAATCCCAACATTTTGGCAAGCTCCTGGGTCAATTCAATCACACGAGTATCCTGCAAATGAGCAAAACAGAACATGAAAATGCAAAATGCACATTTTGTTGGGTAATGCAAAAAAAAAAAAAAAACTTGATTAAAGCCAAAAATGCTCTGACCTGAGGCACTGCCATTGAGCATTTAGCAACTGCCTCGTAAGCCTCCTGAAGTCTCCCTATTTCTTTTAGGCAACGAGCCTTGCGGTAAAGTGCTCTGTAGTTGCTCTCATTGAGCTGAAGAGCTTTTTCACAGTCCTCTAGAGCTTGATCGTGCAGCTCCTGCATAAATAATCACAAACACATTACAGTGCATTAATAAAACCAACCGAGACAATTAACACTGCAGCATAAGCAGCTGTCGAATACTGCATGATAATTGCACTTCTTGGGTTTTTATATTATTAACACTAACCTATTTAAAGAAATCGGACCAAAATATAGTTTAACAACAACATTGTGAAATAGAACTGCATAATGTATCATTTCTGCATCAATATCGCAATGTATGATGATTGTGCATTAAGGCTTTTTTTATACTTCTGCGTTAAGCACACGCGTATGGCCTTCACACGTGCAGCCTTCAGGTGGTTGCATAGTCCTCGCTGTGGCTAATGTTAACACTGACGCACAAAAAAATTTAACTACATGTCGCAATGACTGTGATTGGTCAGCTTGGTAGCGGTGACAAGTGTGTGGAGCAGAGAGCCGCGAGCCTGATGGAGCGATTGTTTACATTTCATTCCCGTGGAGGAGCTCCAGATCGAAACTTATTTTATAAATCAGCCTTTAGTCACACTGTTAGTGAAGATCTGCAATGTCATGTTGTGATTAACATAGCATGACCTAATCTAGCATGGTTTTAACAGAATTAAAGACTATAATTTTAAAGTGTTTAACACCTGTGACTAAGATTTCAAGCAATTTTAAACCATTTGGGCACAAGAAATTATAAAGTTTGCCACTTTAACAAAGATGAATTTTGTTTATCTATACAATGAAGTCTATATAGTGTAAATTTAGATTTAATTATTGCAATTTGAAACTCAATTAAGACTGTTAAGACTTTACAGTAGGCTTGGGCAGTAATACGGTAATATGGTATACCGTGGGATCTAAAAATAGCAACGGTGTCAATTTCAATACCGTTATACCGTAAAAAAACAATGCACTTAAATAGAAGACAAGTATTAAATAATAAATTTTATTTATTTAATGCCTACAAATGCGTATGCGTAATTGTCATCAAGGGACAGTGTGGAGGAGAGAGAGAGAGAGAGGGAGAGTGAGATGTAAGGTAAGAGAGAGGTAAGATGGTAAGATCACGCACCAAGAGACCTGCACTTTGACAGTATTTCTGGTTTCGACTGAACGAGAATGGAGATGTGGTAAATACGAACCACAGGTCTGCTTAATTTCCCAATAAAGCGCGGGAGCGGTCGGTAACTCTGGTGTAATTTGAAAGGGAGCGGGCGCGCGGGCTAACAATATCGCTCCTAAGCGAGCGAGCAAGTCCAACGTGGATGCGGATTATGTGTGTGTGTAAATGAAAGAGAGCATGATGCTATGTGTTGCTTGGTGCTGTCTCTGTGTGTGTGTGTGTGTGTGTGTGTGTGTGTGTGTGTGTGTGTGTGTGTGTGTGTGCGTGCGTGCGAATGATAGAGAGCATCCCGCACAGATCTCTAATACGAACAAGACAAACAGGTGACCGTGAACCTAAGGTAGCATATACAGTATTCAGTTTCTGAATGATAGCGGCACAAGCCAACAGTTTGGTGACACTGTTTGAGCTCTTCATCATAATTTTTTTTATTATGCATTGTAATACCGGATACCAAGGTAAAATAGGGAGGAGGTTTGACGATATCAAAATTTGGATACCGCCCAAGCCTACTCCACAGAAATGAAGTACTGTTTATTGAATTGCGATCTTTGTTGTAATTAGGGCTGGACAAAAATGTATAATTACAATATATTTCTTAATTTCGATTGATACGATATAATTCCGTTATCGATATAGACAATATTAAAAACACAGGAAAAAACTGCCAAGAACGCACATAATAGATATCTGTACCTAAAAATCTCTGCAAACTCAATATGTAAAGTCAATAATACCTCCAGGCTCTTATAACATTTTGTTTTTAAAATAAAAACAATACTAAAAATTTATGTTCACTTTTTACTTGTATTTAGCCTTTACAAACAAGAAATGTGAAATAAACTGTCAAAAAACTAAAACCCTCAGGCTCGGCTTATTTATTTATATAAATAATGTATAGATAGTTCAAGGAGGTTAGCTTGACTAACGTGAACAGAAACTTTTAACAGCGTTTTTTTTTTTTTGTATATGCTAAATATTTAACAATTAAAAATATATAAATATCTTACACTTATAACAAAAACATAGAAAAAGAATAATTATAATAATAAAAAAATCAAAAAGAGTATAGGCTACATTAATATTTGCAATAGAAAAAGAGTTGTTTGAGTACATTCAGTTCTTGTTGCTTTTCATCTTAAACATCCTTTAAGGGTTCTATCTGTTTATTTATATTTGTGTATGTAATTACCCAAGTAAATTAAAAGGTTTAACATAAAATAGTTCTTATATATATATATATATATATATATATATTTTTTTTTAGTCTATTTATATCGACTAATATTTTATATTATTTTATATAACACATTTTCATTATTAAACAGATTGAATACCTCTGTTAATCACACTCTTTCGGTTTCATCAGCTTTGCAATAACCAGATTACTGATTAAATGTTTGTGAATTTTATTTGGTAAGTTTGCGTGAGTGCTATATGCCAGTGCTATATGCCAGCCATGCAGCATGTTTCAGTGTGCGTGAGTGTTAATTTGGGTGTTTATGCGAGGATTGAGTTATGTATGCGCGTGTTAATGTGCATGTGTATGTGGATGTACGCAATATGCATGCATCAAATTTATATGTAACATATATGCGCAAGTTTCATACGTTTTGAACATTCAATAGTATAGGTTTATATGAAAGGAATTTATAGGTGTATATGCACAAAGTTTAACGAAGCGAAGTTTAATTTAAATCCAACACGGCGCCTCTAGCCATCTTTTTGCCACATAGCCTTCTCTTCTGACACCGCTGACTTCTATGTCAGGAAGGTGGATGGTGGTGAGGCGACAGGATGGGAAACGTTTATGATGCCTCATCTTCTGTCATTGCTTCTGACTCTAGGTATGTTCAATAGGGTGGAACAGATTTGATGTGTCCTCGATGCTAGTCGGCATCTCTCTCCCGCACATTTAGCAGAGCACCGAAACTATGAGTTTATCGGAACTTAGAAAGCCGAACCATTTCCACACCACTCCATTAGTCTTTCTTCTCTCATCAACTAATTCGTCTGCATTTTTTCTTGTGGAAGCATGTTCATTTACATCTGTATTCAGGGCACACTTTGGGGCAAACTTTCAGCGACGGAGCTAACCAACTGCTGTGCTCAGTGTGCTGAGCGCAGGCAGCGTGTCTGTGATGTCACTTGCGTGATGACATCCATCACGCTCTTTCTGACGGCTGAGCACTGACCGTCACTCAGTGACAAATGATACAACGTATAAGATCTTATAAATATAATAATATAAATATAATAATTCATATATAAAATGAAAATGTAATATATATATATATATATATATATATATATATATATATATATATATATATATATATATATATATATAATGAAAATGTATATCAAAATACCGGAAATGAGTTTAAAACTCATTTCACAGTTATCAAAAAAAAACTATATTGCGATATATATTGATATCTGAATTATTGTCCAACCCTAGTTGTAATGTTTTCATCTGTGCATTATTACTGTGTATATATTTTTTTTGTAATTTTGCATATTTTATGCAGATGTACTCAAGAATTCATGAACCGATTCTGATTTCGCATAAAGACAAAATATCCCAATGTCAGTTTTTTCTCCAATACTGTGCAGTTCTATTGTGAAAGATCTGAATTTTGTGAAAGATCTGATCCAGCTGAAATTTACACAACCTTTCAGCAATCATTTTAAAATGATGAACTGATGGCAAAGAAACACTTATTATTAATGCTGAAAACAGCCCTGCTTCAATCTGCGGAAACATTTGTTGAATTGAATGCATCCTCAAAGAATGTTTATTCTTACAATGTTCAAGTAGGAAGCGGCACGGTTCGCATGAAGCTTCTCATTCAGATCTTGAGCGATGAGGATGTCCTCTGAGTCTGCATACTCGGATATGTTTAAGGCCTCTGTGTATAAATTAACAGCTCGTGCCCATTCGCCTTCATGGAACACGTCGTTTCCCTCACCAAACAGATTTCTCACTAAATTCTGAATGAACACCTAGAGGACAAAGAGATGCATAATATAAACACAGAATTCTCAACTAAAATCAGTGCTGGATTGACCGAGAGTGAGGAGTGTTTACCTCATACTGCTCCTGCGAGCCAGGAAAAGGCAGGGTTGATCTGCAATTAGAGGAAAGATTAAAGAAAAAAATGAAACACGGCTGCAAAGAACATGAATAATGACATATTTAAAACATATCACTGATTATTAATGGGGTTTGGTAACAAAGTCGTAGATAATTTGCATTCCAGAAAGTGTTTTGAACTGCAACCAAATTCTTTTCTTTCATACCAGAAGTAAAACATCAGTGGATGATGTCAGCCATTTCTCATAGCTTTCCTCTATTGCACAAACTGAAGTTAAACAAGCTCCATTCACAGGTTGAAATACTGATAACACTTACTGAATGAACTGCAGTCCTTTCTGAATGTCCTGCCACCGGCTGCTTCGGTCCTGGCCTGTGGCTGACATCTTCCCATGCGAGCGTGTAGGACTTGACTGTGTTTAATGCCTATGAATACATGCATGTAGAAAAAAATTAAGACTACATTTATTTAGGGAAAGTTAAAGCACATCACATACACAAAGAAAACCTTAAACGTACATCATTACGGAGAAAATGTAAGCAGACATTAATATTAAGGAAAATAATAAAGTAAGGTAAAAGCACTAATTCTATTTTCCCAGTTAACAAATTAGATGTAAAAAACTTCAACTTTAGTTTGCCTCAACCATTTTTTGGAGAAGTTGATTATAAAGAACTGACAGACAAATTGAACTGACATAATTTCTTAACATATTACTATGCTCAAATGCGTAATACATAATGATGCATAATGACAAATGCTGAGGAAATACTGAAAACACAACTGAAAAAACACAAGGCTGAAACATTAAAATAGTTAAGAAATTGAAGAGAGACAGACAGATGTTTATCTGTAGTTAACATGAACTAATGTTAGCATGTTTTAACAGTTCTTGCATGCATAAACAGACAGACGGACGGACAGACAGATGAATTGACAGACAGACAGGACAGACGGACGGACAAATAGATGAATTGATTGACAGACAGACAGATAGATAGATGAATTGACAGACAGACAGACAAAACTACAGATAGAACAACATACAGTATGGATGAATGGATGTATATCCATGGATAGAACGATAGAACGATAGAACGATAGATAGATAGATAGATAGATAGATAGATAGATAGATAGATAGATAGATAGATAGATAGATAGATAGACAAACAGACGGATGGATGGACAGATAGATCAGTTGACAGACAGATAGATAGGCAGATAGATAGATGCTTCAGGAGAAAATAGAAATACTTATCCCTGAATAACAATTATCCTAAAATGTTATGTAAATATGACGCTTTCTTAATTGAAAATAAGTTTATAAGCGAATGTATCTACGTAAGCTAAACTTCTAGTAAAGTTGTTTCAGCTTATTCGTCGGTTCTCGGCCTTTAACGTTAACCGACAGATGTGCTCATGCAGCGGAAGCAGAGCTCGGTCAAGTTCGTAGAGGACCCGTTCCGTCCGGTTTAGCATCACAAAACACCCGACTCAAAAGAAGATTCATCCAGACCCAGCTATATTACATTTCCATGGTTGGGGAAGAAAAGCTGTGAGGAATTCAGTACAAAGCAACACACTTCCTTAACTTGAGCCCACTTGGCGGTAAATAAGGGAAATTCACAAAATGTGCCGAGTGACATTGGTCGATTTAGCCAGGTACATTTTATCACACCGTTCATAAAGAAAGTGCCTTTCCCAAACATTTTGTTATATATGGACGCTGAGTCGCCTAAACACATGGCCCATAACGGCTGTCCAAACGAGCCTTCGACGCCAGAATGTGCTGTCTAGATAGGCGACGCACTTATTATTGAAACACGACCATTGTATGGCCAACTGTTTTCACAAACTGAAAAAAATTCCTATAGATATTTATAAATTTACAGTAAAACTGGCGCCTTTGTCGTGTTTATCTGTAAAGGGGGAACGCGCAGATCTCCTGTACAAGCCAAATGGTTGAACATGCAAACTCTTGTGTGAACAGTCGCTAACGTTAGGTTAACTAGCATGATAGCATTTTACCGCGCACCTCTGCCCACTCACACAGCAAACCAGTGGCCAACATGACATATGGAGGCGACCAAATCTAGACCACACCACAGAAAAAAAAATCTCACCTGAAGTAGATCAGTAGTCAACAGGAATGAAAGCGCTCCATACAATAGCTAATGTTTTCATGTGTTCGTCAATCCTGTCTCTTCTTTGGGCAACGTGATCTTCATGACGTCTTGTTCACTTTTTCGGTTAGTAACGTACTAGTTGAAGAAGGTTACAGCGCCCTCTTCAGGATACACTCGAACACACCGACCTGTGACATTCAGTACTGATGATGGCACGCTCACTAGTAAACGAGGTACAGTATAAAAAATAACATGTATTAAATTTGTGGTTTATGAATTATTTGAGTGTCTATCAACTATTGAGTGAAAATTTCATTGCAATAAATCTGTTCTTGCTTTTTTGGTTCAGTCAATCAATCAGGCTTTTTGTTTATTTGCCGTAAAATACGTTAATAACGCATTGTTGGGGGTAACACGTTACAAGTAACCCGAGTTACATTATATTATTACTTTTTCAAGTAACGAGTAAAGTAACGCATTACTTTTAAAAAATAAGTAATAATATTTGAGTCACTTTTAAAAAATGTTTATTGGTTTAATTATTTAGCTTTTTAAAATCAGTTGCTGAATTAAGATTAAAGTTACAATGTATCATGCAGTCAATGAGAGAATGTGGTCATTATTTTAAATGCATCGAAGAAAAGGAAAAGGGGATGTCTCAATGGACAGTGATTTTACTTAAAACAAATGGCTTCAAAAGTACTAAACACTAATAATAATCAATAATCTGGATATATACGGCATGCATAGCTCTAGGGTTAGGAAGTACATTATCCTAATATACGGCAGCATGCATATTGAATATATACTGAATATATACGGCATGCATAGCTCTAGGGTTAGGAAGTACATTATCCTAATATATATATATATATATATATATATTTTTTTTTTTTTTTTTTTTTTTTAGTTAAATGTAGTTGTTGTTCATACAGTGCATTGGTAATTGTAGAGCTCCTTTATTGAAAAAGAAAGAAAGAAAAACTACTGGCTATGGAAGTACAATACATTTATATACATTAATAAAGTACACTATACATTACGGTATTTACAAATGTAGTGTTTAAATCTAGTTTCTTTGCAAAACTTCAAAACCGTCCAGTGTGGTGAGAATTTAACCTGAATGAGACTTCCGGTGTCAGAGTGTTTAGTTAGCATTAGGCCTACAAAAACATTGTTTTTCTGCCTTCATATTACTGTTTAAATCATTGTTGTAATTACATGGTAAATGGCTTAAACGTTTCATTTGTTACTTAAAATGTGCACACCCAACAAATATCCAAGTTGTTCCCACTTGGTCTTAATGTTCACTGTAGGTTCATTTTGACGACCAAAAATTGACCTTCCTGTTTGTTGCAGGGAGGTTTGAGACAACTTTTAAAGGGAACATTAAAAGAACATTCCTTAAACATTCTCTTAAGCTGGAGAGACAGTTTAGTCAAGAAAATTATCCTGGTTAGCCAAAAGGGAACCAAGCTAACCAAACTTATTTCAGTTCCCAGAATGTTTTTCAACCAAAAATTGTAAACTTGGCAGTCAAATCTAATTCTTAAATTATGTGCCTTATTTTCTGCAAGAAATGACAATTTGCTGTTATTTTACTGAAAAGGTGGTCCAACAGAATTCAGCACATTTTTTTTACTCACCATTGAGTATTTATTTATGTGTAAATATATATTTATTAAATTTTTTTTTATTTGATTTCTGTAATATTAATAAATAATAGAAAAATGTTAATATGATTTAATATAATTTGTAAATTAAGATTTTCTCTCTCTTTAGTAGACAAAATGAGTAACTTTCTTTGTTTACCTGATAAGTGGTTCTAACTGGATCTGCATTTTAAACCCTTAATAAGTTTTTTGTTTCATGTGATCAGTTTTTAGTTACTCTCAAAATTCCACATAAATACAGAATTTTACTCAGAAATAATAAAAATATCCGCAGATGTTGCTCTGCTGTGCTACAGGTTACAGTAATGGCTATTTTTTTCTTAAAGGTGCAGTATGTGATCTGCTAAGATGCTATCCATTAGCATAACAGCTTTGAAAACACAGTCCCTACCCTGCCGTCCAAAGCCATGCCCCCTGAAATTATGAACGCACATCGTAAAGATGAGAGAGCCACTAGATCATGTCTTTTGCCAGTTAGAAAACTTTATAGTACTTTATGAAACTTCAGTTTTGAATGAAAAACTGCCCGTTTTCAGTTGTGTGGCAAGCAAAATTTGTCTTAATGTACAATATTTCATGCATGCAAAGAGCGCTGGTCTCTCACGCACTTTGTCCTAAAGTTATTCTGGTGCTTGGCCAGGGTCGTGCAGGACTAAGCCATACTTACATGATATTTCAGAAGGAATTTTAAAGAGTAGCCCTGTAAACAATATGAGCACATCACAAGTTGTCATTGTTCAGAAATGAACCAATGTGAATAAAGCCAACTTCACCTCAGTAAAGCACGCTAGGCAGAATATCGCTATATATTTACTGATGTTTTGTTGTTAAAATAATAAATTCTACAATATTGATGCTGTAAAAGGTCCCTTATGAAACTGAAAATAGTCATATCAATCTTTCGCTGGAAGACTTATAACCCATTTATAACCAAATAATCTAATTCATCTAAATAATCAGCTTTGCGTGACTAATATATTTTTAAAACAGAACAATACCTGTCAAAAAGAAATGCTTCAGCCATGGTGTCATCCTTCCTCCAGCTGTAAAATTAACTCTAATATTGATTCAGGATTTTAGTTTTGAGTCAGTATTTGTTTTTACTGCTGTCACTCTCGTGTACACGTGAACGCGACGGCGGATCTGTCTGCGTGAACAAGGGTGAACAGATGTACAAATCTACATTAGTTAACAGACAGTTCGGGCTACATATCAGAATTAAAGGAATTGTCGGCCTGACAAATTTTTATTGGATGAAATTTTTTTTATCTTATGCCTTACCCAGAATATAAAACTACATGTAAATACATTTAGATCATTTACTTTAATCAGTACTATTAGAATGTGAAGAGACTTTCAAGCAGCACAATAATTTTTTTTTAAAGACAATCAACTACTGCACCTTTAAATGTAACAAAAAAACCTTGAAAGACGAAACAGGATCATTGTTTATTCAAAATGCAATTCCAGCTTTATTCACAATAATATTTATCACGCTTTTAAGTATAGAGAAATTCTATCTCTTTATTCTATTACATATAGTCTTTATTTGACTGACCAATTAGAATCCAGTGTTCTCCTAACATTAACATCAAGTATTCTCAAGTATACTCCTAACATTAATAATCAAATAGGCCTACACAAAAATGTTCAGAACATCAAATCAAAATTTTTTTTTTTAAGTTTTACATTTTTCCAAACTGCTGTATGGCCTGAATCCTGTTCTGAATAGCTCATTTTCAGACGCAAGGCAGAGTAAACAGCCCACACTGGCGTGCTCGATCATGACTCCAAAATTGGCTGAGCTCAAACTGTCTGAACCGAAAAGCCAAACCAGCCATCACAGGGCGGTCCTGAGCTCAACACCCACCCAACCAGTCATCATTATCCAGCAGTCTCAGACTGCAGCTCATTTAACATAATTTTAACCCTGCATGCACAAACAGCAGCCTCCAGGAGTGAGAGAGAGCGAGGCGAGGATTAGGCTACAGTAGGAGTGATGGACTGAGATTACGCTCACATCTAAAAAAAGCCCAGCACTGAGGAAGTCTGTTTATCCGGGACTGAACAGAGACCGGACTATTACCTGTGAGCACAATGACTTCGCTGTACCACACATTCCTGCTCTTCACAGGTGAGGCTGATCACATCTTATTTAACAGTTCATGATCACTCAAACTGCTCCACTTTTATTCATTTTGCAGAGTAAACGTGTGATTTAGTGACCACTGGACACATGCAGTGTCTGTATACAGTGTGCGTTTATAATATTGGGGTCCGAGAACCACAATGTCATATTCTATACACTTAAAAAATAAGGTTTGCTGTTTTGTAACTACTTATTTAAAATGAGCTGAAACAACACAATTCCTAGGGGATTTTTGTGACAACTTAATTGCTTCTTGTTCAATCTACTTATTTTTTTAAACAGCTAAAATCAATCCAAGGCACTCGAGAAGTGTGAAAAAAACAATGAAAAGCCTTTATTCACATGACTAATTCTTAAACCCTACGCATTTCAGCAAAGAACTGCCTTCATCAGGGTATCAGTGATCAGGTGCGTCTGGAGTTTCTTTTCAATGCTACGGTCTCATGACTCATTAACATGTCTAAACAATACTAAAATAATATATTAAACACAAGGTCAGTAATTGGAAAACATAATCATATATAATTGTAGTTTAAGTTCTTTTTCCAACTGATTTTTAAGATCGTTAAGCAATTGTTTTTTTTAAATCTATGTGCTGTACTCTGAATTCAACAAGGTGGCTGCAGCCATGTCTTTCTCACCTTCTTCTATGAAAAATGTCCAGATGCCATGTCTTTTTTAAACTTACAAGTTAATTTCTTTATGTTGTCCAGTATTTTTTACAGTGTAGGTCACTTTTTTCAAATGTAAGTTTTTACATCATCTGAAAGTTAAGGGGCTATATGCACAAAGACTTGGCGGCAAGGCGGCAAGGGCTATCCATTACAAAATTGTCACGTTTAAGATCTAATTTTTAATCTTCACTGCCTGTTAGATATTCGGTATGAAGTGGGTCTCAGATCGGACAAGAAGCACTGCATTAAATTCAATTTCCCCTCGCCATGTCTTTAAAATATGAGAATGGAAAATGATGGAATTTCTGTTGCTACTGACGGCACTTGAGGTTACAATGGTCTTTCATATTGTTGTACACTTGAACAACTAAATGAACGCTTGAGTCTATTTAACTGAATGTATTGTAATGACATAACAACATTGATGCTGTAAAAACAACCTTGTGAAATTTAAAATACTCACATTAAGCTTTCACCGGAAGTTTATCATTGGCTTTAAAACTTTACAGGGCGCATACTTGAATTATACGTTTTCCATTGATGTATGATTTATTAGGAAGATATGTGGGTGAGATACAACTATTAGAACATCTGTAATGTTAGGGTTTTTAAAAAATAGTGAGAAAATTGCATTTAAATGTGTCAAAATGAAGTTCGTTGCAGCGCGTATTACTAATCAAAAATAAAGTTTTGATACATTTACTGTAGGAAATGTATTAAATATTCATGAAACATGATCTTAACTTATAAAAATGTATTAATTAATAATATATTATGAATATTTAAAAATCTTACCAGGGCGCCCGCAGGGTCTTCAATTTCAAAAACAAAAATTTAGACCTTTAAATAAGACTTAATTTTCCTTTATGGATCTAAACTATCTAATCAAGCCAACCCCCGTCCAATCATCAACAATCTACTGTATCAATAAAACTTTGAACAAAACTCTATTTAAAACTCTTATTTACCAGCATGGTTTAATTTTTTCTCACAATAACATTTGTAACTTCTGAATGTATTTATAGATTAATATGTGGTGAGAACACTGACCTTGACAGGCTGTTGTGCACAGTATATTTTTTAAGGCTTGTCAAGTTTTAAAAAGGAAAATTGACAGTATATTAAAATAAATGTGTGTGTATATATACAGGGGTGGCTTGTTCTGACACATTAATTAAAAAGATTTATGTTAAAGGGACAAATGAAAATCCTAGTGTTTAGCCCTGTAGAAGTCTGAAATTTTAATTTATTCATAACGCTCCTAAAAATGACTTAAAAAGTCTAAATTTTAAAACCTGCAGAAACCATGTTATTTATACTGTAAATATAGCACCCATTTATTTTAGCTCAAACATTGGGTCAATGTTTTTAATATTTTTTGGAATATATATATATATATATATATATATATATATATATATATATATATATATATATATATATATATATATATATATATATATATCAATATAAACTTTGAGTGTCTAAGACTAAAAGTTCCTTTTATTTTTTTCGAAACATTTTTTCCTTAAAATGTATTTTATCTTAAAAAAACTCTGAACATGTATTATTACACATGAAGCTGATTGTTAAAATTGACGTTAGTCACATTAGCCTTCACCTAAAACAGATTTAAAATGTTAAAATTCAATTGTGATCTTTGAAGAAACAATCAAATTATATTTTTTGTATGTCTTTATTTATGCATACATTCATAAATGGTGCATTCCAGAAGAAAGAGTTCATTCAAGATAATTAGGACATTTTTTTTGCCAGTATCTCAAAAAAGCAGTCAGATTTACCTGAATTTGCTGTTATTTTTGGAGATATTAAACCACCAGAACGGATTAGGCAAACAGTACAAAATAAACACTTATGACTAAGACTGATACACTGTTTACTTAGAGCTTTAAGAAATCCTGGAATCTAACACTTCATCAGTGGAATCTGACACTGCATTGGTGAAAAATGGTCCTTTTATTGCCTTAGGAAACTCTGGACAATAGAAGTGCACTTGAAGTTGTACTGTGAGGCTTTTAGACAGTTAGTTTACAATAAATTAGTCAATGTAAAATACTTTAAATATGGTAATCTATTAGCAAATATTGACAATATAAGAAGTACTTGAGTTGGAAAAGAAATAGTTAATCCAAATATTTTTATTTTGCCATGAATGGATCGCAACTTTGCTTTGTAAGACAGGAAAAATAATTTAATGAATTAAACATGTCTTTTAAGCTTATTTTAAAGTCACCCGCTGATTCTTTATTGTTAATTTCTTTGAAATTATGGAGTTATTATTCCAGTGCCACTTCTGAATCTGGCAGTAAAACCTGACACTGAGTTCAAAATATTTTCTGCTGTATATTTGGAGAGTTATCAGTGTATTCAATGTAATTTATTCCAGCTTCTTTTAATGTTAGTGATACCTATTACTCAATGTTATTAAATAATTATATATTTTTTAAAGTTATATAAAAATATATATTGCAAGCCTACAATCCACATATTTAAATGCACTAAATATTTCTCCTTTTCATGTTCATATCCAGCAGGCACAAGATCAACATGACGTCAGATTGACGTTGCACCCCAACGTCGTGGGGACTGCATTTTGTTTGTATATAAAAATTGGGTTGATCTCGGAACAGACATCAGGCCGACATTATTGTACAATGTCCAATCTAAAATCAACCAAATATCAATGTCTTATGATGTTATTGATGTTGAGTGGACATTACCACTATGACGTCTATCAGATGTTGGATTTTGGTTGCCATACCAGATGAATAAATGTCAGTAGTTGTCAATATGACATTGGTTTAAGATGTTGGCTCAATGTTAGATTTTGGTCACTTTCCAACACAACCTAAAATGGATGAATGAATTTTGGCCACCTGATGTCACAAAATAAATCTAACCTAAAATTAACATCTTGTGACGTCTACTACCAGCTGAGTATGTGAACCACACAAGCTTCATTCACAATATTAAAATGGTTGATTTTACTTGATGAAAACTAGTTAGTAATGTAATCTAGGATATTTCTTTTAGGTATTCTGACTAGTTGTTGATTACTTTTAGATTACTTTTTGTCTATAAATTAAAAAAACACTTATTAATATTCCATTGTGATATAAAAAAGCAAAGAAAAATACATAAAAGTTTTAATACCATCTTCATCAAAAATGTATTACTTTACACCAGGATTTCTCAGTTAATGTAAAAACACCGAATGTTTGAGTCAATAAAAACATTAAAAATAAAAAAAATTTAAGCATTTTTTTTAATTATGTGGTGTGGCTGACAGACTGAGAATCCTTGCACTCTGTGAACATGTAATTGTCATTACATGACTAAAGTCTTTTAGGTTTCATATATTTTTTATGCAGACATCCAGAATCGACAGTTCTGAAGGTCATGATGAAGACACATTGTTTCACAGCTCATGTCACCGTTATTAGTTTCACACATGAAATTGCGTAAAGTGGTGGAGTACACAAATCCGGCACTTGTGTAAAAGTACCCTAAAATATGACCTCCTGTTTTAACATTATTTAAGTCAGAGTACAAAAGGACATGATTTTTTATTTAAATAAGTAATAAAAGTACTTACTCATGACATGGCTTTTTTTGCAAGAAGGTTGATTTAACTTGTTATGCTCTAATAACCACAAAGATCATTCATGATAATTCAAGTGAAAACATGTGAAATCCACATTCACATGCTGAACCACATCTATATTAGTTTATGAAATCAGTGAGTTATTTACAGAAGACTCACTCTGAACAGATCATTTGAATCAGTGAGTTGTTTAATAAAGACTCATTCTGAATAAACCATTTGATTCAGTGAGTTGTTTACTGGAGACTCACTTTGAATTAATCATTTGAAACAGTGAGTTGTTTACTGGAGACTCATTAATTCATTTTCTTTTTGGCTTAGTCCCTTCATTAATCCGGGGTCGCCACAGCAGAATGAACCACCAACTTATCCAGCATATGTTTTTACGCAGCGGATGCCCTTCCAGCTGCAACCCATCTCTGGGAAACATCCATGCATACTTATTCACACCCATACACTACGGACAATTTAGACTACCCAATTCTCCTGTATCGCATGTCTTTAAACTGTGGGGGAAACCGGAGCACCCGGAGGAAACCCACGCGAAAGCAGGGAGAACATGCAAACTCCACACAGAAACGCCAACTGACCCAACTGAGGCTCAAAGCAGCGACCTTCTTGCTGTGAGGCGACAGCACTACCTACTGCGCCACTGCGTCACCCTACTGGAGACTCACTCTGAATAAATCATTTAAATTAGTGAGTTTTTAACTGGAGACTCACTCTGAACGGTGTGAATAAGTGAGTTGTTTACTGGAGAATCAGTGAACTGTTGTCAGATATCGATTTGTGAACCAATTTAAGATGTTATCTGATACAATTTAGCTTGTTTACAAATTGAAAACCACTATATCCTGTCTCCAATCTAATTTCTCCTCTTCAAAATAACTTTTTACTCTTTAGTTTTATTTAGGAACTGCAGTGGGGTAAAAAGTACAATATTTTGTTTTGAATTGTAGTGAAGTTAAAAGGGAAGGTTTCTATAAATAAATATACTCTAATAAAGATACAGACATATCCATGACATTTACATCGCCGCTTCATACTATTTAAAGAAGCTTAAGAAAGGAAATAATCATTTAAAAGAGAACAAAAGGGTTTGGGAGAGTACATAAATAATGAATGTGCTTCAGTTTTGAGAATGTAGTAATGCAGCATATAAAATGGTGACTGTATGTTGATTATTAAAATATAAAAATGCATAATACTGTAATTATGAGTTCTTAATTTTTGGAATCTGATTACATAATCCAGATTATATATATATTTTTTTTAATTTTCTGGAGTCGCCTTGAACAATAAAATGTTCAATTGTGTTGTATTGTAAACTACTCATAAGTTGTTTATAGAATGAAACATAAAGGAACATCAGTGGGAGCCTGTCTTCCAATTGTTAACAGTATAACAAATCTTTAGGAGAGTCAAGCGTTTTGATTATTTTTCAGTCAGTATGGCGTCACTGCAGCCGCAGCGCTCTTTACGGAGTAAAAGGGGTCTGCTGGAGCTGGCCGGAGTCATCAAGTGCAGCACTGGCCGCTCAGCTCTGTCCTATGTGATGTACGGATGTTACTGTGGTCTGGGGGGTCAAGGCTGGCCCAGAGACAGGGCGGACTGGTAAGACTTTATGCTAAATACAAATATTCAAGCAGTTATGTGCATATCAGCAGACTGCATTCACTTCTCAGTTGGCCATTTCTTCAAATCAAGTCACTTTTATTTCATTTTCTAAAGCACTTTATTGACCTCTTTCATATTTTCAGGTTTCTCAGCTGCAGAAGTCGTCATTCACTCAAAAAATAAAAACAATTTTTGCTTCTTGTTTAAACCACTTACTCAAAATGAACTGAATCAACACAATTCATGTGTTTTTGACACAACTTAACTGTTTTATTTTTATTCATTTTCTTTTCGGCTTATTCCCTTTAATAATCCGGGGTCGCCACAGTGGAATGAACCGCCAACTTATCCAGCACGTAGCGAATGCGAAGTTTACGCAGCGAATGCCCTTCCACCGCAACCCATCTCTGGGAAACGTCCACACACACTCATTCACACTCATACACTACGAACAATTTAGCCTACCCAATTCACCTGTACCGCATGTCTTTAGACTGTGGGGGAAATCGGAGCACCCAGAGGAAACCCCACGCGAATGCAGGGAGAACATGCTAACTCCACACCAAAATGCCAACTGACCTGAGACTCGAACCAGCGACCTTCTTGCTGTGAGGCAACAGCACTACCTACTGTACCACTGCGTCGCCCACTGTGTTATTTTAATCCACTTAAATTTGTAAAAACAATTAAGTTAACTTAATGGATTTGTGTTGGGACAACATGAAGAAATTGTGCAGAACAGGGTATACACACAATTCATTCATGTTGTCCCAACACAAATTGATTAAGTTAACTTAACACTTTTAATAAATTTATGTGGATTGAACATTAAAAATTAAGTTGTCCCAATGAAATCTCAAAAATTGTGTTGTTTCAGCTCATTTTAAAAAGTTTGAACGAGTAAAAAAATATAAACGTGTAAGAGTGTAGTTGGGTAAACGTATAAATGGGAGAGTACCAGAAGTACATTTTTGCAATCCCATCTTCTCAAATGGCAAAAGAATAATTCCACAATAGGGTTTTTGTGACTTTCATGAAAAATGAATAAATTGATAGGGGCTGCATTGGTGTCAGAAGAGAGAACCATGTCAAATTTACTGTTCGTCCCATAGTCGATGCATCATAAACATTAATGCAATCTTATGACAATTTGTAATTTTTTGATTCAGTGTTTAATTTATATTCATCTGTATGATCTCATTAGAACTTTTTAGTATATTTAATATAGCTCATGCATGCCCCAATGAGGGGTGAGTTTAGGGATCGGGTTTGGGGGCAGGACCCCCTTTTAAAAATCTTACATGTTCATGTAAATTAAATTATATGAATTAGTATGAATTAGCTACTTTCCTGACTACATTTAAAATAGTTATAATTTCTTATTTTTTTCTTTTATGACTATTTATTTTAATACATTTTCTTTTTTTATTTAAATAAACACAATGATAAGTAAATAAATAAACAAACAAGCAAAAACACACAAAAACAAACAAACACATAAATAAATAAATATAATCAAACACATAAATAAATAAATACAATCAAACACATAAATAAATAAATACAATCAAACACAAATAAATAAATCATTAAAATAAATAAATAAATACATACATACATACATACATACATACATACATACATACATACATACATACATCCAGAATAAATAAATCATCAAATAAACAAATACAATTAGAATAAATAAATTATCAAATAAATAAATAAATACAATCAAACACATAAATACATAAACAATCAATCAAATAAATAAATAAATACAATCAAACACATAAATAAATAAACAATCAATCAAATAAATAAATAAATACAATCAAACACAAATAAATAAACAAATACAATCAGAATAAATAAATCATCAAATAAACAAATACATTATCAAATAAATAAATAAACACAATCAAACGCATAAATAAATAAACAATCAATCAAATAAATAGCACCAAATAAACAAACAAATACAAATAAATAAATACAATCAAATAAATAAATAAATACATATAAATAAATACAATCAAATAAAAATAAATAAATGCATATAAATAAATACAATCAAATAAATGCAATCAAATAAACAAAAAATAAACACACAATCTTTCAAATGAGGTTTTCATAGTTATTATTACCAGGGTTGATTTATGTACATGTTTAAATGTAATCAGTTAAAAATAAAGCAAACAAACACTAGAAAACTATAGTTACTCACTATATTTACTTACCCTTATAGGTACAAAACATTTATTCATTTCTATCTTCTGCTAAGCACTCAAGATGATAAAAGCTGAAAACCACTAACTTCCATCGTAGGAAAAACAAATGCTATGGACACCATTGGTTGCAAGTTTCCAACATTTTCCAAAATATCTTAATTTATGTTAAACAATAGAAAAAAAATAGTTTGAAACAAGTAAAGGGCAAGAAATAATGACAGAACGGATGAACTGTCCTTATATTAGGCCTACAGGAAACTAGCTAATAACACAGTACAATGAACAAGCCATGAGGTTACAAACACATAAACTTTTCCATATTAGACACAGAGAGCATATGATGCAGTTTAGTTTTTGCAGTAGAAAGGTCAGGGTTTGTCCATTTCTGTGTCTTTCCCTCAGACATCTGGAAAAGGAAATCTCCCATTTCTCCCACACACAAAATAACCATTTCCCTTAACCTCAGTTTCACTGCTCTCTCTGAAAGAGCTCTGTCTTTGAAAGTGGACAGCCAGATGATAAAGGATAACTAAACCTGCTGATATTGTTACTGTACTTGTTACAATGTTGTTGTTACCGCACATTCCTGAAGGCATTGCTCAGTCTGATCTCACACAGTCAGCAGCTTAACTAGCAGACACATTTTTATTGTTTTTTTAATAAACACATTCCATTTACTTTACTTTATTACTTTATTTTATAATTTACTTTCATTTATTTAAATCCATAAAGTTTTAATTTAATTACATTTTATTTTATTATTTAATTTACTTCAATTTTATTTTATTATTTAAATTAGTTTACATTTATTTTTTATTTACTTTATTTTACTTTTATTTTAGTATTTAATTTAATTCATTTTATTATTTACTTTAATTTTAATTAATTTTATTAGTATTTTTTATTTATTTTTTTGTTTGTGTAATTATTTATTTAATTTTACTGTAATTGTGTTTGATTTCATTATTTAATTTAATTATTTTTATTAATAAAATAAAATAAAAATAATAATAATTATTAATTATTATTATTATTAATTTGTTTTTGTTTTTTTATTTTAATTTAAACTACTTTTTTATTTAATTAAATTTAACTTACATTTATTTAATTTTATTATTTACTTTATTTTATTATAAACTTTGCTTTGCTTACATTTTTTGTATGACAGTAGGGCAGTGGAGTTTTGAGACAGTCAAAGAATTGCCCCAGAACTACCTATAATGGCTAAATTTGTAGTAACTGGGCTTGAGAATGCAAATACAGATCTCATAAAAATAAAACATCAACAAAATTTCATAATTAAATGTTGCGTAATGAGAAACTTGAGACAGAAGTGTGCTGGTGTTTCATTTAAGCTAATCTGGAGCTTGTTGTATGTGTTTTTCCACAGGTGCTGTCACAAACACGACTGCTGTTATGGGGATGCCGAATTCGCAGGATGCCAAACCAAAACGGACCGTTATCATTGGACGTGTGACGATGAGCAGGCCGACTGTGGTAGGATGCGTTATTAATTTAGATGTTCAGTTGAAATAGTGAGACTCTTTTAGAGGCACATTTTATAGTCTGAGATGTACTGTTACTGTATTTTGAAATAATTGGTGATGGAATGTTGTAGTTTTATTGCTTTTATTATTAAGTAGTATCTTTGTTTTTATTATTTATTCTAATTGTAATAATATTGTTGTTGTTTTTTACAAGTGTGTTTTTGTTATATCTATTATATTATAAAAGTATTTAGAGATTTTGGAGCACAAAAGAGAGAAAATTTGTGGAATATAAAACTATATTTTATTATAAATAATAATATACTTGGATTTAAGTTCCACTAATAAACAACTAAATGTCAGGTCTTTCTTGTAAAACATACTCCACCAGTCTTTGTATTATTTATAAAACTGAAAAGTAATGTTTTTACTTTTTTATTTAAAAAAATAATATAATAAAATAATAAATATTAGATTACAATTTTCATTATTATAATTAAAACATTATAAAACATTATTATAGTTTTTATTTTATGATTTCCTTTTATATTTTTGTTTTAATAATTAACTGTTTATTATTATTTGTGTTCATTTTAATGAAAGCTTTGGGAGGGTATATATATATATATATATATATATATATATATATATATATATATATATATATATACACATATAGTCACTGGCCACTTTATTAGGTACACCTGTCCCCAACTGCTCGTTAAAGCAAATTTCAAATCAGCCAATCACATGGCAGCAACTCAATGCATTTAGGCCTGTAGACATGGTCAAGATGATTTGCTGCAGCTCAAACCGAGCATCAGAATGGGGAAGAAAGGTAATTTAAGTGACTTTGTGGCATGGTTATTGGTGCCAGATGGGCTGGTCTGAGTATTTCAGAAACTGTTAATCTACTGGGATTTTCCTACTCAACCATCTCAAGGGTTTAAAGAGAATGGTCAGAAAAAGAGGAAATATCCAGTGAGTGGCAGTTCTGTGGGCACAAATGCCTTGTTGATGCCTGAGGTCAGAGGAGAATGACCAGGCTGGTTCAAGCTGAAAGAAAGGAATTAGAAACTGAAATAATCACTCGTTACAACTTGGATATGCAGAAGAGCATCTCTGATAGCACAAAATGTCCAACCTTGAGGCGGACAGGCTACAGCAGCAGAGGACCACAGCAAGTCCTACTTCTGTGAGCTAAGTACAGGAAACTGAGGCTACAATTTGCCCATAGGCTAACAAAAATTAGACAATAGAAGATTGGAAAAACATTGCCTGGTCTGATTAGTCTTGAATTTCTGCTGCAATATTCAAAAAGTAGGGTCAAAACTTGGTGAAAGCATGGATCCATCCTGCCTTGTATCAACGGTTCAGGTTGGTGGTAGTGATGTAATGGTGTGGGGGATATTTTCTTGGTTCACTTTGGGCCTAGTACCAAATGAGCATTGTGTCAGGGCCACAGCCTACCTAAGTATTTTTGCTGACGATGTCCATCCCTTTATGACCACAGCGTACCCATCTTCTGATGGCTACTTCCAGCAGGATAGCGCTTCATATCATAAAGCATGAATCATCTCAGACTGGTTTCTTGAACATGACAATGAGTTCACTGCAAATGCCCTCCACAGTCACCAGATCTCAATCCAATAGAGCACCTTTGGGATGTGGTGGAATTGGAGATTCACATCATGAATGTGCAACCAGCAAATCTGCAGCAACTGCGAGATGCTATCATGTCAATATGGACCAAAATCAAAGGATAAAGGCAAAATGGGGTCCAACCTAGTACTAGTAATGTGTACCTAATAAAGTGGCCGGCTTATTGCACTATATATAGAGAAAAATGTGTAAATATTTGTGTGTAATTTTTTTTCAGATGTGTTTATACAGTTTCAATTTCATTTATTTATTTGTTTTTTTTGTTTGTTTATTAGTTAGTTACTGGCGATGCAGTTGCGCAGTAGGTAGTGTTGTCGCCTCACAGCAAGAAAGTCGCTGGTTCGAGCCTCGGCTGTATCAGTTGGCGTTTCTGTGTGGAGTTTGCATGTTCTCCCTGCATTCGCATAGGTTTCCTCCGGGTGCTCCGGTTTCCCCCGCAGTCCAAAGACATGCAGTACAGGTGAATTGGGCAGGCTAAATTGTCCATAGTGTATGTATGTGTGCAAATGAGTGTGTATGGGTTTCCCAGAGATGGGTTGCGGCTGGAAGGGCATCCGCTGCGTAAAACATGTGCTGCATTAGTTGGCGGTTAATTCTGCTCTGGCGACCCCAGATTAATAAAGGGACTAAGCCGAAAAGAAAATGAATGAATGAATAAATAGTCAGTTACTTTACATCATCAAGTTCAACAATGAAAATAAGAAATATTTCCTTGGCAACTAGCTGAAATTAAATAATAAAATAACATAATAAACAATAATTAATAAACACATTTTTATTATAATAATAACAACATAAAATACCCTAAAATATATTTTGCCAATAACTACAAATACATTTATTTACATTGTACATTTCACAAACCATTATTATAAAATAAATGGCAAGCAGCATTTACATTTTGAAATAAATGTTTAGAGATTGAGACTTTTTAAATAAGATTTTAATAAGCTTTGAGACTATTTTAATAGGACTGAGGTTAGTGAAGAAGAAACTATAAGGGGAAAATGACTATGAAGGTTTTGTTTGGTCTTTTCTTCGGCTTCAGGAAGTAGGAATACAGGGTGTGTGTAATAACAGACAGGAGACTTCAGGCTAAAAAGCGGTAGTGTCTTTAACCAAACCACAAGATATTTAAAGATTTCCCTCCTGCAGTAAACACCATAACGTGCTATAGAAAACACTCAGTGAGATTTACAGTATATTGTTTATTACTAACAGCCATAAAATGATGGTTTTAACATGATACATGGTTAAAATATGGTTTCCTCAGCTCTAAATGCAAACTGCTAATTTTACACAGCCAACAATTTGCATTGATGTGTCTTCAACGCAGACTCGCTTAATGATAGATGTGCGAAAATCCTGTGCCGATGTGACCGTGAAGCAGCCAGATGCCTCAGAAAGGCCCCGTTCAACCCAAAATACGCTCTGTGGCCGGATTTCCTCTGCGGATGCGTTCATCCTACCTGCAACATTTACTAATGAAGCTATACAGCAGTTGGTAAACAAACCTTTCAGAGCTTGTCTTGTATGTTTCATGCTAACTTTGATTTTCTGTCTTTGTATTGTTCAAACTATTTCCATTTTTCTACATATATCTGTATTTTGTACTGGCAAAGTTGACCTTCAAAAGTGAATGGATTAAAACATGTACTTCTACTAAAAGCCTGACCACTTGTGTGTTTACACTGTGAAAGCAGTCTGGTTGATATAGGTTTTCAATTACTTTTGAAAAATACAGGTTTAAACATAAAGATTTGTCAAAGGGATGCCATAGAAGAACCATTTTTGGTTCCCTAAAGGCCGGGACACATCAAGGGTTATTGTTTGATCGTGTTGGCCAATGTTTATTTTACTAGTGCACATTGTTACTATTACATGGTTTCTGCAGGTTTCATCAAGTCAAATTTCAGATATTTTAAGACTATTTTAAGACCTTTATGAATTAATTTTTAAACTTATACAGGGCTAAACACCAATGATTATTTCTAATGGCTCAGTTTGCCACAAAAAAGCAAATGTAATTATTTTTAGCAACAAGAAAATTGTCGCTGTAAACACAATTTTAATGTCTTTCTTTTAAAATGACAAGTTTAACATTTTGTAAAGTTTATTTATTGTAGAAAGAATTACATAAATAAAAATAAAATAAAAAAGATATTTGTTGGCTTTTGGTCCAAATTGATTGAGTATAACTTCTATTCAACCTAATGCATTTGTTAGAAAACCTTAAGTTTCATGTCTGTTTATAACTATTAAGTCTACTTGCCCTTCTGTAAATAGTTTTTGAATAAATGGAAGGTAATGTAAAGGGATAAACTGCTCTGTTACTATCATGAGGAATTATGCTGAATAATTATCTAATGCAAGTTAATCTACTAAAACAAAATACTTTGGTCATCTTTAATCAAAACTAAGATTATTTATTTATTGTTACACTTAAGGACATTTTTGTTTTCTTTCTGTAGGTCATGGAAACAATGTAAACTAGTCATATTTCCTCAGGAAAAAATAAATAAATAAATAAATGTATATATATATATATATATGAAGGCCTATAAGTTATAATTTTTTTTATAAAGGTGTATATAAGGATCAGACTTATTGATTTTTTTTTGTACAGATTCCAGTGTTTCCCAGACAGTGGCCTAGGATCCATATAGGGGGCGTCAGCAAACCTCCAAAGTTGATTTAATACAGACTAAACTGGCAGTAACATAAGGGAAAACAACAGAAAATCTTTAAATAATAGGTCATTTTCTTGTCAGCTTAGTTCCTTTATTAATCAAGGGTCACCAAAGCGGAATGAACCGCCAACTTATCTAGCATATGTTTTACACAGCAGATGCCCTTCCAGTTGCAATCCAATGCTGGAAAACACTTATACACACTCATTCAAACACATACGGACAATTCAGCTTACCAAATTCATCTGTAACGCATGCCTTTGGACTGTGGGGAAAACCGGAGCACCCAGAGGAAACCCACGCAAACATGGGATGAACATGAAAACCCACTGTGCCATCGTGACGCCCCTCATTTTTTTATTTAATATAATCATGTATAATATAGCCTACCAATTTCACAATTTTTAACGGTAGAAATTGTAAGTTCTGTTAAAAAAAGAAACACTTAAAGGCCTATAAATATTATAGTAAACAAAAATATTCCTTCATATACTGACCCAAATATGTAGAAACTATCATTTCAATGCAAGTCCCAGTAACATAGTTTATGTCTAGAACGGCTTCCCTGTACAGAAAACACTGCACTGATCCAACACACACATTCAGAGCGAGACGAATGGCTCATTCTGGAGCTTTGAAAATGACCATAGCTGGTCTGGTGTGCATTCTCCTTTACCTAAAATGAATGTGTTAATTTCCAGGGAATGATGGGAATTCTGGAGCTGGCAAAGCTCGTGTTGTCTTTTCTAGGCCAAAGAGGAAATCTAACTCCCACCTCGTGTCCTTAAAAGTCTCCTGGTAAATGGTGTTCGTCCTTTCCCTGTATCCTCACTCTCATTCCCAGCGTTGCACAGAAATGACATCAGGTTCATTAATAGAGCTTGTTGTCTTTTATGTGAAAGTATGAGGTGAATGAAACTGGAGCAATGGAGGGAGGGAGGAACGCTGGGACGGGACTACATGTGACTCCTGTAAGTATCCTAAATTGGAAGATCCCACCACTAGATGTCATCGTACAACCAGTTTTCATTTACAAACGAAACACAGACAACAATAGGATTTGGTTGGTTTCTCTTTATTGTTTGCTCGTTCAGCGTCATCAAGAAATGTACAGCATAAAATCATTAATTGTTGGTTTTATATTTACATATATGTTTGTCAAACGAGATCTTACGAGGGCAATATTAGGCTACCCAAAAATTCAAATTATCTCATCAATTACTCTCTCAAACCTGTTTGAGTTTCAGCTTTCTTCAAAATATATTCTCCTGTGTCCAACAGAAGAAACTCATGAAGGATAAAACCACTCAAGGGTGAGGAAATTAGTAAATCTTAATTTTTCTGGTCAGGCTGGGAGCTAATACCAGCTATGTCCAGCTTAAACCTGTCTGGTCAAGCTGGTTTTAGCTGGTCATTTCCCAGCCTGGCCAGCTAAAACCAGCTTGGAAATGGCCAAAACCCCCACTAAAACCAGGCTAGTCAACCAATTAAAACTAGTCAACCAGTCTAGGCTAATTTAAGCTGCTTTTTTCAGCAGGGATTTCTTTAATTAAAAACTTAATTTTTTAAATCTGACTCTTGCTAACAAACATTTGGTTTCCCGAAGTTTCTGATTCCCAAAATGTGTTCTCTGTTGGTCAGCCAGAATGACTTTATTTAAATACATCGTTTCACTTAGGTTAGGAGAACAAATTTTCGTTTTAGGTTCTTGAAAAAAATCTTTAAGGTTACACCACAGAGGACATTCCCAAAAATAGCCAAATGGTAACATTAATGGAATGTTCTGTGTTTCCAGCAGCGGTCCTTTGTGATTCATAAAAAGTCAAGCGAATGACACTTTAGAATAAAATACAAAATAAAAAATACACATTAAGAATTATTTAGGTGAACTATACATCTATCAATATATTTTTTGAAAAGCTCTTTTCAACAAAACTGGCCAAATCTGCTATTTACCCAATCATTAATAAACAAAGAAGAGTGCTTTTTTCATGGCTATCCCACTGACTGCACACATCTATAAAAGTAACTCAATTGCCGGCTCATGTGTAGATGTAGTAATTTAATAATACCGGCATGGTATCTCTATCTTTTGTCTGTTGCGGTGCTTGTTAAGGGATTTAAACGGACATAACTGGCCTTTGTATCCCATTGCTGACTCCTTACATGGGACTCTCATGTGAAGTTCCTCACGCTCTGTTGTCAGGCAGGGTGAAGCTATCTGAAACAAGAGAAGATCTACCCAACAGCCAGAGCCGGGCACTGAGACCTGAATATCTGGGGCAAGTTCCACAAACACTCACTCAATTGTGTCCTGCCATCAGCGCTTAATGAGCGATGAAGTTATGGAAGTCATATGCCTCTGCAGTCACATGAAGAGGGGGAAAGAAGTGGCTTCTTAATTTCACGTCTGCATGTCTGCTTGTTTACTTCCTCTGAGAGCATCTCGAAATTGTAGACAATGATTCTTCTTGTTCGAGTTTTTCAACGTGCTTGGGGTTTTTCTTTATCTATCAGCATGAAGTGTATCTGAAAAACAAAACAGCTGTAACTTCAATCACGTACATTTACAAATAGAAAAGGCTAAGTAAGTTCTTTACATATATATACTAATATGAGCAAAAACAACACTACATATAAAACTAATATTTGTTTCACATTTGCACTCTGACTCAATACAAAATAGATTATTTGGGGCTTATTTTAAGTATCAAAAATGTGCTTTATTATACATAGACAGGCCCGTATCCAGGGTGGTTCGGAAGACCCACCCCTCACTGACAAAGGTCCAGAATTTATCCCATACATGAGCTCAATTGTCCTATTTTAACTGCTATGACATTAAAATTGTGAAAAGAACTCATCGAAGAAGGCTTTAAGACAGAAGAATCAGATGTAAGTGACGTCATCTTTCACTATTGAGCTACCATATTGTTGTTAAATAGCAAAAACATTTTACAAGTAACTTTTATTATAAATCTTAGACTTTATTAAAAAAAATTAATAAAAAGGTGTTAAGAACCAAAAGTAAATGTTAAAGCATATAAAAGTGTTAATACTAATTAGGCTATTGTTGCGATCAGAATGTATTTTTTAAAAGAGAGACTAGAAAATCAGGAAACTCTACACTATTTTTTTTTTGTATTTTTGTTATTACATTTAAAATGTTTATTATTTAAGTGGATAAATTCTGACTAAGTAAAGTTGAATGTGAAGTTGAAACTGTTAAGTTGAATGCGCTGGCTAGTTTGTTATTTTCCTAATAATTGACAATAGGCTACTTTTAATTTAAAACTTCAACAGATTCTTCTTTTCCTAATGATATATCTGTGATAAATTTGTATTTAAAAATATTTTTGTTCATATTTCTTTCTTCTAAATCTTCAGAAAATGTTTTTGGTACATAAAAAAGTGTGGTTATGATGACCACCCGACAAGCTAATCCAGAAAAAATAGTGCTGTCACTAAAATGCAGTATTTAAAGCTCATAGTTAAATAGACAATGAGGTGAATAACTGCAAAAAGGTCCTGTTTTTGAGATAAAAGGACCACCTCCTATTTACCCGGCTGGCTATGGTCCTGATACACTTTTTGATGTCAACTGAATTAGATACAACAGCTGGGAACACCTTAAAGCTATCATTCTTCAGTGGTGATTTTGTAATTGGTGGGTGTGGCTCAGAGGCTCCACCTTCTTTGCTGTCCATGTGCTTCCTTGAATGCACATAATTTTTACCACTAGGGGGTGCGTATTTGCAACAAACAATGCTGTAGTTTGATGGTGTCATGATCAGAGTTGGATTAATTTATGGGTTAGGCAGGGCTGTAGACTGGAGAGGAGGGGGCCCTTGATTGGCTGATGAATTCATTTGCGCAATGACGCAGGAAATGTCTGTTTGTGTTATGCTTTTGCATGTTGATCATGTGAAGCAATCCTTTCAGCTCGCTGCTGTTCATAGTAACGCAGCTAAACTATGGCTTGGAGTGGCTTTACATAAATCAGAGATTTAAATTGTCCTTATTAGTTCCCAGTAAGGGTGAACAGATGTTCTGTTATTATCTCTTTTTCCCAGGACGGTTTCTTATTTCAGCTGTACCGCGAGAATGGGCCACACTGTAAAAAAATTTATTATTTTACGGGTTTTTTTCCAGCAGCTAGGGGGCTGGAAAAAAAACGAAAAATAACGGTTGTTAAATTAAAGACATTTACGATTTAAAAATGGACGTTACATTACAGAATAAAATTAAATATCTGTAAATTACTAATCTGTAATCTGCAAATGTCTATAATATAATGGTTGTTATTTTAAGTTTTTTTTTTTGAGCCAGAAAAAAATGTAAAATAAGGGATTTTATTACAAGCCCATTATAGAACAAAAAATTGAAGGCATACAATATTCAATATTAACATGCAGTAAGAGAGTTTAGGATAGGCAAATTGATGCAGAATAGACTTATATCTAAAACGCTGTCTCGGCTGCCCTATCATAACCGAAAAAGGGTGCGACCGAATCAAATAGACAGTTGTCAAAATTTCCATCGCTGTGGAGTATTTACCTCAAAAAAAAAATCGGTTAAAGTCTAACTCAACCTGTTATAACACAAACTTTTTAATAAATGAAAGAGACAGTAATAATTCGGAGCAATCAAATATTGGGGCTGGCTTTCATCATGGGAAATTAGAAACATGGATTTTAAAGATATTTTAGGGATTTTCGCTGGCTAAAGTAAAGTTTAAAGTAAACTTTTTAAAGTTGACCCTATTTAAAGAATTTACTGTAAAGCACATTTAGAAAATATTGCAAATGTGTGTTGTTATTTTTTTTCTCGGATTTTGCCAGCGTCTTTAAATGTTCAAATTAATTTTGTATGCCTGCTTTAGTAAAATAGAAAACATTTACAATAATCAAACATAAATCAAGTGGAAATTAGATTATATAATATAATAAAGATCAAATAAATGAGGCCCTTGGGTTTGCAATATGTTCTTGATCCTACCCTGGTTTGGAATCATGGGAGTTGTGGTCTTCTTTAAATACTTTGGAATTCAAAAGAAGTAGCCACTGAACTGACAAAACGTAAAGTACTTAAGTTTCCTAGTGACATCATGATGAATTAAACTTACAAGATCTATTTTCTATGCAAATCTTTACCCTACAATATGTCTATACACTGTAGTCACTGTGACTTTTTAAGTATGTTCTTTGTTCTCAGACACAAAAGACAGCAAACATCGAACATCTGTTCTATTCCTGAACACTTCTGTATCCACACTGATTTACATTTCTGTGCAACTGCAGCCCCTTGAAGTAGTAGATACTATGGTGCTTTTGAACCTTACAATAGTATAGTATAATATTATACTTAGTACTATAAGTACTTGAATTAATCAGTCGTGACTCTAGTTATTTCCATAGTTACTGTAATAATAGACCAGTTTAATATGTGATGTCATTGGCCCATGAGCATATACTGTAAGAGGCAATTCAATCATGACCTAATGGTAAAACACCTCTCATAACTTTATTTATCAATATATGGACCTTTTAGTATTCTTGGAAGCTATGGAAATGAAAACATGTAAAACAGGTAATATGTTAAGACCATTGTTATTGTACATCCCTCAAAATAAAACAAAATAAAAGCAAAAAAAAAGTTCTCTACAACATTGGGTATATTACACTGCAATACACCACAGTTTATTGAAGTAAAAACTAAAGTATTTATTACAGTTCATTCTTTCACTGTAGTTAATACTGCAGTATGTTGTAGCATTCGTTAAGAGTTGTAAATATTATAATATATGATACACTTTACTATAGTATGGTTCAAAAACACTATAGTATTTACTATAAATTAATATAGTATTTTTTCATTTGAGGCAGTTCCAGACACATGATCTACAGCTGAAATTTATCTGGACGGCTCATTTGATTGCAGGGCTATGTGGAAAAATTGACACACTAAAACAAATGTTTGCTTTATTGTGCAGCTAATTTTAGGTTTAATTTGTAAATCAGAGGAAAATTCACATCAGCACATTAATCTTAACATCACACTTAGCAATGATATCCTGCCACTCAGATATAACAAACATCTTTTTACCTCTGAAAAACAACTTTGCTGAGTTTATTGGTGCCAAAATGATTTTGAATCTTTTACTTGAACACTGATATGGAATGCACTGTCCAAACACACATTGAACACTTCTGTATATGCTACCAGAACAACACAAAAAGAAAGGGAACATATAAACTTGATAACAACGTCCGAGTACAATTGCGCAATTGTCCCAAACACCTGGACTCAATTGTCGGTTGACTGTAAAACTAGGAACAAATATCACAATCGGCCCCTTAAACAAGTAGCTGTTGGGAAAAGTGAACAGGAAGGTCTCCAGTGGCTTCTTCTAAACATTTAAAGGAATCTAGTGATCACAATAAACAAAGGTTTTGTTAGAAATGAAGCCTTCCAGCACACGATAAATGGGGCCCACTTAAAAACACGAACATGACCAGCAACTGAGCAACACAGGCTCATGGGAAATGTTTCTCAGCCTACATTTTTTTTGTGTGTGAAAAAAAAATGTTTCAACATACAGTACAGTTGACTTACATTTGACTTTGGGCTGGGCCGATAAACAACAATATATCGAATAACAATGATAAACTCTGGACTTTTTTACTTGTACTCTATATTGATCTAAGAGCCAATCACACAGCCGAAATTTGCAACAATGGGAATCTAAAAGTGTGTTGATGTTAGAGATGTAACGAATTTTTGGCCACCGAAAATTTATCAGCAGACAATAGGTTATTCTATTTAATGAACCCTGTCATTTTTATGATAAAAAAATGACAGGGTTCTTTAAATAGAATAACCTAGGTTAGGTTATTCTATTTAAAGAACCCTGTCATTTTTATGGGTTTAGTCATTAGCCCCTTTCACACATACAGACCTTTCCGGAAAATTGCCGGCAATTTTTTCCGGAAAGGTTGTATGTGTGAACAGGTCCTTTTTGAAAATATCGGTAAATTCGTTCTGGCTATTTTCCGGAAAGAAAAGTTGTAACATTACCGGCAATTTGCCGGAATGCTGCGCTGTGTGAATGCAGATGGAAGATTCCCGTAATAAGCGCGTGCACGTCTAGAACGTGCTGTTGTGAGACGTCTGCTTTAGCCAATCACAACAGTCAGATGCATTTACGTCCGCGCGGTTTATGAGAATAAAAGCCTTTGAATATTTTTCCAGACACATTTAGCTGCTAGAAGTTAGTCAGATCACGTTTATATGTTCTTCTTAATGCCAACTGTGTAAATAATCATCGATGAGATGCTTATGATAAGCCGTTGTTTGTTTACCTTCAAGCTTTGCGTGTGCCTGTGAAACAGCCTGTGAGCACCTGCACACGCACATATTATAAACATCTCGACATGCGAAAGTGATCCTGCGAAAGTTGTTCACAAAATTGATCATCCACAGAGTCTGTAATTTAGTCAAATGTTTACAAATACAAGCGCAGCCGTTTA